AATGAAGGTATATTTTATTCCGGTTTATTATTTTAAGTTTCTTTATCTGTTTAAACATTATATATCCTGAATTAATTAAATGTGATTTGTTTCTTTTCTTATTATTATTATTACCCATAAACATTGTTACACACAGTTACGTAGTGTCAGAAGATGAGAAGAAAATGCATGCATTGAAAGAAATTGAGTTTATTCTATGGACTCATGGTAAATCCCTGAAGCAATTTCCTGGAATGCCGTATCCAGGAGATGTTTTCATTGATGATGGAACTAATACCATGATTCATGATGAATTAGACTACAATAGATCAGAATTGAGAGAAGAACATAATTTGCTATACGGAAATTTGGTGATGAGCGAGAGGGAGATTTACAAACAGTTACGGGTGCAATTGAAAGAGGTAAAGGAGGTTTGTTTTTCATTTATGGTTACGGTGGGACTGGAAAGACATATGTCTATCGCACACTTTCAGCTGCCATTCGAATGGAAGGCGAAATTGTCTTAAATGTTGCATCAAGTGGCATTGCTTCGTTGTTATTAGTTGGTGGAAAGACTGCACACTCAAGATTCCAAATACCAATTGACATTACTGAAGAATCAACATGTACCATCAAACCAGGAAGTGATTTGTGTGCTTTGGTTATAAGAGCAAAACTTATTATATGGGATGAGGCACCGATGGTACATAAACATTGCTTTCAAGCACTGGACAGGACACTAAAGGATATACTACGCCGTACAAATCCAGAAAGTGTAGAACAACCATTCGGAGGAAAAGTTGTTGTTCTCGGAGGTGATTTCAGGCAGATATTGCCTGTGATTCCTAAAGGTACAAGAGCTGATATTGTCAATTCTGCAATAAACTCTTCGTACTTGTGGAGATATTGTAAGGTACTAAGGTTGACTGTTAACATGAGGCTACGTGTTGATTATACAACAAATAATCATGATGAAATACGTGAGTTTGCTGACTGGCTGCTAAAAATCGGAGAAGGAAAGGTAAATGAACCAAATGATGGTGAAGCTGAGATTGAATTCGCAGATGATGTCATTATACAGGAACCAGGAGATCCTATCGAAATTATTGTTAAGACTATATATCCAAACTTATTAAATAATCTTGAAAACCCTATCTGGTTCCAGGAAAGAGCTATTTTAGGACCAACACATGAAGTTATTGATAAGGTCAACGATTACATGACAGGTTTATTACCTGGCGAAGAACGTGAATACCTCAGTTCAGACACTATGTGTAATTCTGAGCATGGAGGTGAATCAGATCAGGGTATATACACTCCCGAATTCCTCAACAGTGTAAAGGCTTCAGGTCTTCCCAATCACAGATTGGTACTGAAACGTAATGTTCCAATCATTCTACTTCGTTCGTAACATTGATCAAAGGTTAGGAATGTACAATGGTACTAGACTACAGGTTACAAGTATGGGACGTTACGTGATAGAGGGGAGAATTATATCAGGAAGCAATATAGGTCATGTTGTGCCTATTCCCAGGATGAAAATAATTCCATCTGACACGAACATTCCTTTCAAAATGAAGAGGAGGCAGTTTCCCATAGCAATATGTTTTGCTATGACCATTAACAAAAGTCAAGGTCAGTCTCTTTCTACAGTTGGACTTTACCTACCACGACCAGTTTTCAGCCACGGCCAGTTATACGTGGCTCTGTCAAGGGTAACTTCTAAACAAGGATTGAAAGTGCTGATTTGTGACAGTGAAGGTACAAGATCAAATAAAACTATGAATGTCGTCTACAAGGAAGCTCTTCGTAACGTTAGGTGAAATTAGTTGTTTTAAATTTCTGTTTTATAACAGTACAATGTTACAGTTCCTTTTTTTTTCTGTGCTTGCTATCAAACCAATTAAACTGTTTTTATACTAAAATCTGCATCTCTATTCAAAATGAAGATACTTTATTGGTACAAGAGGTTTCAAATACAGCCAGTTCTTTGTGTTTTGTGGAGGATAAGAAAGAAGGAATTGCAGTACTTAACTGCAATGGGTTTTGACAGTGAAAAACCCAAAGTATAACTCGACCACGAGTTTTCTTTCAATAAAGGGAGTTTATGCAGGAAGATCCCAGCAATATGGGTAAATTCATATTAGCTTTAAGGAAATGATTACATTTTAAAGCTCTTTCTCATTCTAAAGTCATTATCATTTTTCAAAAAAACAATTTCTAACTATACACATGATAACAAATTATTATGCACACCATACAAACAAATACATATAAATATTCAATTAACTGTTAAAAACAAAAAATAATATCAGTTGAATTAGAAAAACATATGTGCTTTAACACAGTACATGTTAATTGAATAATATCAGAACAAAAATTTAAACAAGTTTATAATTACCTCATCCAAAAACATATTGCCCAAATATCATCTTGCATGTTAAAAGCTATGACTTTATTCTTGAACATTGTCGAGTATTTCATCGAATATATTCTGCAAACACCATTCACATGTTCAAACATATATTTGTAATGAAATAAATAATTGAAATACATTACTGTCAATGAAATTAAATAGCATACTATTTGAAAATATCAATAATATTACCTCCGTAGAATAATCGAAGTTATTCTTTTTCCGCACAGATTGAAATGGGATTTCCGACCTAGAATCTTTCATGAATACAGTTGACAATCTTTGATTGAACACTGCTATATATGACGAACCGATTTATATCCCACCATAGAAGATGCACGGCAACAGATGTTTTTGCATCTGTAATCAAGAACATCTTTAAATGCGAACCCATCAATAGCTTTCAATCCCTTCGATGATGCTTATTGTTCAATCGATCTCATTCTTCTCTGACCGAAATGAATGTTTCGATTTCCTCGAAAGCATATGAATATAGATGAACAGCTGAAGAAATACAATCTTCCCGTAACAATGAACATATGGAAAGAATTGGAAAGCCTTTACATTGATTAGATCTGATGGGAAGAATGAACAGTCTGAAAAGGAAATGTACACTTTCCAGATCTGTTCGATATGAACAAGAATGGAATTATGCATTCTCAGATTTTTTTCTTTTCTTTATATTTAAACAGAACACCATTTTACGGAAGTGATCCCCGGACTTTGCCATATTTATTTGACACCCACAGCATTCTATTATTGACAATTATTCCATATGATTTTCATTTACTTCTTTTTAACCCACATCTATATATTATCGTTATTTTTATTACTGTCATTATTATTATAATTATAAATTATTAACAATATTATTTATAAGAGATCGGCCGGGCATCCGCCCGGGCCAAGCATCTAGTTGCAATTTAAAATCCTAACTTTGGTTGATTATCACCAAGCACTATCCCGCGCTATATTCAAGTTATTCACGTCTTCTAATCTACACAACCCCTTAATATTCGGTGGCGAAATAATTTTATTATTTATATTTTTATTTGTAATATAAATTGTATCAAAATATGTATACAAAAAGAGTATTTGTAATTATTTGTATAACTTGGTCGCTGCTTATGTCAAATCATATGTAATAATTGATATAACTTGATTTTCTTCGCCGAGTTATTTGTATCATTCAGGCTGATATCTAACAAATTTAATATAATTTCTTTTTAAAAAAAGAAAAAGAAAAAGAGAGTATCTGTAATTATGCTCTGTAATAAAAACCCACCTCTCTTTTTCAAAAAAAAAAAAAAAACCCACCTCTCTACCTAACCGAATTTCGACGAATCAATCCCCAGCAACCAACTACCCTATTAAACACTCCATGCGTACTTGACTTAGTCGCAGCAGTTGCTACGTACAAGAATCAGTGATAGGGTTCAAAACATTTTTAAGAGATATGTATTCCTATAATTATCATAATTTAGTTTAATCACATCGTTAAACTAGACCAAATGTATCTTGTGGTTCCGCGAATAAATATGGATCCAAAATACTCAGCAGCAACGCCGCCACCAGCTTCATATATATGCCGGAATCACCGGCACCACAGCTTCCTTTCATTACTTTTGAGTAATGATATTTCTAGTGAACAATAATATTATTGAGCCAAAGCATATCAAGTCAAAGATTGATTAATTGCCACGCGTTTGTTGCCATAAAATTTTATTGTGACTTTTTTCTTTTAGCTCGAAAGTGCTTATATCACAGATTGAACTAGATTATAACAAATTGGGAATATACAACTCTTATAACTCTTATAATGCCGTGGTTTCTTGTCTTGTAAATGGACCTTTGTGAGTTTCTAAAATATATTTTAAGCTATGACCAATACCCCAGTTGGTACAATGCCGTGGTTTCTTGTCTGAAGTATATGATAGTGGCGAAGTCCCACGGTGATGAATTATCAATATGGTACAATGCTCAATCAAGAAGCCACATTAATAACCCTGGTGATAATAATCAGTATGTCACGACCGATCAGTCAACTCTTGCTAATAGTCATCAAATCCCTTCAACAAAATTCCGCAAAATAATATGCACGAAATGGATTTCCCAATGAGAAAACATGCACATCTCAAATTCTCAATTTCTACAAAGAAATTCAAATTTCCATATTCCATAATAACTCTTATGAGGGCTAACAAATATATAGTTACCAATTATAATTACCATGCATTAGCCTCTGATTATGTACTTCTGACTCTATCATGACCCAACTCTTCTGCCAATCATAAACCTTTACATAGACCCACAACTCTGTCGTTATAATAAAAACATGTCCCATGGTCACTTACTATTACTTAATTTTAGTAGCTTTGATCCAACCGGAATGAGCAAGGGTTTTTTTTTTTTTTTTGGAAAAAGGAGACCTCTAATATTATATGTGGAAGATCAATGTATATCCGTTATGAGCATACTCCTAAACATGCCCCAACCTCTACTCCCACTTTTACATGCTTTGATCCTTGGGCAATCTCTACCATTTTTATCTTCATTTTTTTTTAATAATCTTGACTTTTTTTTACTACAAATTCGAAAAATATTTATGGAGCCAAAACACATTGCTGCAGCAACCACCGGTTCTAACGGATCTTCGGCGAACTCAATGTCTGAAGGTTACTCCTCTTAGACTGCCCTGCAGGGGAACATCCCTGATGAAGTTCAATTAGTTCCTTGGAGTACGGACTTATGTGACTGCTTTTCCGACGTTGAAAACTGTAAGGCATCCCAATCATAAACTCAGTTCTGGTGCAATTTTTTTTTTTAAAAAAAAAACTTAAAATGGTGTTACTATATAATTGATACTCCTTCAAGAAATTCAATTTTGCTACAATAAATATTCAGCATGAAGTTTGAGTTAAATATTTAGTTTCAACTATTTATAATTTCAGGATGCATCACATTATGGTGTCCGTGCGTCACTTTTGGACAAGTTTCTGAGATTGTGGATAGGGGATCCACCGGTAAGTCAGCTGTCGTTTTAGTATCATTTTCCAAATAAATGATAAAATAGACAAAGAATGAAGAATAAAATCACAATAATAGTGGTTAAAGTACCATAATCAATGACGTAAAATCACTTTAATTAGAAGCATAACTCCCTTGGTAACCAAAAAAATGAAAACTAAAAATGGCATAATGCAATTCTTCCCACAATAAGATTAAGACTGAAGATTCTTCAACTTAAATTATATGATAATTTGGGACTTTTTTTGAGCCGGAGGGAGTAAATTTTAAAGTATGGAGAGATAACACTTCATGGATAAAATTTATAAAGTATACAGTAATTTCGTTCTTTTGGTTAAGTAATGCGTGTGTGTGTGTGAGAGAGAAAATGCAATTTATATCGTATATTCCAATTCACATTATTTCCTTTGATGAAATTCAAGTGATACATTTATGTACGCGCTTAGCAATAGAGGTCTATACATTATATAATATAGGTTTTATTAAACATCTCTATAGTTTATCTTCCTTTCTTTTAAGTATCTCTCCGTCCAAAGTAATTAAGTCTCATTGTACAAGATAATAAACATATCCTTTTCTTTTAAGAACGGAAAAGAATATAAATAATAAAGAAACACAAGTATGATCACGTACTTACACTGATGTTCCACATTATATTTCTTTAACACCAAAATGTTTCAAACTTCCGATACTTTAATTTAGTTTTTTTCTTCCTAACTTTTACATAAGTGGTTTTATTTTTTATCTTTTTCATGTGCAGCTTGTGGATTAAATGGTTACTTTTACACCCTCCTAGCTTTTGTGACTGGCTGTTGGATGTATTCTTATTGTTGTCGTTCAAAGATGAGGAAGCAATATTCATTGGAAGAGGACCCATGCCCTGATTGCTGTGTCCACTTCTGTTGCGAGCCCTGTGCCCTTTGCCAAGAGTACCGTGAGCTTAAAAACCGTGGGTTTGACATGCATATTGGTATACAAAACTATTGTCTTCCTTTATTTATGAATGAAATCTGTTTTTGACCAAAAAGGAATAAAAAATTCTTCTTCTCTTCTTTCTTTTCTTTTTTGGGACGTAGGTTGCTAATGGCCTTTTGTGTTTTCTCTTTGTATTTTTTCTTTTTCGTTTGATTAGGATGGTATGCAAATATGAAGAGGCAAAACCAAGGGATTCCAATGGCTCCTCTGGTTGAAGGAGGAATGAACAGATAATTAATTACGTACAATTACTAAAATTGTATTCCTTTCAATGTCCCATGCGCATTGATCAGTATGCTGAACTAAGATCATGTACGTGCAATATGTTGATGTTATATCAACAATCTACGGCTTTTTACACTTGAAATAAATCGAACTGATGTTTGTATTTAATTTTAATTTTTTTTGTTTTTTGTTGCTTGGATCACCGTGAGATTTTCAGGAAATTTTTGTAAGACAACTTTTCTGGATAAGTCTTAAGCTGTTTTGTGTGATTTTTTTAAATTAATTAATAAATCAAAAGATATCCATCATGAACCGTTCTGAATAGAATAAAAAGAATAGTGTGCTGAACTAAAATTAACTCATTTAAATATGGGATAAATCTCACTTTATGTACCTGTAAATAGAGCCTTCAAATCATGTACCCTAAGGAATTTAAGTAAACGGATGAAAAGTCTCAATATAATAAATGATCAAGTTCTTAATTGGAGGAAAATGTCGAAGCGCAAGTCTTCAAGTAATTGTTTTTTTGGATTTTTGCAATTTTTTTTAAGGAAGCTAGCTTTCGTCTTAAATATTATGTTTTTTTTGAAAAATAAAGATAAATTCATTAATTTGCTAGAAATCGTCTAGCAGCGATTGATAAAACCAAGATACAGTCATAAAAACACAACTTACAAACAGTCACAATGTTATTGTTATGTTTCGCTACATGGATAAACCTATACTGATCTACCCCATAAAATAATGGTTGTACCACGTGCCAGATTTTTAATCCGGTCAAGGATACAACACTAACCTTCGGTTGAAACCCCCAAATCGTAAATCTAATAATAATTAGATCTACTACGACTGAATTTTTTTGGACCACGCCAGCCAAACCGACGAACACCTTCAATAAAGCCGTCGCCACCATATCTGCATACATCACAGACAAAACCGCCGCCATATTAGCAAACATCAATAAGGATGCTGCCGCCATATCTGCAAACATCGATAAAGATGTTGCCGCCACACTATAGATAGTAATCTACAAACCGTTTATTGAAACTAAATTAAAACACAATAAAAAGACTAAAGGATATGAGTAGAATTATTTGCCCATCCTTCCATGACGAAAAAATGGGGGAAGATTAATTTTCTTTTTTAGGGTTTGAGGGAGTCTTAAATATTATGTTAGTTGCCCATAGGACTGTAGTTGAAAATAGAAATGTATCCAATATTCCTTCTTTTAATTTTTTCTTCTCCTTATTACTTGTACGTTGATCCTCTTATTCTTTTCTTTAATTAACATCATTTTTATTTTGGGAGGCTGTTGTATGGATGCCTTCAGTAATTCAGTTAAGTTGCACGTATTCTTTCTGCGTATTATGTATCCAATTTTTTATCATTAGTCCGACTAATATAACTTTTGAACTGAATATATGTGAAAGAACTAATAAAAAGCTCATGATTTGTGAAACAGAAATTCAAAATTGATTATTAAGTCTCGTTAACATCACAAGATTAGGGAGGATTCATTGGCTAATTAAAGCCATGGAAACAATGGAAACTGGAAAGCAAAGTACAAAGAATAAAGGATATGAGTACTCTTTTATTCTTCTGTGTATGACTAACAAAATAAACAAAGCCTGTGATACTAACATCATGAAGGTGAACGATCCCAATTAACAACCATATATATATATATATATATATATATATATATATATATATATATATATATATATATACTCCAACTTAGTTGGGTAAACTTTATTTAGTGGCAAGTTTACGACAGACATGAGATATACCAATTTATTCACTATTTTACATGGGACATGATATCGTTGTATTGTCTTTAAATTCCTTGCCTTAATTGCCATCCATCGCATTGTCCCAATTCAACAGATGAAATTTAACTCGAAACAAATGCGCAAAAACGCTTTACCTGTCAAACTCCCTCGACCTTCCATTAGTCATATACCCATGTGAGTCCGGGTCCTCAAAGCTGTTGGTTTTTCTGATCTTTTGGTCGTCGGCCAAGTCCACGCTGTGTATCTTTGGATACAGATTTTGTCCGATACACATTGAGGTGGATGGGGATGATGAATATCAGCATTCAACTTGCCAAATTTTCTATCGGTCCCAGAAAAATAGGTCACACTGAGATAGTATTTTATAATTGGATCACATACATCTCATTTCAATAGTTCCGATCATGACATTTGAGATTTGCTTAAACAATTTTATCTTGTTATCGGAAAAGAGCGTGGTTGAGTAATTAATGCCGTAGTGCATTTGCCTTGCAATAAAATTAAGCCAGTAGAATCGTAGTTCGCATAATTAATTATCTCAAGTCAACTGTATTTTTATCAACTTGTACATCTTCTTCCTCAACGCCACATTGTCAATGACTTTGTCAAGTCCTCTTGGTTTAAATATATAAAATAAAAATTAAAAAAAAAAAAGACTCTAGGGCTTCGCTTATGATCACAAAATTGATCAAGATGCAAGGCTGAGTATGAAATGTGATAATTATAAAACTTACTGGTCCCTCTTTCAATAAAAACAAAAAAAGAAAGACTTATCAAGTCAATGTACAAAGTCGTAATCAGTCTTTTATTCATGATTTGACCTAATCACCCTTACAATTAGGGAGTCTTATTCCCCACTAAGAAATACATGTATGAGATTTTAAGTAATCTCTTCCTCTCATGTTATATAGTTCAATTTGTTATATTTAGTTACGAAAAATAAAGAAAGAAAAGTATGACTCTTTCTAACATTGGATATGTGCATCTTTTTGAGTTCTTTTCGCAAGTCACATATAATTTGCATTGGATAGATAGCATAACTTGATAAGATTAGTCAAAGATCTCATTAGTTAGAATTATTTAGATTTTATTTGTTTAGATTATTTCAGATTTTATAATATCTAAATCTTAACTAATGTTGATGTATGCCTATAAATAGAGGCAATGTAATGTACTGCTGTACACAATACAATTTATGATTTCATCTTCTTTCATGAATTTATTTCTCATCATGGTATCGAGAGCAAAATCGATCCTGCACTAAAAATTTTTTTCTTCACATTATCCCACCACTGATTACCTCCAAAAATCACTATTGCACACACTATTTCACATACTACTTCACGTTATTTTATTTTATTTTTTTTTCCTTTTCTTTTACTTTAATCACCATTGTTTTAAAATGACTATTTCACAATCACTCACTACTACTCAATTATTTCCTCTCTCCAATATCACAAATTTTATCACTGTATCTCTTGATAACTCCAACTACCTAATTTGGAGAGATCAAATTGAAGGAATTTTAATTACCACTGATCTCAATGGTTATATTGATGGTTCAATTTTACCACCAAAAGATTCTTCACCTGATTCTACTATTCCAAAAGAATTTCTTCAATGGCAAAAATTTGATCGCCTTGTCAAATGTTGTCTCACTGCCTCGTTGTCTTCTTCAATGGCATCGGTGGCATTGGGGTGTCCTACTGCTCGTGACCTTTGGATCAAACTCGAGCATCATTTTCTTCAACAATCTACAACGCGTAGATCGCAACTACGCCAAAAAATTCACAATTTTAAGAAAGGTTCTCTCACAGTCAATGATTTTCTCACTTCATTATCAACTATGGCGGAAGAGCTTAATGCTGTTGGGGATACTATCCCTGATCATGATCTTGTTATTCTCGCTCTTAATGGTCTCTCATCTGAATATACTTCCTTCATTATCACTATAGAGAATCTCAACCCTCCTCCCTCATTGACAGATCTTCGAGTAGAACTGCTTCTCCATGAGCAACGTTTCCAATCATTTTTGCCTTCACCAGAAGCTGCACTCCATACTACTGTGAACTTTCCAGTCAATAGTTCTCGGTCTCATGGTAAACAGTCACAACCCAATTTAGGCCGTAGTCGTGGTCAACTCTCTCCCTACTTTCCTAATAACTTAACTCCGCACTCATTTTATCCCAACCCCAATTCATAAGGTCCACACCGTCCCTTCAACACTATCCAAAATCGCCCAAACCAAGCCCAATTCCCTACCCATCCTTCTACTCCCTATAAGCCTTATACCTCATCCTTTAGCCCTTACCCCAACTTTACCCAACAACCCAATCCTACCCAATGCCAAAACTGTAAAAAATTCAACCATTCCGTTACTGTTTGTCGTTTCCGCTACGCTGAATCTCGCAATAATCAAACTCATCGTTCTTCTGCTCCCACAAACATGCCCACTGCTTTTCACACCTCCACTGTCCAAGAACCACAGCCTCAAGACTTTTCAACCTTTACATCTAGTGATATCCCTAAATGGCTTCCTGATTCTGGCGCCCAGGCTCATATGGCACCTGATCCTCTTTTAGTGGATTCTACCACTCCATATCATGGTAATCAGCAAGTGGTTGTTGGCAATGGTACTACCCTTTCTATTACTTCTATTGGTCACACTGCACTCACCAAGCACCCAAAACCTCTTTACTTACGTAATATTTACATTGTTCCACAACTTACTACAAACTTTTTATCTGTTGGAAAATTTGTCACTGATAATTCATATTTAATGGAATTTTCTCCTTTTGGTTATGTTGTGAAGGATCTAGTCACCAAGACTCCGCTTCTCGCGGGTAACATCCACAATTACCTCTATCCTATGAAGATTCCTAAGACATTCCACAATCCTGTAGCTCTGGCTGCTCGTGTTGTTTCTCCTGATCTTTGGCATCATCGTCTTGGACATCCGTGTCACTCAACTCTTTTAGCTCGATCTTTGCCATTTAAATCTTCCAAAATAAATTCTTGTAATTCCTGTGTGCAATGAAAAACTACTCGAATTCTTTTTACTCCATCTTCTCGTGTTTCTAAAGTGCCGTTACATTTAATTCATTGTGATATTTGGGGTCCAAGTCCTTGTCTTTCTCTTTCAGGTTACCGGTACTTTATTATTTTTATTGATGACTTTAGTCGTTTTACATGGATTTATCCACTTACTAATAAATCTGATGCCTTTCATGCTTTCCAAAATTTTAAGTCATTTACTGAAAATTTATTTTCTACTAGTATCAAATATTTTCAATGTGATGGTGCTCCCGAACTTGTGAAAGGTGTTTTTGCTAATTATCTTCGTAATCATGGTATTTCTTATCGCATCTCTTGTCCCCATACTCCTCAACAAAATGGAGTTTCTGAAAAAAAAAAAATTCGTCATATCACTGAAACCGGGCTTACTCTTGTTCTTCATGCTTCTCTTCCTAAATCCTTTTGGGTTGAAGCTTTTTCCACTGCCACCTATCTAATCAATCTCCTTCATACTCAAGTTCTTACTAATAAATCTCCTCATGAGGTTCTTTTTTCCAATCCTCCCTCCCTCTCTCATCTTCGAGTATTTGGGTGCACTTATTTCCCATTTATTGGGTCTACTCGTGTTGACAAATTATCCCCAGGATCAATTCCTTGTGTTTTTTTAGGCTACTTTTCCCAACACAAGGGATATCGTTGCTTTGATCCCAAAAGTTTCAAACTTTACATCTCTCGACATGTAAGGTTTCTTGAAACCGATTTTCCTTATGCTCTACGTCTCAAACTTCTACGTCCTCTCCAACTCCATCATCACGGGTGTTGCTTCCTTTACCAATGTCTATTCCTCCTCCTTTTGTACCTTTTTCCAATCCTACGACACAAACTCTTTCTTCAACAAGGCTTTCTTCTCCACCACCATCTAATTCCCTGCCTAGACCACCTCCACCACCATCTAGTTCCCCACCTAGACCACCTCTACCACCAAGACATCACATGACCACTCGTACCACAACTCGTAAGCCTAACCGTTTAAATGATTATGTTACCTATACTTCCTCTCTTACTTGTCCTCCTAAACCTGACCCCACCTCTTTTACTTAGGCCAATAAGTTTTCTCACTGGCGTCAAGCTATGCTTGAAGAGTTTAATGCTCTTCAACGTAATCAAACCTGGACTCTAGTTTCTCCTCCTCCTAATGCTAATATTATGGGTTGTAAGTGGGTTTTTTGAACTAAAAGAAAATCCGATGGGACTCTTGAGCGCTATAAAGCTCGTTAAGTAGCTAAAGGCTACCATCAATCTCCTGGCATAGATTACACAAATACTTTCAGCCCGGTAATCAAACCCACTACCATTCACATTGTCATCATCATTGCCTTAATCGAAATTGGCCAATCCGTCAACTTGATGTGAACAATGCCTTTCTCCACGGTAATCTTCACGAGACGTATATATGAGTCAACCCTCAGGCTTTGTTGATCCAAAATATCCATATCATGTTTGTCGTCTTCATGAAGCTTTATATGGTCTCAAACAAGCTCTTAGAGCCTGGTTTCACCGTCTTAGTCAGAAATTTCATACTCTTGGTTTTATTTCCTCTAAATCTGACACTTCTCTTTTTATCTTGTCTAAGTCCTCACACACTACTTTTGTCCTAGTTCATGTGGATGACATCTTGGTGACTGGTTCCTCTTCTTCCTTCATTCAATCTCTCATTGATGAGCTTCATTCTACCTTCACTATCAAAGATCTTGGTTCTCTTCATTATTTTCTGGGTATTGAAGCTCAATCTACATCTACCATCCTTCTTCTTTCTCAATCTAAGTATATTCAAGATCTCCTCACTCGCACTCACTTCGACACATCCAAACCCGTCTCTACCCCCATAACCCCCACCTTACCTCTCTCTAAAAATCATGGTGTACCTTTATCTGACCCTACAGAGTATCGGCGTACTGTTGGTGCTCTTCAATATCTTTGTGTCACTCGTCCTGATATCCAATTTGTTGTTAATAAAGTGTCCCAATTCCTCCATTGTCCCACTGATATTCATTGGTCAGCTGTTAAGAGTATACTTCGTTACGTACGTTCTACCCCTACCCATGGCCTACATCTTACAAAGAGTTTCCCTCTTTCAATTACTGCTTTTGCTGATACTGATTGGGCTGGTTGCCCTGATGACCGCCGCTCCACTTCCGGCTATTTCATTTTTTTGGGTTCTAATATCATTTCTTGGAGTGCTAAGAAACAACCGACTGTTGCTCGTTCAAGTACCGAAGCTGAGTATCACAGTCTTACTCTTGCTGCAGCTGAATTATGTTGGCTTTTTTCTCTCCTCCGTGAGCTTGGTTTGTCTTCATCACCTCCTACTCTTTGGTGTGATAATTTAGGAGCTATTTACCTTGCTGCTGATCCAGTATCTCATGCACGCACCAAACATATTGAGATTGATATTCACTTTGTTCGTTATTTAGTTCGTCAAAAAGCTCTTATTATTCAGCATGTTTCGTCCACTGCCCAAATTGCTGATATTATGACCAAAGCTCTGCCTACGAAGACTTTTCTTCAACTTCGGGACAAGCTCATTGTTGTTCCGCCCATGAGCTTATGGGGGGCTGATAAGATTAGTCAAAGATCTCATTAGTTAGGATTAGTTAGATTCTATTTATTTAGATTATTTCAGATTTTATAATATCTAGATCTTAACTAATGTTGATGTATGCCTACAAATAGAGGCAATGTAATGTACCGCTGCACACAATACAATTTATGATTTCATCTTCTTTCATGAATTTATTTATCATCACAACCAGTTACTCATGAACTTGCACACTCTGGAAAGAACTCTTCGGATAGCGAAACCATTTGATTTACTCTGTCAGTTAATCGCGCTGGACCTGTTCTATCCAATCTCATACAACACAAACTTTCCCCTTCAAAAAAGCATAAAGTATGACTTTACTTTTTAGGAATTATTAGAAATTATAAGTAACTTTGTAATAAAATGATAAATCAACTTTAAATACAAAATTAATGGGACATACCAAAGATTCCAAAAATGTGTTACATCAACCAACCAACCTCGTCTCCTTTTTTTTTTTTTTTTCTTTCCTTTCTATAAATCCTTGAGTTTCAGTAGGGCAAATGAAAACAAGAAACTTGTTAAGTTTTCTGTTACTATTACAGATACATCTTGATCCATGCATCCACCGATTCCAAATCAATATCAAGCACCGGTGCCACAGCCATCGGCACCACCACCGTATCCGTATCCGTATCCAATACAACCCAACATTCCTCCATCCATGCCGGCGGCCAAGTGGGCAACCGGCCTATGCGACTGCTGCTCCGATTGTTCAACTTGTACGTAATTAAATCTTATGTTTTTCAAACCAATCAAAATCGAAAAAAAATAAAATAAAATAAAATTACAAAACTAGTTTCTTACTTTTTTGTTGCTTCTATTTATCTTGAAGAATGCATATATGGACAATTTTCTTCTCCATTTTTCATTCATGTTAATTAGTTTTCGTTCACATGAGTCAACGTATTTGCGCAGGTTGCATGACTTGTTGTTGCCCATGTGTAACGTTTGGACAGATTGCCGAAATCATAGACCGAGGATCAAAACGTAAGTTGATTGGAAAACTAATTTAATCTCCGTCCCAAAATAAAAATTTTATAATTTGTATTGGTATTAACTCGAGATTAATTTATGAATCTGGCATGGGCATGTAGCGCGAGTACTAAGTACAGTGATTTATGCGCTGATTTGCCATTTCACTGGATGCCCATGTATATACGCAAGCTACTACCGAAGCAGAATGAGGAAGCAATATAATTTGCCAGAAAGTCCTTGTGCGGATTTCTTAGTTCATTGCTGTTGTGAATGCTGCGCTTTGTGCCAAGAACATCGTCAACTCAAAAGCATGGGATTTGACACACAACTTGGTAACGTGAACATATATCTTGTTAGTTGTTTACGACGAATCAATGATGTTACTGATAATTTAAGCTGATAGTAAACATATATATATATATATATATATTGTTTATAATAAGACCAAGATTGTGATAATTAGCATCACCGTTCTTGAGCACAACGAGCTTTCTTAAATCATAGAGTTCTAATTAAGCCTTTGTACCAAATGATAATCCTTCACTTTATTGATCCAGCAATTAGTTACTAACATATTTGTTTTTGTTTCGATGAGGGATGCTTCAGGATGGCGTGAAAGCTTGGAGTTGCAAAACCAGCGGCCAAAAATGTCACCGATGGTTCCTGGAGGAATGATTAGATAAGCAAGGAAATTATGTTATACTCGGTCTATCTCGAGGAAAAAGTCGTGTGTTGTACTATTTTATTATTATGCATTCAGTGTTCGTAATTATTGTTTCAACTAATTCAGTTTTAACTCAAGTAAATTCATTTTTAGAGGCGAAACTCTATCAAAAAGTATTTAAATACTGATGCATGCCCTTGGTGTTGTAGTGTCTAATTGAATAAACTAGTTAATTTAAGAGTTGACAATTGCTTTGCCAAATGTCACCTTGGATAGCATTAATTAATAAAAATAATTTTATTTGTAAATTGTCATACTGAATGCGTGTGCGCGATTATAGAAATTAACGTTACAGAACTTATTTGGGACAAATCTTCAAATGTTTCAAAACTAAAAAAAAGTACCAATAATTTAGGATGAAAATGAACATGATAATTAATCAGCGGCGGAGTTAGGGGGACGGAAGGGCGCAGTCGCACCTGTTCAATTTTTTGTACTTAGTACGGATATCCTAAATTTTTAATAGAAACTATGTGTTGAATAATTTTTCGCACCTCTTACATTGATTTTCTTAGGTTAGTAGTTTTCTCTAAATTTCGCACCTCCAATATTGATTTCCTAGCTCCGTCACTGATGATAATGTATCATGGAGTTTGAGTAAAAAAAGATAAATGTAACAAACAATAATGATAATTTTTTTTTTAAAAAAAAAAAAGGAAATGTGGTATGAGAAGGCATGGTACACCGGCCATATCAAAATCAAATAAATATATATTTATTGTATCATTTCTATTCAACAATCAATATTTTCATTAGACCCGATGAGGCGATGGCACTTATAAATATGATATACTACAGGTCATTTTATGTGTGAATAAAAATCATATTGTAAGAAGCGATGCGATAGGCATTAGAACTAGATTGTGACATTGGGCCAAAAAAGAATGTGTGGTAGTCTTGAAAACCAACGTAAGAGAGCCCAAAGATGACCTTGGATTTCTTGGATTTCTCATGCTCTGTTTAATTTAGAAAATGATGGAGTACTGAGGTGAAAAAAGAGAGCAAGGCATTAAGCGACCTGTTTTTGTCCTCTATATTTGGTAAAATTAAAAAGAACTTATATTTATCCGTAAAGAAAAAATGCATATATTTTTATCAATGTTTTACATTTCGTTTTCTTAACATCTTTTTTTTTTTTTGTCATCTCATCTCATCTAAATGTTCTGAAATTCTTTCACACGACATAATTCACCTTAATTTATTGCCTAGTGCAAGCATGTTACAATAAAGGTAGTCCATGCAAAAGGAGAATTCATCCCAACCTGTATAGATTGCCTTCACAATATAACTTCTTGAAACTCATTGAATCTATTTTACTTACTCTCGTTTGGAGGTGGAAAAATTAGTAAGCATTCTCCTTACCATTTTCAAAGTTATATCTGAGAAAACTTTAAACCACTTTTCAACAGAAACAAAAATAAAATGATTGTCCATGCAAGCATGGATGTTAATTAACAAGATATGGCAACTTTAAAAAATCTGCTAAACAAAAGTTGAAAATATTATTACGGACGAAATTGTGGTTTGGTTTATAAGTGGCTCTTGTTTATCATGGTGGTTTTTGAGTTCGACTTCTTGTTGTAATTGGCAAGGGCTAAGACGACAATTCTTGTCCAATAATCTATGGTCAATATAATCCCATAATGTATACGGAACACATAACAAGTTTTTACCCAATAAATCACATTGACAACCATATGCGAAGTTAAGGTAATATTTTCCACCACCAACATTATCTGGCGTTAGGGCTGAGTACTTTTCATTGCATCGAACCTGCTAATAAAGGCTTGACTATATCATAATTTACCTTTCACTTGTAGTTTGCATGTTAATGTACTAATTGTAGGGTTACCAACGTTAAAAAGATAGTATGTGTGGTTATGAAATTTAGATATACGAAAGGGGCAATATTAACTTAATATTTAATAAACGGGCTTTCTCTCTCTTCTTCTCCTCTCTCTCGGTACATGTTAATCCACTGCTACCGTACGCCAGGCATGGCCAGGGGGAGGAAACCAGTACAGAAAGCTCCACAAAACGATGATGAATCGATTGCAAAGCAAGCGGAGAACAATCCCCAGACGAATTCCAAAACAAAAGTTGACGAGATCGGATGAGACGAGGTCATCGGAGAAACAAAACCCTAAGGAATTGGGGAAAAATGGAGTAGAATAGATTGGAATGAAACAAAGTGGCGGGATTCAAACGCTGGTGGAGTAAAGATTGAGAGCGGTCAACACTCGAACGCTCAAGATTTGAAGATGGAAGGAGAACTAAATGCTTGGGAATCGTTTGATGTCAAGAGGATGAAAAAAGGCTGGAGCGAAGCTTGAGTTTGTTCAACCATGCCTGGTCAACGGTATCTCAGTTGCTAAAATCCACCCCCAAAAAGTGCAAGAAGAAGCAGATTATTGGGAACCCTCTGTTGTTAGTTTTGTGCTGGGTGCAAACCCGCCATTCAAAGTGATGAACAATTTCTACAGGCAAATTTGGAGCCACCTGGGAGTTGACAAGGTAAACCTCTTGCCTACTGGCCTGTTTTTAATTAGATTCAAATCCCCGGATGCTAGAGATGAGGCACTTAAGATGAACATCTACCATTTTGGAAATAGTAATCTAGTAATTGTGAAACCGTGGTCAGTAGAGAAAGGTATCAATTACAAAGAAATTGCTAAAGTACCTGTTTGGATCCAATTTCCTCAATTGGAACTGAAATATTGAAACCCAGCCTCTTTAAGTAGTATAGCAAGCACCCTTGGCACACCAATCATGACCGATGAGCTTACAGATAATAAAGATAGGGTAAACTTTGCTAGACTGCTGGTAGAGATGGAAATTAAAACTGAAGTCCCTAGCAAGGTGTATTTTGAAGATGAAAAGGGAGTTATACAAAAACAAATGGTCCATTATGAATGGAAACCAGTCTGCTGTAAGTGTTGTGTTGGGTATGGGCATGAAGAAAATGAATGTAAGAAGAGGAGGCAACCACCAGACCCTGTAAAACCACCTGAACCAAAGAGTAACACTAAGGAAAGGGGATGGAGAAAGATGGAGAAAACTAAGAAGAATGAGGGATGTGCCAACAAGGAAAAATAGCCCAGAGTAGGGAATTGAAAAACAGGACCAGGGAATCACACTTCCAAGATTCTCAATATTGAGAAAATACTCAGAAGAAGATGTTCAGGGAATGCTTGGGGGAGACAAAGGAGAATGTAGTGGGCTGGCAAAAGAGGGTGCGCACATTGATCCAAACCCTAATCCTATGGTCAATGTGTAACATCTTAACATGAAATATTAGGGGCCTTAATGCCCCTATAAAGCAGCAAGAACTCATTAGGTCTTGGCTGCCAATAAGATAAGTATAGCTTGTATAGAGGAGTCAAGATGACACAAGAGAAAGGAAGTGAAGTCATGAGGAGAATGTATCAGAGATGGAAGTACTATATAAACAGTGAACAAACTAACAAAGGAAGAATCTTGCTTATGTGGGATGACTATTGAAATTCAGGTTGTTAGCAGCTCAAATCAATGTATTCACTGTTGTGTGGAAGACAAGAGCAGTGGAAGTGTGTTCAATCTAACTGGAATTTATTCTGGAAATGGAGAGAATGAAATAATGGTGTTTTGGGAGGAACTACAAAATATTGGGAAAACAATCACTAATCCATGGATTGTCTGTGATGATTTCAACAATGTTCTGAAGCCTCATGAAAAGATGGATGGTAATCATGTATCTCTACCAGAGATAGAACCTTTCCAATATTGCCTTGATGAATGTGAATTGTAGGACATAAGACAACAGGGCCCTACCTATACCTGGTGTAACAAGCAGATTGGATCATCCAGAATCTATGCCAAACTAGATAGAGTCCTGGTGAATGGGCTGTGGGTTGATCAACACAACCAATCCATTGCAACGGTGGCTAACGAGGGCATTTCTGACCATCCCTCATTATAGTGCAAATGGAAGTGGAGATTCAAAGTTAGCCTAAACCCTTCAAGTACTTCAACATGTGAAAGTTGGATCCTACCTTCCTTAAAGTGGTTGAAAGCAGGTGGAAGAACAAGATTGAAGGCACTATAATGAGGCCTACAAGAACTATATCACTAAAGCAAAACTTTTGAAAGCTTTATGAAACAGAAAGTTAAGGAAGACTGGATAAGAGAGGGAGATGTGAACAACACATTCTTTCATTCGAAGCTCAAACAGAAAATGATGAAGAACACAATTTGGTCCATTATGAATGATAGGAGGGAACTAATTAGGGAATGGAAAGCTATAGAGGACCACTTTCTCCAGTTCTTCAAACAACAACTGGGCCAGACAACAAAAAAGATGCCAATCACAGTTGAGGTGTTCAACCAAGGACCAAAACTGGACCTGGAAACTCAAATGCAACTGATCTCTCCCATTAACAGAAAGGAGATCAAGGAAGCCTTATGGAGCATAAACCGCAATAAAAGCCCTGGCTCCGATGGGTTTGGGAATGACTTCTTCAAGGCCATATGGAGGATCACAGGAGATGAGGTAACGGAGGCTATCATGTAGTTCTTCGACAATGGTATGATCCTAAAACAATTAAACTCTACTGTGCTTGCATTAATTCATAAATAGGAAATGCATCAAATGCTAGCTAGTTTCGTCCTATTGCATGTTGCAATGTACTTTACAGAATCATTTCTAAGGTTTTATGTAATAGGATGAAAATATTATTACCAAAGATCATAGATCAGAATCAGGGGGCGTTTGTAGAAGGGAGGCTTATACTTCATAACATATTGATAACCCAGGAACTTATACAATTGTATAGAAGGAAGGGGGTTAGCAGTAGGTGTTTAATGAAGATTGACTTACAGAAGACATATGATTCAGTAAAGTGGAGGTTTGTGGAAGAATGTTTGTATGGACCAGGCTTCCAGGGCAGTTTATTAAATGGGTGATGGCCTGTGTTGAGACCACCTTGTGTACGCTGAGCCTAAATGGTGCAAATGTAGGGTATTTCCAGGAAAAAAGAGGTCTAAGACAGGGAGGTCAAATCTCACCTCTTTTATTTGTAGTCTTAATAGAATACTTAACCCGATTATTAAGAGAAGCTGTTGAGTTGCCAGGGTTCAAATTCCACCCCCTCTGTAAATCCTTGAAAATGTCGAATATCTACTTTGCAGATGATCTAATTATCTTCTGCAAAGCAGATTTGGCTACCATGGCACACATTAAAAATACTTTTGAGGAATTCTCCCTCACCTCTGGCCTGAAAGCAAATCTTAGGAAATCTGAGATATTCTTAGGTGGGGGTAGATGATGAATTGAAAAGAAAAATATGCAGTCTTATAGGTTTTGGAGAAGGAACATTCCCTATCCGTTACTTGGGGATACCTTTATCCCCTAAGAAGTGGAACCAACTTGAATGTCAGGTGTTGGTAGAAAAAATAGTAGCTAGACTGAAATGTTGGAGTACACGCCATCTCTTATATGCTGATAGACTCCAATTAGTAAACTCAGTGCTGCTGAATATGCATGTTTACTGGGCTTCAGCATTTGTTCTGCCTCATAAAATCACTGATACTGTCAATAGAAAATGCTAGGAATTCTTATGGGCTGTGAAGGAGAATGGGAGATATTCTGCACTAGTGGGGTGGGATATAGTTTGCAAACGGAAATCAGAGGGGGGATTAAATGTTTATGATGCTAGACTGTGGAATGAAGCAGCCATACTCAAACAGGTATGGTGGCTAGCCAGTAAGAAAGATAGTTTATGGGTTAAATGGACTCATGAGATCTATCTCAAGCATCAGTCCATATGGAAAATACAGGGGAAAAATGATACCAGTTGGGCCTGGAAGCAGATATTAAAACTTAGAGACAAGGCCAAAGACGGTTTTGAGGGTGGAAAATGGATTGGAAACAGGAAGAGAGTATACACAATATCCTCAGGGTACAGGTGGTTGCAAGGGAATGCTGAAAAAATGGCAGCTGCCAATCTGATCTGGTCAAGACTTAATATTCCCAAGCATTCCTTCATTGCTTGGCTGGTATGGCAGGAAAGAATCAGAACCAAAGACAGGTTGATGCAATGGAATATCCTAGTGCAAGATCCGACCTGCTACTTATGTGAAGAACATGAGGAGTCCAAAGAGCATCTCTTCTTCTCGTACTCTTATGCAGAAACATTAATCAACAAGGTGAAAATGTGGTTGGGCATCAGAGTATGGCCTATGCAAATGCAATAATTGAAACAGAAACTTTTGTATGTGTGGAAGCAAACTCGATTGAAAAAGCAGATTCTATACGCAACTGTTGTTGCTTGCATTTATTGTCTATGGGAAGAACGAAATTGTAGAGTCTTCAAGGGCCAGAAAAGAAGTGAAGAAGTGATAGTTCAGGAAGTTCAGAGAATTATTAAAATCAAAAGTCATGCATTGCAAAAGGAAGAAGGTGACAGCAACATAATAGAGTATCATTCAAAGGTTATTCTCAAGCTGAGGTTAGATATATTTTGATTGTACATGTGTTGTAAATAGTGGAGTTTTGGTAGGAACCTTGTAATGCGAAGACCTATTTTGGTAATGAAAATTCACAGTTTCACAAAAAAAAAGGGGGGGCAATATTGTAATATCAAATCTTTTGAAGGGGTTCCTTGTACCATTGCTAACTAGAGGGGAGCTTTTCGACAAAAAAATAAATAATTTGTGGCAGTGATTAATTTTTTAATTCTACTACATTTTCAAACAAATGTTTCACGTGATTTTGCTTTTTTTGTTTTAAAAAAAAAAAAAACATATTTTAAAAATGCATATTTAATTTTTAACACACAGACACCCATAATCAAAAAATTATGGTATGCTCTCATTTCTTAACGAAGAAATGAGTTTATCCACAACTTTTTAGGCCTTTAATTAAATAGTAGTACTAGAAATTTCCATCACGATCGTCCTTCTCCATTAATGGCTGCCTTTCCCTCACATTATTGATCCCCTAAATAACCTGAGAATTGCGGCCCAAAACCCTCTTCTCCATTGCCGATCAGCATTCCGGTAAGTTTTCTTTCTTCATCTCTTTTTTCTTTTCTTTTTCCCGGAAGATTGCTGCTTTTCAATTTCTCGCTGTGAAATGTCCTGCCAATTTCTGTTGCTGATGAAATTATGTTTCCGTTGATGTTTGTAGGTTTTCTTTGATTATCAGCTTTGGTATATTGTTGTTTAAGGGATTGCTAGATGAACCCATTTTGAGCACTGAACCCAAGGTTTATGCTCCTTCCTCTTTTTTGTTCTTTTCGGTTTTTTCATTTGCTATTTTGCTTATTAAATAAGTTTTCCTGTAGCATTTTTTGTCTTTTCGTTTGTATTGTTGTGCCATTAATTGGTGTTTCTCTTGCATTCCGGTGTGTGAAATTATTGATTTTGTTAGTTAGATTTTTTATCGTATGAGTCAATTTGTATTAACCTTGATTGGTAGTGTTCTTATGATCAAACCTGTGTCTCTTCTATTTGAAAATTGAAGCCAGACAATATGGTTGCTTGGTTTTGTTTCGTTTCATTGTTCATTTGATTTTCAGGGTACTAATTCTGGCCTGCTTTTTCATTAATTGACAGACAGGTATTTGCTTCTACTGGTACAGAGAAAGAAAGGATATTAGAGGTATACCAATTGTTCCTAGGTTGATATTGTTCTCGATTTCATACGATGGTCTTCCAGGCGAAGAAGTTGAGTGAATTGTATGCTAACGGCATGAATTCCAGTGCAGAGGATGTGATAGATGCTGTTTTCCCTCTGTTAAAACTCCTAACTCTTACTTTATTTGGATCAGTTTTAGCTCATAAGAGCACCCAAGTGATTCCAAAAGCAACGTTCAGGCTACTTAGTAAGCTAGTTTTTGCCCTTTTCCTCCCATGTTTAATCTTTACTCATTTGGGGAAATCCATTAGCCTTGAGAACTTTTTGAGATGGTGGTTTATCCCAGTCAATGTGATCATTAGCACAATGGTTGGTTGTATCTTGGGGATTCTTGTTGTGATCATATGTCGCCCACCACCAGAACTCACTAGATTCACTATTATTATGACTTCCTTTGGTAATACTGGGAATCTTCCCATTGCAATAGTTGGTACTGTTTGTCATAATAGGGATAATCCATTTGGAAATGATTGCCGTCATAGAGGGGTTTCATACGTCTCTTTTGCTCAGTGGGTGGCTGTGATTCTAGTCTACACTTTTGTCTATCATATGATGGAACCCCCAGTGCAGTACTATGAGGTTGTTGAAGAAGGGGATGCAAGTGATGAGCCATCACTAGAAGGTGATATTAGTAGACCTCTTCTAGTAGAAGCTGAATGGCCTGGCATTGAGGACAAAGGGACTGAAGAGTCCAAGATGCCCATTATTGCTAATGTTTTCAACAGCATGTCAAATATACCACAGATGCCTCTTTCTGACGTTGAAAATGCAATGGAAGGGACTACAAATAGTCCCAGGTCCATTAAGTGTTTAGCTGCTCCTAAAGTTGTTAGGAAGATCAAAGTTGTTGCTGAAAGAACCCCAATACGACGCATACTTCAACCTCCTACAATTGCTTCTTTGCTTGCCATAGTAATTGGCATGGTCCCTCAGGCGAAGGCGTTTTTCTTTGGAACTGATGCTCCTCTGTTTTTTGTAACGGACAGTTTGGAGATCTTAGCTCGTGCAATGGTTCCTTCTGTCATGCTTATTCTTGGGGGTATGCTTGCCGAGGGTCCTTACAAATCTGAGCTTGGGCTGCGTACCATGGTTGGCATTACGGTGGCAAGGCTGTTGATACTCCCCCTATTTGGGATTGGGATTGTGGCTCTGGCTGATAAGTTACATCTTCTTGTTGCTGGTGATAAAATGTTTAGATTTGTGCTATTGTTGCAATATACAACACCAAGTGCAATCTTGCTAGGAGCAATTGCCAGCTTGAGAGGTTATGCTGTCAGTGAGTCCTCAGCACTTCTCTTCTGGCAGCATTTATTTGCCTTATTCACCCTTTCGTTGTATATCATCGTGTACTTCAAAATTTTGTAACATGTTTGAGGTTGAGGATTCAATTTGAAAACCTTGGAATGCTATAGTCAGCATGCGCATTCTTGATTCGTTTAAGCTATTAGCTCTGGCATGCTTTCAGCATTCAAATGCAAGTGCAGTGGGAGTAGTTGTATACTTGTCCCATGTCCTCTCAAATTTTGTTTCTTCTGTGTGTCTGAGATTGAAAATAATGGTTACAATGTATGAGCGAAGCTAGTCTGCGTGTTCTTGTTATTCAGAACCATGATGAACTTCACATTTAGTATTCTGTGGTGATTAGAACTCAATTGCCTGAAATTTCTTTTAACATGATTCCACTTGTCTGTTCTCTGGGTTGCTCTGTTTACTTCACTTCATCAGCGACCTGTGTTAGTATATCTTTCATCCTAAGGAGTGTCCAAAGTTATAGTATGGTTTAGTTTCTAACTTACTATTTGTGAATTCACTTGTTTCCTATATCAAATAGTATAAATGGTTCTGGTATGACCTCAATATTATGCTTTTCTAGAAAAATGGTTTTGGACCAATTTGTAGTAATGCAAACTCAAGTGGTCTGCAAATGTTCTATCGCGTCGAATGGTTGTCGCTGATTAGTCTTGAGATCGTAAAATGTACTCCCTCCGTCCTGATATGATTGACTAGTTTAGATTTTCGTTCCTAATACAATTTGTAGTAGAATTGAAAATCTTAACAAAACAATCATTTTGGGATGGAGGAAGTATTCTATATACGGCTATCCACTAAATTTCTCCTGTTTCCTTGCTGTTCTGTTTATACAGTGATGATCAACTTGGTGTCTCTTCTGGTTTCCAGTTTTCATTTGATATTCTATTGATTCTCAATAAGTTGGAATACGATGGCTCTCTGAAATCAAATTACTTAATTAAACTGTCAACTTCAGTTTTTCCTTTGGATTCTTCTGCATTAAAGCAAGCTGTGGATGCTTGTTTCTGGTTGACCTTGTGGAATGTAGTTTATCTTTATGCTATGGTGAACTTCTCTTTCCTTTGGATTCTTATCTTTAATCCAAATACCTTTTGCTGTTCATTTCAAAGCATTTTATGGTACCTGACAGTGTTTATTCAACAAACTATTACAAAACAAAGTAAGAAACAAGCTTGGTAGTCTGATCACTGATGGTAGTGAGAACTATAAGCAGGAAAAAGACAAAGGACATTTGAGAATTGAGATGGAGATATGAAGGTCGTATTCCCGCACGGTAAACCAGCAATTAATCATAAAGGAATCATCAAAAATTCAGCTCCTAACCAGGAAATGCCTCCAACACCCTTTTTACTGGGACGAAAGATAAATAACAAAAGTAAAACTATCTTAAGTATTCCTTTATTATACACTTAATAATGTTACCGCAAACAACTAATAATCGTTTAAGGTCAAATGGCAAGTACTTAGGCGTTTGTCTGCACAGTAAGTCAGCTCCTAATAATCATAAAGGAATTATTGAGGAGTTTTGAAATAAGATAATGATAAAACACATTCTGTGTTACTCGTGGAAGTGTCAAAGCTGTGTAGCTAGTTCCCCAAGGATGCCATCCGTTTCTTTATGAGCCATCCATTGCTTGCTTTATCTTATCCACTACAATTCACAAGCCAAAATATTGCAGGGAAATAAACAACAACTCCATTGGACCAACAACTATCCGACTCCAATATCTGGCCGTTTGATGCAAAAATTACCACCAACTTACAGGTACATTCCTCAGTTTCTGAATCAATATATATGCATCTGTAGATGATGGTTATGAGCATTAGGCTCCACCAAGTTATTGCTATTTACTAGCTAGCCAATGACAACCATCTTTTCAGCTGATGTTTTCCCTCTGTTATTTCCTTATGTTACTCGAATAAATCCCACCTTAGTTTGTCCTAGAAAGACTCTAGCCAGATGCAGAAACCTTGTATCTGATGAAAGGGTATCCAGGCGTTCACAGAAAGTTAAGGTTTCTACTGAAACTAGATCAGCCCACTGGCACTCAAATGATTCTGCAGAACCCAATTTTGGGAAATTGCTTAACTTGTCTTGCAAAGCTGGAAAATACAGTGAAGCTCTGTATTTTCTTGAGTGCATGGTGAATAAGGGTCTCAAACCAGATGTTATTCTCTGTACAAAGCTCATTAAAGGATTTTTTAGTGTGAAAAATGTCGAAAAAGCGGTTAGGGTCATGGAGATTTTGGAGAAATATGGTGAACCGGATGTTTATGCTTACAATGCCGTTATTAGTGGCTTTTGTAAAATGAACCAGATTGGTTCGACGAATAAAGTTTTGAATAGGATGAGAGCTAGAGGATTCTCACCGGATGTCGTCACTTATAACATAATGATAGGGAGTCTTTGTAACAGGGGAAAACTTGGATTAGCCCGTAAGGTTTTTGATCAGCTGATGGAAGATGGTTGTCAGCCTACTGTGGTTACTTACACAATTCTTATTGAAGCAACTGCAATTGAAGGTGGCATTGGTGAAGCTATGAAGCTTTTTGATGAGATGTTATCCAAGGGACTTCAACCTGACATGTATACTTACAATGCAATCATTAGGGGAATGTGTAAAGAAGGATTGATGGATCGAGCTTTTGAGTTCGTTAAGAGCTTGCCGGAAAGGGGTTGCAAACCAGATTTGGTATCGTATAATGTCTTGTTGAGGGCTTTGTTGAATCAAGGAAGATGGAGTGATGGAGAAAAGCTGGTAGCTGAGATGCTTTCTAAAAATATTGAACCAAATGTTGTTACTTACACCATTATGATTAACGCTTTTTGCCGAGATGGCAAGTTGGAAGAGTCCCTTGAATTACTAAAGCTCATGATGGATAATGGTTTGACTCCTAATAGTTACACCTATGATCCATTGCTTTCTTCGTTCTGCAAAGAAGGAAGAATAGATTTGGCAATTGCTTTTCTGGATTTCATGATTTCTAGTGGTTGCTCACCTGATATAGTCAACTACAACACACTACTCTCTGCAATGTGCAAAAATAACAATGCGGATCAGGCGTTGATACTATTCGAAAATCTTTCAGACATGGGGTGTCCTCCAGATGTGAGCACTTACAACACGATGGTTAGCGCATTGTGGAATATTGGCAATAAAGCCAAGGCGTTGAGTATAGTTTCTGAGATGATTAGTAAAGGAATCGACCCTGATGAAATTACATTCAAAACACTTATATCATGTTTATGCCGAGATGGAATGGTAGATGAGGCTATTGAGTTGTTGACAGATATGAAAAGCAGCGGTTTCCCACCTACGGTAAGTACTTACAATCTTGTGCTTCTTGGGTTATGCAAAGCTCATAGGATAGATGATGCAATTGAAATGATAGACAAAATGGTTCGGAAGGGCTGCCTCCCGAATGAAACATCATACGTTGTAGTGCTTGAAGGGATAGGATTTGCAGGATGGCCAGCTGAGGCCATGGAGACCGCAAGCATCCTTTACAAAAAACATGTCATCACAAAAGACTCGGTTAAACGATTGAAGAGAAGTTTTCCCATGGTTGAAGTTGATGAAGCATTTGTAGACACAAAGAAGCACTAGCCTGTTCTATACGAAAGCATTTAGTTTATGACAAGTGGTACTTCTAGGGACAGGATGACAGGTTAGGAGACACCCTGTGTCGCATCTCGTCTTGTTTAGTGCTCTTAAGTCACTTGCAGTACGTCCTGTCAAAAGTTTCGTAATACTTGTAAATTTGACCGAGTTAGGGATCAAAACATTAAGCTTATTACTGATATATTTTGTCATGAATTCTGTCTTTGATATACACTTGCCAGAAGCGGGCAGTTACATTCCAGGTCTAAAAAAGTTCTTTATTGCTTCCATTCTGTGGAAATGTGAGTGATCCACTGATGTACAACTAGGTTGCCGGTTCGCCTTCTGGTCCAGTTTTCAAAACATAGCTGTACATCCGTTAAGTGTCTAAAGATGAGGTTAGCTACAAATGCAAATATTTACGGAGTTCTTTTCTTTTTCTCCTCTTTTGGAGTTAGCAGAAAAAAGGGTGAACAATTTGAGAAAACTACTACTGATACGATTGGTAGCTAAAGTGAAGCTTGTGGTATTGCATTCGATTTGATGGTGAGGAACAGAGTTTGACAAGTTCTGGAGACAAATGCAAAGGAAATTTCCGCAGAAAAAGGTCAATACAGTTGCTTTAGTAGAAAAGAAGATACGTGAAATAATGTAGAATGAGCAATGATAGTATGCTTACATTATTATTGTTAGTCCCTCCAATCCCGTTGCAATAGCCTATTTGATTGTACTTTTTAGTTCAATAAAGTAAATTATTAAAAGACAAAATGCACTTTTGGTCTCCCAGGTTTGGGGTAGCAAACTCGAGTCACCAGATATTTTCAATTGGCAAATATAATCCCCTAAAAATATTTTTCTCATCAATTTTAGTCTATTTAACAAAATTTTTACAAAATTGACAGAAAAAATCTACTCTCCGTTAATAATAAAATATTTTATTAATTTTTTCGATTATGGGTCCCACATTCATTTGACTTAAAAAAAAAACTCACATAAAAAGAAAGAAAAAACTTTTCTTTCCTCCTCCTCCCTTACCATCCGGCCGTACCACCACAACCACTGACCGCCACCACCACTTCCGCCTTCTCCACCTTACTTTCCATTGCCATCGTCTTCGCCACCTTAATTTGGCCATAGTATTATTCCTCTTCATCAATCATCAACCAAAAACCCTTGAAATCGTATGGAACTCTTATCTCTTTTGATAGAATACATAAATACGGAAACCCTAATTAGGGTTTCCGATAATCACGGCTAGGGTTATTGTAATCTTGTACTATATATATGATATTGTACACATGTAATAAGACACGAAAAATATTTTTTCATGGTATCAACCGCTTTCCTGGGACGCCAATTTTCTTAGGGTTTTCTGCCGCGCGCCGTTCCCCTCTTCCTTGGTCGGTGTTGATTGTCCCTTCTTCCGGCGACCCTATTCGTTCCTCTCTTTCTTTTAGCTTCTCTTTTGCTGCAGTATCGTGGGCTCATCTGTTGCCTTCGCCGCTTCGCCGCTTCGCCGCTGCTACTTGCTCACTATTACGGCCGTCTCTTTACTTCCTGTGTGTTGCCTTCTTGCACCATTTCTTACTGCAGTTCACCGTTTCTTGCTGTTGCTGGTGTTGTTCTTCGTCACTGCAGTCATCATCTCTTGCCGTTGCTGCAGAAGATTGTTCTTCTCTAGTTCGCTCCTAACGCGACTCCGCCGACGCCGCCGCTGCCTGCTTGCCGCAGTTCGCTCCAGTTCGCTGTTGCCGCCGTTCTCGTTTCCCCTTCACACTGTTCCTTGTTGCTGCTATTTGCGGCTATCGTGGTTTGTTGCCACTGTTTGCTATTTCCTGTTGTTTGCTGTTTGTTCATCTTCAATCATCATCCTTTGATGTTTGCTGCTGTTGTTGTCCGACCGGCAATTCTTCGCTGTGTTTTTTCCGACCGGCAATTTATAAAAAAAAAAAAAAAATTGTTTGATCTTCTTCGTTTGCCTTTCACGTCCCTGCTGCTATGGCAAATTCGGCCGCCTCCGGTGTCACAGGAACTCCATCTTCTGATCACCTTCAAACCACCCCCAACACCGCAACCCTGCCACCCTCTTCTTCTCCTCATCCGGCCATTGGCCTTTCAAATATTAAGAACTACATCACCCATGTTCTTGACTTCACCAACTACATGCTTTGGAAGGAACTCTTTCTTCCTGTTTTCCGCGGCCATGCCGTCATGGGTCACATTGACGGTTCAAATCCTTGTCCACCGGCGACTCTCGCTGCCTCCGATGGTTCTTTTACTCCCAATCCGGCTTTTCAATATTGGACCCAAATTGACTCTATTGTGCTCTCGTGGATTCAATCCACTGTTTCTACTGAGATCTTGCAGGCTATCATTAAGCCCAATTCCACACTCACAGCCCGAGATGCCTGGCTTACGATCGAGAAGCTGTTTCATGACCAACTTGGCTCTCGGCTTCTCCATCTGAAGCTGCAATTCCGCAGCTTGAAGAAGGGTGAAGCCACAATCAATGATTATGTCACTCAATTGAAGATGTTGGCAGACTCTTTGACCGCTGTCGGTTGTTCCATCTCCGACTCTGATTTGGTTCTGCAAATTCTCGCCGGTCTTCCTGCTGATTATCAATCCGTCTCCACCACCATCAGCCACAAAGTCCCTCTTCCTACCTTCGTTGAGGCTCGTTCGATGTTGTTCTTGCATGAGGTGCAGCTTCAGAACATGGCCCCTCCTTCTTCTCCCGCGGCAACCACAGCCTTGGTGGGGGCTGCTTCACCTGGTTCTTCTCAGAGGCCGACGTCCTCTTCTCAATCTCCTGTTTCATCCAGTCGTGGGCATGGAAGGGGTCGCGGCTTCCAGAATTCAAGAGGCCAAGGTCGCGGGCGTGGTCGCAATCAATATTTTGGTCAGTCCTCTTCTCCGTTTTATCACTCTTATTCTTCTTATCCGGCTCCCATGTTTACTCCCAGGCAGTCTGCTCCCTCTCTTCTTGGACCGCCTCCTTCTTCCTCGTTCAATTCGGGTCCTGTTCGATGTCAATTGTGCCACCAGTTTAATCATTCTGCCCGGGATTGCTATCAATTCCAACAGCCCGCCTATTTTGTTGATCAACATAATCGGCTTTCTGTCCCTCCATCTGTTGATTCTTCTTGGTATATGGACGCGGCTTGTGGTAATACTATGACTCCCAATCAAGGTACTCTTACTAATTCTAAACCCTATCTTGGTTCTACTTGAGTTGTGATTGGTAATGGTTCAAATTTACCTATTAAATCTGTTGGTACACTTCCTTGTTCTCAATTTCGCTTTCCTAGGGTTTATTATGTACCTTCACTTACCAAAAATCTTGTTTCTGTGCGTCAATTTGCAACTGAAAATCAATGTTCTATTGAGTTTGATCCCTTTGGTTTTTCTATGAAGGATCTTTGGACGAGGAACCCTCGTCTACGTTGCAATAGTGTTGGTTCCCTTTACACTTTCTCATCCACCATTTTGGCTCAATCTCGCGCTCCGTCTTCTTCATCATGTCCGGCGTTTGCTTCCGTCTCTTCTCATGTCTGGCATCAACGCCTTGGTCACCTCAATTCTTCTGTTTTATCTACATTAGTGTCACATCGCCGCCTTCTTGGTTCAGTGGTTTCCTCAAATAAGTTTAGTCTTTATCAGACTTGTCAAATTGGGAAGTATCATAAGCTCCCTTTTATGCCTTCTACTTCGGTTGCTTTCAAAGCTTTTGATTTAATCCACACCGATGTTTGGACTTCTCCCTGTCTTTCATTTAGTGGTTTCAAGTTTTTTGTCCTTTTTCTTGATGATTTTACTTATTATTTATGGGTGTATCCACTTAAACACAAATCTGAGGTGCCTCACAAATTTATTAACTTCTATACTCTTGTCCAAACTCAATTCAATACTTCTATAAAAACTCTTTAATCTGACGGTACTCTTGAATATGTTCACTCTCATTTTTTTCAATCTTTTCTCAACTCTAAGGGAATTGCCATGCGCATTTCTTGCCCATACACTCCTCAACAAAATGGCAAAGCTGAGCGCATGAATAAGACTGTCCTCAATATGGTCCGCACCCTCCTCAATCAAGCTCACTTGCCACCTGAATTTTGGGTAGAGACCTTAAATACTAGTGTTTATCTGATAAACTGTTTACCTACCAAATCCAAGAACAATTCTATTCCCTTCTCCCTTCTTTTTGGTACTCTACCTAATTATGGTGTCTTGTGGGTCTTTGGATGTTCTTGCTTTCCTAATCTATCTCATTTAGCTTCTCACAAGCTCCAACCTCGGTCCACTCCATGTATCTTCCTCGGTTATCTTGAGTCTTATACAGGTTAACGTTGTTTTGATCCTACTTCTAAAAAAATTTACACTTCCCGTCATGTTGTTTTTTATGAAACCTCTTTCCCGTTTCCTCAACTATCTTCGGTTCCACCACTCTCTATTCCCAACTCCCATTTTAGACATCCTTCGTTTCTCATTCCACGGTCCATTCCCACTTCCGTGATACCTTCACCTCCTCAACAAAAAGTGTCAACTGTTCCTTCTATACATTCAGACCCTACACCTTCTACTTCCTTGTCAACTCATTCGGGTCCTCCTGCTTCAAACCCTCCCACTCATCATATGGTCACCCGCACTCGGGATAGCACCCGTAAACCTAAACAGATACCCTCTCTTACTACTACTACTACAACATCTTCACTTCCCCATGAACCAAAATCTTTCACTGAGGCCAATAAATACCCTGAATGGCGAGCTGCTATGAGTGATGAATATAATGCTCTCCTCACTAACCATACATGGGATTTGGTCCCTCCTCCTATTTCTGCTAATATTATTGGCTCAAAATGGATTTTTCGAGTTAAGCTAAAATCCGATGGTTCACTTGATCGATGTAAAGCACGTTTGGTTATTGTGGGGGGATGATAAAATATATAAATATGGAAACCCTAATTAGGGTTTCTGATAATCACGGCTAGGGTTATTGTAATCTTGTACTATATATATGATGTTGTCCACATGTAATAAGACACGAAAAATATTTTTTCATCTTTGTTCGATTTCGATGGTGGGCGCCGCTACTCCGTTGAAGGTGGCCAAGACCGTGTTGGAAGTCGCCGACTTTACATGGACGGTCGTTGAGGGATTTCGCCATCATAATCTCCACCACCGCCACCATACAGCGACACCGGCGCCGACGGCGAAAAAAATCAAGGAAGAGAAGGAATTGGAATCCCTGCGGACAGAGAATTGCCGCCTCAGGATTTTACTGGAAGAACGAAAGCTCAAACTCCTGGAATCTTGCCTGCCTGACCTTCGACGGGAATTGAAGAATTCCGGCGGGTGCGGTCACCAACTCTCTGTTTCTTCCGTGGAGGATGATGATGAAATTGAAACAAAGGATTATGTAATTGTGAACGAGGGAGACGTGGTGGACGGGATTGAGAATTTCATGGCGCAATGCGTCGTTTTGGATCCAAAAACTAGGGATTTGGCGCCAGGGAAGCTTCAGAAAGCCATAACCAAAGCGATGGCTGTGAAAAGTAAGGTGGAGAAGGTGGTGCACAGTGTTTGTGGATAGCCCCAGGACGGCAAACGGATTACGATTAATTGAATCCGTGTTTTGCCCAAATGCGGCAGGTTGGCCGAATCCTATAACTGAAGGACCAAAACCAGAACCACCACCACCAAACATGGCTTCAAAGTTCATGATCAAAATTAGAATTACGAAAAAGAATACCGAACAATAGAAATTAGGTTAACGGGTGAATTCAAATTTGTGTTTGTCGTGAGAGAATCAATTGAACAATTCGATTGAGATTCAAGAATAAAAAATGGGGTTCTCCGGGGGCGACGGCGAGGAGAAGCAGTGGCGAGGAGTACGGGTAGAGCAAAAAAAAGGTCCGTTTTTTGGTTCCTCTTTTGTTTATTCTATTTTTTGTTTTGTTTTTTTTTTTGCTGGTCAAATAGTGGGTCCCACAAACAGTATATAATTGAATATAATAAAAAAGATTGACGGAATGTGGCATTCTCCCGTTAATTTTAGAAAATTTCTATTAAATTAACTAAAATTGAAGAAAAAAACATTTGAGGAGATTGTTTTTGTCAATTAAAAATTCATGGTGACTTGATCTTGCTATCGTAAAAAATTGGGGGACGAAAAGTGCATCTGATCCATTATTAAAATAGAACGAAAGAAGTATTATTTTTACGGTAAGTGTTAATTGTTTCGTATTGTTCAGCCAAGTCCATTAGGAAACTTCCATTAGGATTATGCTTGGCATAGTATTGCTCATTAATCTTGGTGGTTGCTTTCAGTGAGAGGAAAACAAGAAAAACTAAGCAAAATGCATTTTCTTGAGAATATTCTAAACCTTGATGCCTTAGATCATAGTAGGTGAAGAACTGAATATATCATCCCGAGACATTTAATTATGAAGAATTGAACAAAAAAGATGATGACATTGCCATTTGATCAAAAGATATGAGGAGAATTTTGGTAAAGAAAAGGCAAAATCCATGCCTTTGTTCCCCACTTTCATCGTACATAATTTAAAGCAGTTATGATTCTCTTCACACATGTTGAGGTTGACAGAGGCTATTAAAAAAACGAAGGCCTGAAAATGTCATGTAGTACCAAAAAAGGTCGTGTGTCCGATATAACAATGATATCTCTCTTGGAATCAAATCTAATGTCTTTACTCAAAAGCGTAGTCGCTCTAATACTACTTTGAGCTTTTATTATTAAAACTATAATGGTATTTATGAGGATGATTAGGGTTTTCTATGCTTACCGGCCACGATTTATACAATCTACTCCTACACTTAGCATGATTCCAATCCTAGTCGATTTAATATCACATTTCAATAATATAATTTATTTTCACTAACAAAAACATATGTGTACCGTGTTTAATTGAAAAAACAGAGGAGTTAATTTTTAATTTGTGAACTCTATCGATCCTTATTATCATGGACCTGATCTGGTCAAGCAATCTGTTTAGAGAGACGAGAAATTAAAATGAAGGATGAGCTGAATAACAAATAATGTCTCTGTTTTAAAAGAAATAATTTACATTATAAACTTTAAAACTCAAAATACGCTATATTTTTCTGAAATGGAACTGAAAGAATATGTTTTATTTTGGGTTCTAAGATAAATAACAGTATGATATGAAAACGACTCATCATGATTGGGTTATTAAAATTAAAAAAAAAAAGATGGGAGACGCGGCCTCCAGTAAGATGAAGAGGGGAAGAGGAGAAAATGGGAATACAGTTGGCTTTGTATATTTTACGTTTTTTACCTTAGCATTTTACAGTTATTACGACTTTTAGAGAAAAAAAAAAAAGAAAAAAAGTGACAGAGATATATACACAGAATACGTGCGCCACCCATGAAGGTGGAAGGAAAGTTAATTTGACGACTTAAGCTGAGTTGCCTTTTGGACTTTGAAATTCTTTGTGTTTAACAGTCTTTTTTTCAACGGAGGCTAATGCATCTTGGCCCTGTAGCCATCGAAAGAGGTGGTCACAGGTCAATTGGCCATGCCTATTTTTAGACCACATTGATTGTTATGCCATCATCATATTTCTTCCCTCTTACCAGATAATTTTAATTATATTTTCCAGCAAATTTAATGAAAAATTCGTTCTTTCAAAAATATATATATATATATATATATATAATTTCAATATAATTATGGACCGACTTACCATCAACAAATATCATATATTTTCATTGAATCCAACTCCAAGCGAAATTTTCTATAAAAGGTTCTCGTAGGAAAATAGAAGTTTATAGTGATCAATTTTATCCAGATTTGAACTCGGAACAAATTTAAGAAAAGAATAAACAGAATTATTTACTACTTGACCTAGCTTAATTAAAAAAAAACTAATAACTACGGTTACTATTCTAGCTTCAAGGCATGCCTAAAATGAACAGAGAAATGTCAGTTGTTCTATATCTTTATGTTCCTTTCCTGGTCAGACTAAAGGAAGGATAACGCAGATTTTGGTATTATTGTACGTATTGATAATTAGTTTTGAATTGACTGTTCAAATCATAATGTACTAATATTTCAAACAGACATATTAGGCATATTAGCGTACTAATTCATATTTTATTTGAAAAAATAAAGAATTGGTTATCAAAAAAGAAAAAAATAATTTATTGAAGAATTTTTACTTGGCAAAAACAACATATCCGGCTACAATTCAAGATTTATACCAAACAAATACCTTTGTGGTACGTAACATATTAACAAATAATTTTTTTAAAAAAAATTGTTGCTTGAAAAACTTCGATTTTTCCTTAATATCCTTCACAATTCACATACTCCAAATTAAAGAGGTCACAATTTTCCAATTGGATTCGTTCAGTGCTTTAAAGATTCTGTTGCCCCATCCGCCTCCCTTCTCCACCACTCACCTCTCTCCTCCAGGCCAATTTCTCTGATACGATTCAACCATATAATCTTAAAATTGTATTTAACCAAAATAAATAAATAATTGTAAAGACGTACTGCCATTGTCAAAAAAAAAAATAATAATAATTTATATTAAATTTTTAAATTTGTATTAAAATATCAAAAATCAAAACTCCATATTAGTTATTTTTCGGGAACAGAATCATTCTTGGGTGAATACTCTGTGGCCTAAAAAAAATCGACTTATTAAACTAAAAACATTTCAATAAATTAAATTAGTTAATAATAGTCACTTTGCATTTATCTAATACTGTTATACTAGACTAATTCATACTATCTCTGTCCTATAAAAATATAATTCATATTGAATTTTAAAATTTGTATATTAGTTTTAATATAAATCTCAAAACTCAATATAAATTTTTTTTTTTTTTGAGACATGCGGAGTCATTTGTTTAATACTGGTCTCTCTGGGTCAATGGTTGACAGATAATTGGTAGTCCATGTAATTTTGGAAGTTGTTGTAAAAAATCAATGAAAAAGTTAAAACAATAAATAGTGAAAAATAAAAATAGACAAAAACCCCACAAATCCCTCCTCCATTTCCCCGCGTTAATTCCAAACCCTCCAGATTCCTCCCAATCTTCAATCTATAAATGCCGCCACCCATGGATGAGTTCCACTTGCACTTGTTCTCTTTCCTTCCTCCTCCTCCTTCCACCACCACATTCGCCAATCTCATCCCTTTCCTGTCCACAAATCTCTTTCTCCCTCACAAAACTACAATAACCCTTTTTGCACATTTTTCCAGATTTTCATCTTTCCCAAAAGAAATCAATTCAATTCTTTTATGGATTCCTGATATTTTTTTCCCCCAATTCTTTTTTTCTCCGACTGACCCACATGAATGTTTCCCTTTCAAACCCTAACCCTTTATCCCATCTCCTATATTAGATGATAATAATGATCTAGCCTCCCCAGCAAATATTAACAAAAGTCCATTCTTTTTTTCATTTTAATAAAAAAGATTCATTTTTTGTGGTTTTGAATACAAACCCTTATCATGGCTGTCGCCTATAAGCATTATTTGAGCTCTGAGAAGCCCATCAAATCTGTGGAGTCAATGATGGTTTCTACCCAACCATCATCCTCGCCGACGAACAGGGCTTCCAAGGTTCTTTTAACCCAAGATGAGCTCAAAAAGATAGCGGCTTATGAAGCTGTTAAATTCGTTCAATCGGGCATGGTTTTAGGCCTGGGAACAGGGTCCACAGCCAAACACGCGGTGGATAAAATTGGGGAGCTTTTGAAACAGGGTAAATTGAAGAACATTGTTGGGATTCCTACCTCTAACGTGACGAGGGATCAAGCAATTTCCGTTGGGATTCCTCTCTCAGATCTTGATAAGCATCCGATTATGGATTTGTCCATTGATGGGGCGGACGAGGTGGACCCTCATATGAATTTGGTCAAGGGCAGAGGAGGGTCATTGTTGAGGGAAAAAATGGTTGAGGCTACAAGTAAGAAGTTTATTGTTATTGTCGATGAATCCAAGCTTGTGAAGTATATTGGAGGGAGTGGATTGGCTATGCCTGTTGAGATTGTTCAGTTTTGTTGGAAGTTCACCCTTAGCAGGCTTGAAATGTTGTTTATGGAAGCCGGTTGTGTGGGTAAATTGAGGAAGTTTGGGGACTCCGAGGAACCTTTTGTTACTGACAATGGGAATTACATTATTGATTTGTATTTTAAGAAGGATATCGGGGACTTGAAGGCTGCGAGCGATGCAATCTTGAGGCTTCCTGGTGTTGTGGAGCACGGGATGTTTCTCGACATGGCGACAACTTTGATTGTTGCTGGTGAGCATGGTGTCCGGGTGACCAATAAGTTAACTTGAAGACGGAGGTAGCTTTCCTGTTAGTTCTATCTATTTAGTTTTAGCTGACATGCTAGGGGATCTAGTAGGTTGCAAGATTTACTCTTGATTAGATTGGAGGGAGGTTTTCAGTGGCTCTTTTTGTTATTTTGAAAGTTGGCATTGTCTCTCCTATTGTTCCAATTTAATGAATTTTGATTGTCTTGGGGCACAATTCGGTGAAATAACATAAATTCTTTAGATGCTCCCTGGATTTCTACTTATTTTCTCTTCCTTTTGTTGTTTTGAGTTCTTGGCATTTTGTTGCAATGGAATTCAAACTTTTAAGCTTTTGATACTCGGATGTTATTGCAATATTTTTGCTTACCCTGACAAAGAGCTACAGGTTTTGAAAATGGTAGCTTTGCATATGCAGTTGTGGTTTCAGAGTTTATGTAGCTTGTGTATAGTTAAATATCATTGTTAACAATTTTGGAGGGGATTGTATATTCCATATATGCCCATGAATTCATTAGACTGTAAGCCCCATCTATGTACTGCCCCAAGGATCTCTGGCTTCAGTTCGTTCAGAAATCACTCTACTTACTTGGCGACTGCTTTATCATGTGTTTTATTTTTTTTGTTATGTAAAAAATCACAAACTCATAAGAAATCGTGCACAATTTGACATGATTTTCCTATTGTAAAAACAGCCTTTGCCAGCTGCTGTATGTGCATACTCTTGGATAGCTTTTATATGTTCATTGGTTTATCATTGGATTTGGGGATGTTCAGTATGATCTTTATGTGGAAGAAATACATTGTGTGAATTCTTGTGTTGTTCCTCTTGTCCAGCTTAAAATTACAATGTTAGTTGTGTCACCCTTATTAATCTGTTGTTGTATCTGCAACGAATGTTCTGTAAGTGAACTCCAGCTATATGTTTTGTGGTTTTGCCAATGCAAATGTTTGTTATAGCTATGCTAACAGAAATTGTAAAATGGAGTCTCAAAAGATCTCGATCAACAAAATAGATAAGAATAAGTGCATTTTTTGCTCATATGACTATGAATTTCAGAGATAGATTTTTGAAATGTTTTAGTTTACTGGCGATAATATAATGCAATTCTGTGATATCGCATTTTTTATGCCATTGTTGGAACTTCTGTTTCAAACTGGGAGCCTGCAGACTAGTTACAGCTGCTTGTTTAGTTTCAAGGTTGATATTTGGCTGTCAAAATGTTTCATTTATGAGTTACCAAGCTGATATTATGTTTCATACTGATTCAATCAGCATATTGGTTATATATAATAGCCCATGCCACTATTTGTGAATTTAGATCTCATTGATGCAATACTGCAGAGTTTCCAGTTCATTTCTAGTATGTATATCTCATTGATAAGAAACAGAATTGTTGCTTGGGTGTTTCTATCAAGCCCCCCCAAAAAAAAACAAAACAGAATTTAAGACACCAAATGGTTGAAGGACATCAATGTGCTGCATGCTGTAAAATCTTTGCTTCTTACTGTATCAGAGCGAAGACTGGTGGAAATGATGGTAGAAAAGAATTTGAACTTGAACTTGAAGCCAGGCATCATGTTTCTTTAAACTTCCCGTACTAGACAGAATAAGCTATTTGAGGCCAAGTGGACTCCCAGTTGAACGGGGTCTGATAGTGGGAGTGCATTTGTTTCTTTTGGTACTGTTATTATTGATATGTTGTTAACAAAATCAGACCTCACCAGGTCTTCAACAGTCACAAAGGTTGGGGAAGATATGCCAAAAAAATGCTTTTTACAAATCAATGCATTCTGATTTAATAACACTATTATGCAATTCTTTGCTAAAAAATCTTTTCATTTAGGAACTAGAGTTTACGGATTTACCGTGAACAAAAGACAAGACAAGAAGTGAACAACTGTAAATTAGGCTTGTCCCACAAACCTAACTTGGCTACCTCTCTCAATTCTCAATGTACCGTGAAAAGGTTCTCTGTATGCTTGATCTTCAAGTTTTCATCTTTTTGAGCTATATGAAATGCTTTTAACCTGTCTTGGTTTATGATGTTTATAAACATCAATTGTATGAAGTATCATCTGATCCAATGGCTTGAAAGTTAAGCTCCTTCGGATGACCTATGCTGCTCTCACTTGTCTTGTTGAAACACTTGGTCATCTGTTTTGTTTCCCATATTTTGGTTTGAAAATCAATGAACTGACTATTGAGGCTTGTATAAGTAAAGTGGCAATTGAAGATTTCAATACTAATTATGTATTTGAGAAAATTTTTATAACACTTGAGGAGATGATGTGGATTCAGCTTACAATCTCAGAGGTTCCAATAGGGAACTCGATAAGTTCATATATACCCAGGAAGATACAGAAGTTGAAGAACAGATAAAGAAAACTCTTGGAGATCTGTTGGATTGTGTTCCTAGCTATAGTTAATATGGCTGGTCTTCTCTCGAGTCAGGAGGACAACTGAATTCCGGAAGAGTATTGGTGATAGCCTAACTTCAGTTGTCACTGATAATCCAGAATGGTGAACTAAAAATACTTTCTCTGAGTTCAGCCACTTGCCTCATTGTCAGAAAGCCTGTTTTCTTTACATGGGAGGTTTCCCTGAAGATTGTTAAATTTGAGGCTGAGAAGTTGGTTAATTTGTGGATTGCTGAAGGCTTCTTGCATCAGAAGCAGAGATGAGTACAGCTAAACATAAGGGTGATCCGAAAGCTCTGGGACAGCTTACTGAGAATTATAAAGACCCAAAGCTCTGGAACACTTAGCAGGGTATTATTTGGATCATCTTATTTCTAAGAGCTCACTTCTTGCTTGGAAAGAGAAGTTCTAATGACAAAACGAAAACTTGTTGCAGCCATGATGTCTTGCTGGAATTTGCGTGAAGGAAGCTCAGGCTTTAAGTCTTATGTGTCTAAAGAAAGGGTGCAGAAGTATTACCCGTCAATGGAAGCATTCAGCATCGTATAAGTTTCCAGTCAAAAGTTTGTCATGATTTTCGAACAGTGCCTTCAATGTCATTTATGTGGTCTTTTCTGTGTTTTTCCATGAGCTCTAGTTTAGAATTTTGATCCTGATACCATCGTTGGTTTCAAATTACTAAGCATTTGAACAGTTTCCTTTTCCAATGATAACGTTGGTTCTCTCAAGGTAACTAGCACTTACAGCTGCATTTGAGCTTCCAAAATCGGTTTCTCAGGTAAGGTTCAAAGTTTGAACACGACTCATTCATGGTCCCTGGATCAGCCAGGATAATTGGGAAGTCCCAGCTTTGTTCTTGTAGTACTGGAAGATGCCTTGGTTAAGAAAGCTTCATACCAGTATGACAGTGAACTTGATGTCCGTTTGCTCCCAAGACAATATCATTTGCCAACTGTACCAAGGAAGCGCTTGCCATTGTGCTTCATCTTAGTATCTGGAGTGTGTGAAACCGAAGATGATCTGATCCGATTGCTTATCCAAGTGCATCCAGAATCTTCTCTACCTTTATGAACTTGGAACTGAAGTGTTTCTTCAATGAACCGAAGGCAAAAAAATTCTTGCTCCAGGTATTTTGCCTCTTAACCTCCAAAAGTTGATATTAAGTGGGGAGTTACAGGCCATGGAAGAGTATTATCTATGTTGCCCTGCTGCCTTGTCTTGAGTTCGTAAGTTGAGGATCAGAATGGGAGCCATCTGAAGAAGGATTTCGATAGTTAAAGCACTTGCTGATTGGGACCTATTTTTTTAGGTCTTGCAAGTTCTTGGAGGAGATACCGTGGAGAAATTTCTACTTTGCAGCTAGTTGAGTTGCACAACAGCAGTGTATCTGCTGAGGTATCTTCTGAAGAAATTTGAGAACAAGTGGACGGCCTCGATATTCATATCACAAGATCGTGATTGTAAGTGAAATTTTAGCATTTACAAAGTTTCTCAGCATTTTCAGCATCACCATAGATGTTCGCCGAATCCCTTCGAATCATATAAACTTGTACTTGATGCTTTTTTCCTGCATCTACTATTCTTCCCTGGTGCAAAATCTACTAGGTTTGGTTGCTGCTTCTTTGAATCACTCAAATCTAACAATTGATGAATCACGCAACTCGTACATTTGTCTTCAAACCGTGGAGTAATTCCTCAAGTTGTACATAATATATGTCAATATTCCCAATGTAAATATAATGATAACAAACCCGGAAAAATAAAGAAAGAAGAAAGAGAGGAGACAAGTAGTAGTTTTAAGAGAGGAGATTGTTTCAAATTGGAGAGTCTGAAGAGGTCAAGTGGAATAGGTAAAAATGAGTTCGTCATTTCTTGTTTGACTCTCTTTCCAGCCAGCCCAATGTTAGAACAACTCAACGCCTGCAGAGCCATAAAACACATAAAGAATATTTAAATGTCATTCTCAGTTAGACGTATGCGATATAATACAACAATAAAAATCTTCTTTTCCTCCATGAATTCAACTTGTTTTCTACTTCACATCCCAATGTTCATATCGAGAATTCTAACATGGCCAAGAAAATTTTCACTTTGATTCTAGTACTAATCAGTTTCTCCCTTCTCGGTTCGGTTTCTCAGTCTCAGCAACCTCAAAACACTACCAATGATATATGTAATGGCATAATAATCTCCTATACTTATACCTCTGGGGAACAACTCGATCCAACCCTTCTTCAGTCTGACCCTAATCAACAACCTTACAAGTTTGAATCCAGCTTAGAAGTTCAGAATGCTGGTGTTGAAGAACTCAAGAACTGGAAGGTTTTTGTTGGGTTCAAGCATAGAGAATACCTAGTGTCTGCCTCTGGTGCTGTGCTTGCAGATGGAAATTTCTTGCCAGGGAATGTTAGCAATGGCACCATCTTTTCAGGTTCCCCTGTGACTGATCTTAAGACGGCGGTTGAGACCGCAGGCGATCGTAAACAGACAACAGCTGTGGTGAATCTGGTGGGAACAGAATTTGGTGTTGCACCAGAAAATAGTCCCATGCCTTCCAACATTAGTCTTGTCAATGATGGCTTCTCATGTTCCCAGGCTAATATGACACAAAGTAAGCAACTTCTCTTCGTGTTTTCGATCACGCAGATCTTCCCCTTCCTTGTTAGATTATAAATTGAACAATCCATATGCTCAGAATTTAAGCAACTCACTCTTTAGACCTCTAGAAATGGTTATCAGACTAAAAAATTCATCAAGAACATGGTCAAATGCTCTGACCTTTGAAACATATTACTTAAAATATGATATGTTTGGTTTTTAATTTTGGACGTCCTTATTTGTTTGTGACTATCTTATGTTGGAAAATTAAATAAAATATATGCTTCCAGCCTGCAAATATAGACATCAAGAGTCTGTAGTTTGTCATTTGCCTGCAAGTTTTCTTTCAATGGTGACTGATATTTAAAGTTTCAATCTAGGTAAGAATGTGACAAAAGTGTGCTGCATCAAAAGCTTGAATGCAACATCACCAAACTTAACCACAGATAATTCCCCTCTCCAAGATGGTGATTTAAGCATTATGTTTGATGTGATAAGTGCTTCTCCCACATATTACTGGGCACAGGTCACTATATCCAACCAGAACCCCATTGCCAGGCTAGACCATTGGCAACTTACATGGGAATGGATGCGGGGCGAATTCATCTACGCGATGAGAGGGGCGTATCCAGCTGTTGTGGACACGGCCGACTGCATTTTTGGTCCGCAGAGTTTGTACTACAAAGAGATGGACTTTTCAGTAGCATTGAGTTGTGACAAAAGGCCGACAATCATTGACCTCCCTCTGGATAAAACTAATGACACTAGCCTTGGTTTGGTGCCATTTTGTTGTCGTAATGGCACGATTCTTCCAACAACTTTGGATGAGAACAAGTCAAAGTCCTCTTTCAAGATGCAAGTTTTCAAAATGGAGCCAGATTTGAGTAGCAGCGCCATCAATCCTCCACAGAACTGGAAGATTAACAGCACATCTGGACCTGGTTATGTGTGTGGGCAGCCAATTCGCGTGGGCGCGAGCCTCTTCCCCCACACGCAAGGACTAATTTCCGAGGTTGCAGCTGTTGCAAGCTGGCAAATTGTATGCAACATTACAAAAGCAGAACAATCCTCTGAAAAGAAGCCTCCAAACTGCTGCGTATCATTCTCGTCGTTCTTCAATGAATCCGTCATTCCATGCAACACTTGCGCTTGTGGTTGCAGCAATCCAAACCAGACCAACACTTGCGATGCAACAGCTCCACCGCTTCTTTTACCACCCGAAATGCTTCTGGTCCCATTCGACAACAGGACTAAAAAAGCCGTGGCTCATGCGCGTTTACTCCACGACAACGTGCCCAATCCTTTACCCTGCGGGGATAACTGTGGAGTCAGCATCAACTGGCATCTGCTTTCGGATTATAAAGATGGATGGACAGCAAGAATGACCATTTTCAACTGGGGTGAACAGGACATTGTAGACTGGTCTGCTGCAGTTGAAATGGACAAAGTCGTGCCTGGTTTCGAAAAAACCTATTTATTCAATGGCAGCATCCTCCCTAATTCTCACAACACCACATTATTCTTCTTTGGTCTTCCGGGCAAAAATTACCTTCTAGCAGAAAAAGATTCAGACAACCCGCGGAAACATCCTCCGATCCCGGGTTCAATGCAATCTGTTATACAGTTTACCAAGAAATACACGCCTGGAGTCCATGTAGACCGCGGAGATGGATTTCCCACCAAAGTTTACTTCAATGGGGAGGAATGTTCGCTTCCTACAATGCTTCCAATCAGTTTTGGACATGGAATCAAGGCAGCATCAGCTTCTATCAGCATCCTCCTGAACTTAATCATTCTTATACTCTTGTTCCAATAGTTAGATTCATGGGGGCATTAGTTCATTTTTGTTCCTTGCTATTTTTTTGGTAGATTTTCACTTAAATTATAGAACTATGAATCCATTTGTTTAAGTGATAATAACAAGTTCCTAAACTTCAACAGAAATCTCTTTATACAGCACGAAAAATATGCATACATCGATTAAAAGCTGAAAATTGTGTTTGCCAAATCTGTGCATTAGCTTTTGTAGGCCCAAGAAAGTAACATCATCTCCTTCTTCAGCTGAAAACCCATCCATATCTTGCATCAACCTTAACACCAATTCGTCACCAGAATCAAACCTAATTACCTAATTCATGATCAGATATCTTCTTGTGAAGCTCCTTATTGGGTGCTTCGTACTAAGTGCTACGTACCATGCATCATACAGTTCAGGAGTAGTCCCGCGAGAATGGCCAAGGAATCTTTTGCAACATTTTGGTGTGACAATAGATGGATATGGATGTAGTGTGGGCTTGTCGCAATTCACATGTTGGCATTGAAACGTGATAAGACCCGAATTATTCATTACTTTCTAGTTAATTGGCATGGCATGTTTAATCGAAACTTAATTGATAGTGGCATATTAATTAAGCCGGCAAATCTACATGCATGCATGATGCATATCCACAAATTTTGATGAAGTTCTTACAATTGATGTTTTTAAAAAAATCCAATGGTCCCATTTTAATAGTCGATTTTCTGGAACTAAAAAATGATTAAAGTGGACTGTTAAATGATTTTGAAAGAAAAGTATTTCTTTAGACTTATCATTTTCAATTCATACAGTAATCAATTATTAACAAACACCAAAAGTTACTAACAAGTACTACAACTCAATCTGTTTCGGTAACCATGCAAGTCATTGTGTGGTCCTTTTCAATTATTGTGTTTTTTAAGTTTTAACAGAAACATGCTGGAGAATTAAAGTCCCCACTAGCCCAGAAACACAACAAAAATTGATAATACGTATCGAAATTGTCTTTTCTAATAAGCCTAAAAACTCTGGATAGAGTGCTGTCTGAAATTCAGCCATAACATAAAGCTGCTATAAAATCCTCTGCAGCTGAACTCAGAGTTCTTCAATGGCTGCCATCTTCATCATGATGGAACCATATCTTCAAACACTCCTAAACGTGTCCTGCACTCTCATTTTTCTTCTATACTGTTTCTTCATCTACTACAACTACTGTGTTTGGAGCTTGAAGAAAAATGGGAAAATCCATACTTCTCTACCTATAAACTGGCCGGTCGTAGGTATGCTCCCGGCTTTGCTCCGAAATGCTCACCGGCTTCATGAATATGGTACAGAGATTCTCATCGAAAGCGGAGGGACGTACGAGTTCAAAGGGCCTTGGTTTGCTAATCTTGACATGGTCCTCACTTGTGATCCTGCCAACATCCACTACATCCTCAGCAAGAACTTCTCAAACTATCCTAAAGGTCCCGAATTTCGGAAGATTTTCGAGATATTAGGAGATGGCATCTTCAACGCTGATTGGGAATTATGGGAAGTTCATAGAAAAGTCACCCTCTCCATCATGCACCATCCCAATTTCCTCACACTCCTGGAGAAGACTCTGCTGGAAAAACTAGAGAAAGGGCTGCTCCCAATCTTGGAGAATTACAGTAACTCAGGAGCTGAAATTGATTTGCAGGATATATTTCAGAGGCTAACTTTTGACAGCATTTCAAGATTGGTTCTTGATTATGATCCAAACAGCCTGTCAATGGATTTGCCAAACATCCCATGTGAGAAGGCTTTTAATCAAACAGTGGAAGCCCTGTTGCAGAGGCACATATTGCCTGAAACTTGCTGGAAGCTCCAAAAATGGATGAAATTTGGGAAAGAAAAGAAGCTTAGCGAAGCATGGGATGCTTTTGATCAATTCATCTACCCTTGCATCGATCGGAAGCAGCAACAACTTTCTTGTCATGGTAATTCCGACGAACAGTATGACTGCCTGACCGCTTTCATTACAGCTTACGAATCCGCCATGAAAAACATCCAATCGAGTTCCAGCAACACAAAATCCTTCCTCAGGGATGTCTTCCTGAACTTAATGCTCGCCGGAAGAGACACCACAAGTACGGCTCTAACTTGGCTTTTCTTTCTTCTGACCAAAAACCCTTCTGTAGAATCCAAAATTCTCCAAGAAATCACTGAAACTAAAAAGTTGAAGAAGAATGAACCGATGTTAATAAGTACGGAAGATGCCCGTAAGATGGTTTACCTCCACGGTGCACTGTGTGAAACTCTCCGGCTATATCCATCGGTGGCTCTGGAACATAAATCTCCGGCGAAGTCCGACGTTCTGCCAAGTGGGCTGTCTGTAAATCCCAACTCGAAATTGGTTCTGTTTTTCTATTCAATGGGAAGAATGGAGTCCATTTGGGGTAAAGAATGTTTGGAATTCCAGCCGGAGAGATGGATTTCCGAGACCGGAAAAATCAGACACGAACCGTCCTTCAAGTTCCCGGCGTTTAACGCCGGACCCAGAACTTGTTTAGGGAAGGAGATGTCGTTTGTTCAGATGAAAATGGTTGCGGCTTCCATCATCTACAGTTACCATGTCCGGCTGGTGGATTCTCATCCTGTCTCCCCTAGTGATTCCATTATCATACAGATGAAACATGGCTTAAAGGTTGTCCTTTCCAAAAGAAAAATCTAACGTTATAAGTATATTACTATTTCAGATTCTTGTATCATCTGTAATAAGAAAATTTCCATGAATGAAGAAGCATCATGGATGCTGGATAAAATTGTTGTAATTGATTTTGCTTGTGGTATGATTTTTTTATAATGATTAATCAAGTAATGTTGGTACTGGCATATGGTGATTTCATATGATTCTTGTTTTAGTAGCTGTACTGGAAAGTCGAAACTTGGGAAGTTGCTACTTTGCTGGAGTGATTGAGCAAATAAACTGAGCAGAAGCAGCGGTCATTTGTTTGGGGAAAACTAAGAAACATTCCAATGTGTCCTGACATGGTAAACAATCAGAACTTCACTGTCTTCAAACAATTAATTGTGCCTAAACTACCAAAAAGTTGCTCGTCGTCTTTCTTTAGTACCAAAAGTATTTTTGGTTACCATGTGACACTGTAAAATTAAAGAGTATCTTTAATCGATTTTCTATTAGGAATCCGTCCCATTAACTCATTTTTCACGTGGAAGGTACATCCATCTTTAAATTTCCATTGGATTTTCAGAAAAAAAAAAAACGAAAAATTAATTATGATCAACTTCTTCTTTCTTTCTTTCTTTCTTTTTTTTTTTTGAAGATATTGATGTCCATAAATTCAATCTTGGTGGTCTGCAACATTACAACAAGAAGTCGATCCAACAGGGGTGAGAACAATTCTCGTTCACCACAGAAACGAAAAGAACAAATTCCCCCCCCCCGGGAACCATTCAAACGAAAGAACATTTTCTGTGGGGGCGGGCTAGGAATTACAAGAAACGGGGGCGGAATTTAAAGAAAAATATTTGCAGGGCGAAAATAAAAATTAAAATTCAAATTTCATTGTTATTTAAAATATTATTTATTAAAATATAATTATAAAATTTTAAAATTTACATTATTTTCAAAATTACTTTTTTAATTTATCATTTAACTTAAGTACATAGTAAATGATAATTATATTGCACTTTTAACTTTAGACCCACTGTAACTTACAAAATTTACCGAGTTATTGTAAATAATTTAAAATTCAATTTTTTTTATAAAAAAAGAAAAAGAAAAACCAATATGTTTTTTACTTTGACTGTTACAGTAAACCCTAAATAGTAATTATGTTGCACTTATAATCTTGGACCCACTGTAATTTAAAAAATTTACCGAGTGATAATAAATAATTCAAAATTTAATTTTTTTTTTAAAAAAAGCAAAACCAGGAATTTTTTTTTACTTTGACTGTTACAGTAAATCTTAAATGGTAATTATATTGTACTTTTAACTTTGGACCCACAGTAACCTAAAACATTTACCGAGTTACAGTAAATAATTTAAAATTTAATTTTTTTAAAAAAAAATAAAAAGCAAAACAAAGATTTGTTTTACTTTGACCGCTACAGTAAACCCTAAATGGTAATTTTATTGTACTTTTAACCTTGGACCCACAGTAGCTTAAAAAATTTACTGAGTTACAGTAAATAATTCAAAATTCAAAATTTACCGAGTTACAAAAGTAAAAAATCTTGGTTTTGTTTTTTTCTCTTTTTTTAATAAACAAATTGAATTTTGAATTATTTACTGTAACTCGGTAAAGTTATTAAGTTACAGTGGGTCCAAGGTTAAAAGTGCAACATAATTAACATTTAAGGTTTACTGTAGCTGTCAAAGTAAAAAAAAAATCTTGGTTTTGTTTTTTCTTTTTTTTAAAAAATTTTTTGAATTTTGAATTATTTACTGAAATTTGGTAAAATTTTTAAGTTACAGTAGGTCCAAAGTTAAAAGTACAATATAATTACCAATTACTGTGTACTTAAACTAAATGGTAAATGGAAAAAGTAATTTTGAAAATAATATAAATTTTAAAATTTAATAATATTTTATTAAATAATATTTTAATAATTAAATAATGAAATATGAATTTTTAAATATTTTTAATGATTTAAATTTTAATAGAAGTTCAAATTAAATTAAAAGACAAAAATACCACTGATTCCGGCATGTCAACGGCCGAAAACAGTGAAATGGGACCCAAAAAGTTTGAAAACATATTGTTTGGGACTATGATATTGAAATGTTAATGTTAGGGACGTAAATTCAAGTAAATCCAAATGTAAGGGACCACTTGGACATTTTATCCTATTATTAAACCTATGGATTGAAGGGTATATTTACCATTTACACAAAATTAATGATAATGGTATTTTAAGAAAACAAATGGTAAGTTATCTATGAGTCAAGAAAGTATGTGGTAGTTAGTCTACCATTTGCTTTTTTTAAAATACTATCATCATCAATTTTGTGACAAACATATATTGCCAAAACTCATGTGTAGAATGTAGAGGTGTAATTTTTATGGGTGTGCTATAACTTGTGGCAAACTCTTATTTTGTCGACCCACAAATACAGAGTAATAGTCTCATGTATGCTGCTGACGAACTCTACTTCGAGTCCTGCTGTAAGTCATTGATCGTTTGATCTGCATTCTTAACAGGGAAAGAAATTCGCTTTGTAGGGAAAACGTATACTGTTGAAAGGATTGACTGAACATGGCTTAAAAACTGTGGATATTGTCCTGTTTAGCGCGGGCGCCTCTATAAGTAAGAAATTTGGTCCTATTGCGGCCGAAAACGAGACTATCGTTGTTGATAATAGCTCTGCTTTTAGGATGGATGATGACCCTGAGGCTATGGCTCACATTAAGGTTGGAAGTGGAAAAGGGGTATTGATTTTGAACCCTAATTGTTCCACAAATATTTGTTTGATGGCTGCAACACCATTGCATCGCGTTGCTAAAGCGAGGAAATGTTTTTTTTTTATTGTATATGGATGTGATTGAGGACCAACGTTGATGTGTTCTGTAGCAGGTTAAAGTCTTAGCTTTTTATGCCCTTTAAAAAGAGGTAGAAGATGAACCCAGTCCAACTGCTACAGTTCAATTTTTTAGCTTTATGAATTTCAGTTTTAGATGGAGGGAATCTTTATTGGGACAATAAGGACTGGGTGGGTTGGGGGAGAGTTAAAAAAGCCAACTTTATACTGTGGACAAGGTAACTCATGATTCAAAACTTAGCTTGTTGCTGGTTCATGAATCAGCAATCTTGTTTTTCTTGTTTCAGAAAAGAAGAATGTTTTGATGAATCTGAAAAGGGTTCATGAGAATTGGGAAGAGATTGCGACGGCGCGAATCTGCTCGAATCCCAGTGAAACAAAACAATGAAACATAGTACAGATATTAATTATGGACTCAAATGATTGCCTGAAGAGGTCACCGAATTTCGACACATGCTTAAATTATCCTCCATTGAAATCCAATCACCACACTTCAGCCTCTATCTCCTCACGTAACTGACAAAATTTGCAGCAGGATTCCCAGGTTAAAGTGACAGGCCAAGCAATCCAAACCACCCGCTGGAACCAATCCGAGCCTCCCCTTTGTTCCAGTTGATCATTATTTAAGGACCCTGAAGAGCCCGTATTCTTGATCAAGAGCTTCTCCTTATTGACGATTTGAGGTAAAGTTTTTTTTCCTGAATCTATTTATCTCCATTTTTGGAAAATAAACTTATCCCTGCATGAAATGTTGATTAGTTAAGTCGGTTGATGATGCAGGACAGAATGTGGTGCAGATATTTGTTGTTGTTGGCTTTCCTGTTTAGTTTCATACACAATGGAACTGCCGGAGTGACCAGTGAGTTCATTCGTTCTGAGTTCCCGGCTGTCGATATCCCTCTTGATCATGAAGTTTTCGCAGTTCCCAAGGGATATAATGCTCCCCAGCAAGTAATGTTTTCCACAAATTTTGTACTGTACATTCAATCAGTTCAGGTGCAAATGCAGCAACAACTTATGAATTTTTTGCTGTTGTGTAGGTGCACATTACGCAGGGAGACTACGACGGTAAGGCGGTTATAATCTCATGGGTGACTCCTGATGAACCAGGATCCAGCCTAGTTCAGTATGGTTTGTCAGAGGGAAACTATGAATATACAGCAAAGGGCACATTTACAAACTACACATTTTATACCTACAAGTCTGGCTATATTCATCACACTCATGTTGATGGGCTTGAGGTGTGAGCAATTTACATTTTTTAAAAAATTTTCAAATTGATTTTTTTTTTTTTTGGTTTCCTTGACTTTTAGCCATTCTGTTTTCTTGTGTGTAGTATGATAAGAAGTACTTTTACAAGATTGGAGAAGGCGGTTCTGCACGGAAGTTTTGGTTTAAGACACCTCCAAAAGTTGGTCCAGATTCTCCTTACAAATTTGGAATAATAGGTAATATTTGCAGCGCATGAATGCAGAAGACAGAGACTTATAAGAGAACTGTATCTTCGAAATGCTAATGGCTTGTTTCGTTTCTATTACTTTTCAGGTGATCTTGGTCAGACTTTTAATTCTCTTTCCACCATTGAGCATTATAAGGAAAGTGGAGGAGAAACTGTGCTGTTTGTTGGTGATCTTTCGTATGCTGATAGGTATCAGTATAATGACATTAGCGTGCGGTGGGATTCATGGGGACGTTTCGCTGAGCAGATTGCTGCTTATCAGCCATGGCTTTGGTCTGCTGGGAATCACGACATCGAGTACCTCCCCTACATGGTAAATTGCATTTGCATGACAACTTTGTGTGAAATTTAGTCCTACTTTTCCACTTCACTATTGATTTCCATTTTGTTCTCTTCACCAATATGTCTTTTTAGGGGGAAGTTACTCCATTCAAAACATATACTGCAAGGTATCCTACACCTTATCAGGCCTCCAACAGCAGCGAACCTCTTTGGTACGCAGTCAGGCGTGCATCGGCCCACATTATAGTCCTGTGTAGTTATTCTCCCTATGGTAATCTAAGCTGAATTACTTCACCTGTTAATCATTGATCTTTTTACTTGACAAAGTGTGTTGCTTAATTTAGTGCATTGCTTACTGGAACTCTTTGAAACTCAAATGGCAGTTAAATATACACCACAGTATAAGTGGCTTGAAGGAGAACTGAAAAATGTTGACAGGACGAAGACTCCTTGGCTCGTTGTCTTGATGCATGTTCCTTGGTACAATAGTAATGATGCTCACTTCAAGGAAGGGGAGAGCATGAGATCAGTGTTTGAGAGTTGGTTTGTCAAATATAAAGTTGATGTCGTCTTCGCAGGCCATGTCCACGCTTATGAGAGATCGGTTAGTCCTGTTTCATTAGCCTTTTTTGGGTTTTGCTTCGCCTGTTTTCTTTACAATATCTTAGTTTGCGACATTTGGTTGTTACCTGTTGCTGAGTTCTAATTTCTATGTTGTAGCATCGCATCTCGAACATAAACTACAATGTATCAACTGGCCCTTGCTATCCTGTCCCAGACAAATCGGCTCCTATTTACATTACCATAGGCGATGGCGGAAATCAGGAGGGCATTGCCGGAAAGTAAGTCCGTGAGAATTTTTCAGCTGTTAAAATGCTAAGCTAATTCAGCCAGCAGTTAAATCTGCAAGTATAGTAGTACAATTCTTGATGAGTCTTTCTTTTTTTGCTCGGCAGATATATACAGCCTCAACCAGATTATTCTGCTTTCCGAGAAGCGAGTTATGGACACGCAACCCTGGATATTAAGAACAAAACACATGCACTATACCATTGGTTCAGAAACGTTGATGGAGTAAAAGCTACAACTGAATCTTTTGTACTGCATAACCAGTATTGGTGCTTGGAAAAGATGTACCCCTGCATTTGAGTGTTTTAAATTTCTTTTTCCCTAAGCATTATCAGTATTGTAAGACAATAAAGAATGCTAATTCGGCTGATGATGCAGTCACATAATAAAAATTTCATTTGATTGCGTTAGACTTGTTTGCATAGCAAATAAATCGAACTCGAGCGCCTTCCAAAATGATCAAAATGAAATCATCATCAGATTACTCTAAGGCGACCATAAGAATCTGCTTTCTCCATGGAAATCTCAATTCCGAGTAATCTTCCTGTTCTGAATCTGTTTAGGTAGACGAAAATTAGCAAACGTTTTAGACATTAAATGCAGCATTTTATGTCTTGCTCAGCAGATAAGTTCTTCAAATTTGTTTGCAGCAAACGACAATCATTAGCATACAAGGGAGGTAAAGTTTAAAACACCAAGCCTGCTCCCACTAACAAAACAGATTTATTCTTCTGCCTCAAAACAAAATCCAATATTTATTAAATCAAAACGGTTGCTTATGATTTATGTGAAGGTCGAGCATGGTGGCGGCAACATATGATCTATATACCCAATTTTACTTGATGAGAAAAAGACTTGCAAACGGCATAATAAATATGATTTTTATTTTAGAATGGAAAGAGTAGAATGAATCGGAGCCAGATGCGCTAATCTAACATGATGTTATCCGTATTTGTCACTTACCACCAACTTTGTGGATCATTTGGGCCCAAAGCCCGAAGATACCCACCGAATGTTAAGGCATCAAGGTCCTCCAACTCGCCGGGTCACATGAATTGCATGGTCATGGACGACCCATTAATTAGCTATGCTTTACAGTTTACACAGATTATAGGATACGGCGAGATTATACTAAACTATAATGACTTAAGAAAAAAGAGGGATAAAAAAATTTACTAATCAAATGGTTTGTCTACGTGATGGAGTTGGAGGGCTCTTTTAAATCCTTATGTTGAGGGATCCAAACTTACAATGGACATAGATCATCTTTAAAGTCTTTGGTCAGCTGTTGTCCTATTCATCGAGGTCCCTATAACTCAACAAAAAAATTAATCATTATTATTGATATAGTATTGTAATGAAAAAAATTAAATTTAGCAATGCTCATCGGAATACCTAGACTATACCATATAGATCGGTAGGTCTATCCGTCTATGGTGAGGGAGATTAGTAAAGGAAGCACCATGCATGTTTCTTGCCCAGACTCACCGGTCTGTATCGTTAATAAAATCAAATTTTTGTTGTAGCAATAAGGGCTTAGTATCGGGTCTCCTATAAAATTGATATGAAGAAAGATATATCTCTTTTGAAAAGAATGGTCATTTCAATAAAAATTTATAGTACTATGTTGCATTATAAATTGAAATAGTAACAATGAATAAGAATGGATATGGATGGTCTAGGGTAAGAGGAACACTACAAAACGCTGAAGATATTCAGATCAACAATCTACCTACAAAATACTAGTTTAAAAAAATTACTCTCTGTTTTAAAAGAATAATCTTGATATTCATTGTACAAAACACGAACAAGATATCATTTTGAGTTGAATAAAAAACAAACTAATTACTAATGGCCAGATTTGGACTTGCGGAATATGAACGGTGAAAGTGAAATCAAATAGCATTATTAAAGACACGCAATTTTTTCTAAAAGTCAAAAGTTAAAAAAGTGACTCCATCATACCATGCAAGATTTGTCCGGACATTTCTTATCAGGATCCTATGATAGTTATTTCCACTCATAAAAATTTGCATGATGATCACTTCATCTTTTGGGTAGATGATGACATCCCTATGTTTTTGTGCAATGCAAAAATAAATAAATAAATAAAAATAGAAAAAAATGCCAACTACTTTTAATTTATGGCTAGGGTACCTAATTATAGATCACAATATGATAATACATTCATCAACTAATTATCAACAACAAATAGATAAAGATGTATTTTTGCATAATATACATTTTGATCAATGACTTGTTCACATTTCTCTCATACCTTTTTTTTGGTGAATCTCTCTACTTCATATTACACGTAGTTTTTTTTTTTTTTTTACTCTACACGTAGTTTATTTAGTTGTTTGTGCCAAAAAAAATCGTCCTAAACCTGTGAAAAAGAAAGGATGAAAATCTTTCTAAAACATACAAAATAAAGCGATTGTGAATGAGTTCAAAAACCGGCCTCAGACATAGAATCGAGGACTTAGAGTTTACTTTGGTTTAATAAATGATAAGAAAAATATAGGGAAGAAGTGAGACAAGGCAAGAGCGGAGGCCATCAATTCATTAAAATGGGGAGGAGAGCGTCGATAATGCGGTATTACAAAGAGAATCGAATTTACTGAAGTAGAACACGATAAACGACTACCTATTTCTATGAAGGAAAATAGGCTAAAAACTACCTAGGCTAGGCTACACTAGAAAAACATGAAAAAAATTACATGAATGAAAGAACGAAAAAGAAAAAAAACGATAATAGATCGATGATGATGATTTGTGATGTGTGTTTCGTTGATACGTGCGGCAGCCTTTAAATAAAGAGGGAGTGGCCGTGACTTTCTTGTGAAGAAGAAGTATTCACGTACAAAACCTCCTGCAGTTTTGGAGAGAATATAGTGCCCACATGTGATAAACTTTGCTTTCCAAATCCCATTAGGAGTAGGAAATTAATATAGCCATGCATTGAATCCTAATTAAAAAAAACCTTGCTAGTGTAGAACCCACGTGAATCACTTTTCTTCTTGGATAAGTACACTAAAACCACCACATGAAGCTTCCTTAATTCAAGTCTGACTCCAACTCTAAATAAACCAAAAATACACATTTTTATACTAACATAAAGCCCCCCGAACGTCCATATGGAATGGAATGAGATGTGGACGTTGATAAACATATTGTCACCAATAACATGCATTTGGCACAGCACTAACATCGACATAATGCCAACCTGCTAGAACAATAAAGTAACACGGCACCCATGCGGAATGAGGAACATAATGATCAAAGCGAGGTGCATGCTTACATTGCCAAGATGACGGATATCTCCTTCAAAAATCGACTGTTTTGCCAGAACTTCTTGAACTGCATCGACGCCAAGTATGGTTGCCAACATTGCCGCTACGATCCTTATGAGCTTGCTGGAACTGACTCTCATGTGCAGGAGAACCACTTTTTTGGCACCCACTATGATTTCGAACCCGAGATCTTGATGTGATGCTGATACTTTCAACTGCTTCATTAATCGTCGACAACTTACTAATATCTGCAACAGAACCCTCTTGATCATCGTCGGCCTTATCATCAATTGTCGAAACTTCAACAACAGACTTTTTCTCTTCATTACTAATCCTATCCGACATATTGCTGGACTTAGCATCGACAACCTTGAGCTCAAATGCACTGATTCTGCTAGGCCGCATAATAAAAGGTGTAAGCATCGTCGACTGATCTCTTGCAGAACGCTTCTTTTCTCGGCCAATTAATGATTTCAGCAACTCACGATCTTTAGCCAAATCAATCTTCCATTCTACAGCAGCACCATAATCCAAATAGGCATAATTGTTGTCGCCACCATCAAAATCAATGCCGAGTAATTGAGGACCATCATCAACCTTTTCTGCAAAGTGAAAACCATGTGGTATTGGTTTCCCTTTACTTCACTTGCTTCTTCTGTTGGCAGAATGTCTCTTATCATAAAGCCATGCTTAACCGGCAAGGAATCTGTTGCATCATTGACCAATTCGGCACTACTATTGCACCGCCGATCTTGGAAGCCATCATTAGAAACTGCAACCTGTTAGTCTGCTGCTGCTTCTTTTGGAACATCAGTAACTAAGCATTGTGTCGGTTTAGCTGTCGCAGATAAATTGGCATCAGGAGTTGCCACTTGGCCTTGCTCTTGCTCGCTCTTAATTTTGTCGACACTTGGACAAACAGAATTATCAGTTGCAGATGAAACCTTGTCGCAGCTGTCACATATAATCTCCTCAATATCATTGTCGCTGCTAGAAGACTCACAAAATTTCTTGCAATCAATGTCGACAAACTCGTTTTCAACAATAACAGCTTCATTAGACAAACAAAACGAATCAGTATGGAAACAATGCTCAGTAACAATTATAGTTTCAATAATCTGTAATGATTCACACGCCAAAACTATATTTAGTGGCTGCAACACATGTTCATTTGTAGCGACAAACGCTTGTTGAGGGTGCTCTGACTATGTCTACAGGCCTTCCCTAAGCTTGCCACATTCACCATCAAAATCACTAGGTAGCCCCCCAGGCGTCGACGATAAATCTGTCACAGACCTTTCTTGCAACTGATCTGCTGTCGCAACTGAACTTTCACTTGCTTCTTGTGTCTACTGAATTTGCTGTACCACCTGCAAATTCTGTACCTGCGGTAATACTTGCTCATGATATTGTTCCGACGAACACTGATGTTGTTGCGTCGATGATTCTGCTTGCTGATGTTACCCCAGCAATAATTGTTGTTGCTGCGTCGACGACAGAACTTGCTGATATTGTGACGAAAGAAACTGCTGATGCAGCGCCTGTATCTGAACTTGGAGATGTTTCAGTGACAAAACCTGTTGTTGCAGTGCCTGCATCTGCACTTGAACCTGCTGCGGTTACACCTGCAACAAAACTTGTTGATGCTGCGGCGACAGAACCTGCTGTGATTGCGCCTGCAACAAAACTTGCTGATACTGCACTGACAAAACCTGTTGTTGCTGCTGAATCGACACCTATTGTACCATACTTTGACCATTATGTGTAACCATTGGAATACCACCTACGGCCAGCCCCCCGAATCCTGAGGAATCTTGTACCATAGACCCGTCATGCCATCTGTCGACAGAACTAGATTGTTGTTTCGCACCAGATTGACTATAGGATTGAGGAAAGCGGCCATCAAGGGTAGCCTGCCATCCGATATTATTTTCAGCCCCAAAAGAATTATGTGCTACTTGTGAAACTACGGGCTGTTGAGAGATATATCCACCAAGTGGTGACGAATTATAAGAATATGAAGATTGAGGATTACTCGGCGACCTATTATATAAAGAAGAAGTATGGATTAGATCCCTAGGGCAACTAAGGCCATAAATATGACTATTAGAATAATCCATAATAAGAAAGAAAAATAAAGATTTTTCGCAAAAAGTTTTTTTTTTTTTTAAAAAAAAGAGAGATTTTGAAAAATAGAGATTTTAGGAAGAAAAAACACCACGATCTAGGAATCAAACCAAATCTGGTCCCATCAAGCGTGCCATTATGTTTGTGCCAAAAAATCAGCCTAAACCGTGAGAAAGAAGGAGGCAAAATTTCCTAAAACATACAAAACCAAGCAATTGTGGATGAGTTCAAAACCTACCTCGGACCTAGAATCAAGGGCTTAAGGTTAACTTTGGTTTGTAGAAAAAAAAAGCATAAAGATAATGAGGGGGAAACGAGCCTAATGGCTTCAATTCTTAATAGTGGGAAAAAAACCCTAGCACTGGCAAATTATTGGTGGTGTGTCGTTGACGCGCTATTACAAGGAAGCAAAAGATATTAGCGCCGACTAGACCTTGTCGATGACACGCTATGACACAGAAGACAGAGATATTAGCACCGACTAACCATAGAAGTTGCCGATGATATGCTATTACAGAGAAAGACCGAATTCACTGAAGTAGAATCCATGAACTACTACCAATTTTTATGAAAGAAAATAGGCAAACACCTATCTATGTTAGACTACATCTAGGAAAGAACGATAAAAGACATGAAGTAAAAGACTAAAAAGAAAGAAAATAAAAGACTCGATTGATATGATGATTTGTGATCTGTGTTTCGTTGATGCGCGCGGCTGCCTTTAAATAAAGAGGGAGTGACCGTGGTTTTTTTGTGGAGAAGTAGTATTCACGTACAAAACTTCCTGCAGTTTTGGAAAGAATATAGTGCCCGCGTGTGATAAACTTTGATGGCCAAATCCCATTAGGAGTAGGAAATTAATATAGCCATGTATTGAGTCCTAATTAAAAAAACCTTACAAGTGTAAAACCTACGTGAATCACTGTTCTTCTTAGATAAGAACACTAAAACCACCTCATGAAGTTTCCTTAATTGAAGTGTTACTCTAACTCTAAATAAACCAAAAATACACATATTTAGTGCTAACATTAGTAATAGAGTCTTTATGGCCCAAACTAAATGTACTACTGTTTTGTTTGTTGTACAGCCGTATATATTTCTGTACAACAAGAAAGATACACAATATGGATTATGGAGCGGAAGAACGATGGTATATATCTTTTGATGCACAGAAAAATGAAATAATTTGCGAGAATTGAATGACAATTTTTAGTGATTAGGTTGATGTTCTTCCTGGTAATAGACCAGGATTCGATTTCCACCAGGAGTTGTAAGGAGAGTTTTACTCATACTTAAGTGGATCCACTGGGGTGGATTTTTTTTTTAAAAAAAAAAATGAAGTAAATTGCACCGCAAAACAAAAGAAGGAAGCAAAGTATTGTCGGAACGTAATTCCGTATAAATTCAGCCACAATTAATAAAAGCAAAGAGAAATATTATAGTGGTAGTAGTGCATATATGCAACGTATATTAGTGACTACAAATGGAAAGAAAACGAAATCAAAAGGGCCAAGTTGAATCAGATAGATAAAGATGTTGCATATATAAAGCAATCAAATTGGGGAGCTTTTTTTTTTCTTTAACTTTGTTGTCTCCCATTAATTAAGTTCTTGAAAACGAATGCGACATTATTAAGCTTGTAGATAGTGATCAACGTGACCATTTCATTTGTATACGTGCAAGTTCAGGTTTCTTATTTATTCATTATTATACACTTGTCCAATTTAATTTGATGTTGTTGATGATTCATCCTGCAATCCCCCTCAATGATCACATAGACTAGTTTTGTTTCTGTGATGTAATGCATGTTACTCGTATGAGAATATCCAACTTCAATATATTCATCTTAAATAGTTCAATAATCATGACTTTTATTTTGAGACGTAATAGTATTAAGAATGAATCAATTGGATGAGCTTGAGAAAATTGGATCTTATCAGCTCCTTTCCTTTTCTTCTTTTTTTTTTTTTTTGTGGCCATGATCTTGTTCCCTTCAGGTTGGAGACCACATAGACATAGTGACAGCTCTATGGCATTAAAGCTTTACAATCATACAGAGGAAAACCATTTCTGTTCTTTTAACTAATTTGTTGTAATCAAACGTATATCTTGTTGTGGGTTCACAAGCACCTGATTGAAACTGGCGATCACTCATGTAAGCTTCTGAATTTTCATGCTATTCTTAGAAAAATTTGTCTTTTATACAGTAGATCATTTTCTATAGTCTTTAGATATAGACACATACACGTAATTTCGTGCCGCTACAACTAAATCAAAACACGTAAGAGTTTTTTTGTCCTTTCGTACAATTAATTGGTTCTGTTGAGGAGAGCTTTTAGTTGGGAAGTACTATAAATGATTTCATTCTAATCTTAACAGGTTAAAAAAGAAAGAAAGAAAGAAAAAACACTAAGGCTATGTTTGTTTTATTTTTTTCATGGTTTTTTCGCAATAATATAATAATAATTGTCTCATCTTAGTATAACGTTTTATATTTTTAACATATTTTTTTACATTTTCAATACATAAAAAGACGCATTAAAAAACGAAATAAATATACCCTGAACAAGATCAAGATCGCTACGGCTACGTTGTCAATAAAACTAGAAGAGGAGTCGCAGCATCCTACGCCATAATCATATCGAACAATTGGGGATCAGAAGTCAATTTCTTCGGCTGCGAACCGCTTGCAAAATGATGACCCTTTCATCTTGCGAAGTGTAATAATTTTGGACCAAATTTACTGATCCCATAATCTTTTTGACCTTTTCGTTCCACTCCGACTAATTAATTGCATGCCAAATTGCTCAAAACTTTTAAAACTTTTTAAACCACATAAACATCATACACTCAAAAACCATTTTGAATCAAAGTTGTGTTTATTAAAAAGATAAAGAAGTGTCTAGCTAGCGTAAGAAGAGCAAACTAAATGAATTTTTTTTTTTTTTAATCAAATTATCAATCTTGCAAACTGCAATTTAACGTATAATGCCTTACAGAATAGTATTATTTTAATATAAATTTAAAAATTCAATGTGAACTATTTATTTGGGACGAAAGTAGCAATAATTTCCGTCAAATTTTCTTCTGATAATGGTTGGGTAAAGGAATAAAATTTTGTCACGTAGCACAAGTGCGCCTCACTTAAACATCATTTTACTATCGTTTTTGTCGGAAATCAGACCTTATACATATCCTTAGATAATTACTATTATTATTAACGACCATTCCAAACGTCGTACATGCAGTTTACTCATCCGACAAGAGAAAATTACACCCGGGAAAAAAAATAAAAATTCCAAAGCTAATACAATGACAAAAATACAAAATTAAACAACAGTCCAAAAGTAGCCAGTTCATAACTATTTTTTGACAACGAAAGATGTTATTATAAATCCATCAAATCGGTTAAGGAAGGAGGCTTCAAAGATTTGTTAGGGGACCACTATATTAAACTTCAAAAAATTTAAAAAAAAAAAATGGCACAGACCTAACACATTTTATTCTCTCTTAGAATAATGATATTGGAAGCGTAAAATATTATGTAGCTTTTGCACTATAACACCAAATATAGTACTCATGATCCCTAATTAAAATGGTTTTGTTCACTAATTGCATCTACTCTCCTAGCTAGTTCCTAAACACAAAACTAAAAGAATGCTATATAAAGGTAAAAGTATGGGTAATAGGGTTTTCATTAATCCGAAAATTAAACAATGAATTCGACCATTCCTTCAAAGGCTATACTTCTGTTTTAGTCCCCTCAAATTAATCACAAAACTTTAATTTGCACGCGTGTTTTATTAATTAGTTTTAGAGATCCCTTTTATTACTTGAAAGGGCGCAAAAGCTCATACATATGTCCTTCAACTTGAAGAGTTTATTCAGTCAGATCTTCTTCACCTTCAAAGGCAACTTTGTCCACTTGTAAGTGCAAAGTTGTAACTTGTTAAGCTTCACATCAACAAAATCAGTCAAATGGACTCAACTTTCAACAAATGTAGAAAATATTCATTCAATTTGTGTATCAATCGTATCTAATGGACGTTGGATAGTGAAATATTATAATTAATTAAAAATGCATAAAATAGCATCTGTTTGGCGATAGGGATTAGTAGATTGCAAAAGTAACAAAAGTAGAGAAAATATTGCAATGCATGAACGTATATAACTCGAGGACCAGTTGATATAGCATAATCACAATGGCTTGCATCATTTGTTTTGGGTAAAAAAACACTACAATTTTATTTCTTCTAACACATTCGATCAATAAGCATAATTTAGTGGTTATTTATATTTGCAATGCACTGATGTAACGTTCCATCAAATCAAAGTAACCCGACGTTGGAGACTGCAAAGTGCTTTGCTTTTCTCCCCATTTTTTGTAAAATGCTAAAATCTTTTCATTAGTTTCCTGAAATATAGCGCAAAAACCTATTTTTCCGCCGCAAAATCCTCATTTGCAAGCCAAGAAAAACGTTATTTTTTGCATTATTATCTTCTACATTTGACCGTTGGAATATTTTTATTGAAATTTCATCATTTAAAAGAAGCACATCAATAGTATGAAAATCATCATAATGTGGTTGTGGAACAAAAAAGCAACCAAAATTACAATATTTAGCGAATTTTCCCCAAAAACCTAGTTTATTCTCTTTAACAAAACTTAATTGGTAAAATACCTAATTCCAATAATTGATTGAATTAGAAAAAAAAAAAAAGATCTTAAAAGAAGAAAAGTACAAAATATTTTCTTCCACCTTCATCGCGTAGATTCGTTCAATTGGGCCCACCAGTCCCACTTTCCCATTGATTTTCTCTTTAATGTATTTCTGTTGTTTTTATTCTCTTTTGTGACCTTTCTAAATCTTTGTAGCAGATCTTTCTTTTTTCTTTTCTTTTTTTTTTTCATTATAATTATTATAATAATTATAAAAAGAGCTTTATTAGTTTACTTCCCCTGCTCAGCTTACTTCCTTTGCTTCTCTTTTATTCACACCCGCCTTTTTAATTTCATCAGTTCATCACTTCCCCCATGTGACTCTGCCTCTCATTCCTCTATAAATTCATGGCACCATAATCGCAACTTATTTTTTTGTTGCTGTTTTTCTTGGGGACCCTTTTCCAGATTTTGTTACTCAAATGAATTTCCTAGGCTCTTAAAAGAAGAATATGCAGAGAGAATGAGGGGTGCAAAATCAATTGATTGCCGTTAATAAATGTGAAAAAATTCTTCAATTAAGGAGTTTTTTTTTTGTTTTTGCTGATTGCAGCACACTTCATGTGCGCAATCTACTGTTTCAGTGAGATTTGCAGTGAGTGAACCCACCACATGTGAAAGATCATGAGGGCTTCCACCGTCTTCATCTTCTTCTTCTTCTTTTTCAGCGTGTCCATTGTTCTCTGCTCTGTTGATGCTCATCCTTATTCCAATGATGACCCTTTCAAGTCTATATTAGGTTCGTTCTTTTTCATTCATCTTCACAATGCTACTATATTTTGGACTGTTTTCGGGCTTGCTTCTGATAAAGTTTGGTTCTTGGAATGTTTTTAGCTTTTGTGGTGATTTTGATAACCGGGTTATTTCTTTCTCTCTTTTTTTTTTTTTCTCTCTTTGTACGAGGTAAAAGTCTTGGTCTTGGTTTGTTATTTTCTTGGTAATGGTTTTCTTGTGATGAATTATTGTTTATCTTTGAAGAAAGCTGGGGTTATACATATTGTTTAACTGTGACCATCTGGGTGTTTTTTTATGCATACTAAAATGGGATTGTTCAAATGTCTAAAGTTTTGGTTTTAGATGTGTTGATGATCATACTTTAGTATTTGCGGAGTGGAAAGTAGTCCGTCAAAATTTCGAGTATTTGATAATGACGTGAATTAGAGAATTTGCCGTTTTGGTTGTATTAGAGGGGAAACTAACTTTGATACTTCATTTTATTTTTTAGAAGATTTCTTGGCGGTGTTAATATTTTCTCACAAAAATAGCCTTTGTTGTTTCCCTTTGTCTTGCATCTGGCATCATTGTTATTCTTTTTGCGGATTGTTGACCTGGTGACGTGCTGGTTATTGGACATCGTTAATAGGCCAATTTTATGAATGTTTGTATATTTTGGTATGATCTTAGTAACAGCAAAACTAGTGCTGTTTTCTGGGGGGGAAGAAAAGGATTTATTTTGAGATTTGACTCAAAAAGAGGAGTTTTCCAAATGTGTGGCTTCTTGCTTCTTTTGATTTGACTAAATTTCACAACTCAAGTTTTGTGATTTTGAAATTTTTGGAGACATGTTCTTTCAGAATTATAGGATCCTTTAAATGAAACTCTTTTCTTATTTCGAATTGTTGCAAATTGTTTGATTCTCTTAAGCATTATTTGTTGGTTACTTTTGTTCTTTCCTTCTTCAGTCCGCTAGCCATTTTTCCCTTGTAGAAGTTTCCTGATGTAGATATGCTGAAATATGTAGGACAAGAGAACTTGGGGTTGTGGAAGGATGGAATATTAAGCGCAGGTGCTGCACAAGCACCAGGGCCCTCTGATGATCAATCTACGGGCACGCTTATATTGGCAGCAATCAGAACAAAGAGACCAGACATTCTTTCTGGTTTTAGAAAATATAGAGGTGGATGGGACATTGGCAACAAGCATTACTGGGCTGTAAGCTCCATCATCGTCCTTGATGTTGTCTTCCTCATTTTGTAGTTAAGATTTGTTGTTAATTGCATCAGATATGAGATATGAAAGTCATCAATCCTTCTCTGATTCATGAGAGACATTCAGTAGTTTAGGATATATGAAGATTATCAATATAATCTTGGATCATTTACAGAAGAGCAGTAAATGGGCCTTCTTCCCCTTGGTTCTAATTTAAACTTCGTGTCACTGTGTTTTTCCCTCTTTTGTTAAGTTAAAAGAAAGGTTAATTATTTCCATAGAGTTGATGAGGCATAGAAAAGTTGTTTTCGGGAAACATTAGCCAAGAAGATTTTTGGTTTCAGTTCTATAGTTATTACAAATGAAGTCAAGAGTTGTCTCATATGGAACAGAGTTTACCCTTTAGTGAATAACATGTAATCTGAAGGGTAATGTGTTGCAATCGCATTAGAGATTTTTAAAGATGGGTGTGAAAAAATATGTGTCTAGATAAAATATCATGTTCTGTGTCACTTTCAAGAAATAGTTATGGATTGTGTATAAACTATAACAATGTTCATGTATTCATTCATTGTGATGTTAAACTGGAAGAAAAGGATAGAAAATGAACTCTTGGTGGGGCAAACGCTGAATCATCAATCTCCCCATGTCCCTCAGAAACATAAAAGAACATTAACACATTTTGCTTGGAAGAACTACAGTGCATATGAAGCTGGTTCTTTAACAGTGCCCAGTAGCCTCCACCCCGGTCAATATATGTTCTTTTTGTTAACTTGCTGTGCATGATTTCATTTTCAGCAAAACCAAAGTGGTGTTTTTTATGCTTAATCTGGAGTTTTTTCGTTTTGATACAGTCTGTTGGGTTCACTGGCGCTGCTGGTTTTATTCTTGCTATGCTCTGGTTTATGTCATTTGGTTTGGCTCTTTTGGTACGTCATTTCTGTGGATGGAAGATTGATATCAAAGGCAATGAATCTGGCCGGTCAGAAAGAGTTTGTTTGATGTTGCTCATTCTCTTCACATGTGTGGCAGCGTAAGTTTCACCAATCATGTCTTTTTGGAGAATTGTTTCAAACTAAATTATTCTTTCCACTTTAACCTTCCCCTTTGTAATACCACATTCATATCAGAAAAGGTACCCAACAAAATTGTGATATTAGTCACCCCAATTCATTGTCCTCTTTTGCTATGTTAGGCATGTGCTGTTCTAGTTAGGTCCCCTTCAAAAGATATTCACTGATTACAGCCAACTTTTGCTTCATTCTGTCTGCAGTTTCATTATTATCTTGATTTTGCGTTTGTTATTCTGAGAAATTTATTGGAGCTTAAGAAAGATAAAGATTGTTGTTTTAATGCGTTTATAAAATGTCCCTTTCATTGTGATCTATGGTTTTGTCCATCCCATAATCTCATGTTTCCTGATTATTTTATCAGTTGTTCTTTCAGCCTTAACCTAACATAGTTCCCTGCTACCAGGATTGGATGCATACTTCTTGCAGTAGGACAGGGTGACTTCCGCCAAGAGGCATTGCACACCTTGAAGTATGTTGTCAATCAGTCTGACTACACAGTTGATACATTAAGAAATGTCACAGCATACATGGAACTTGCAAAAACTGTCAATGTTGCACAGGTTTTCCTACCTTCTGATGTCAAAGATGACATCGATCGTTTGAATACTGAACTAAATGCTGCAGCAGATACCTTGAATGAAAAAACATTTGAGAACTCAGAGAAAATAGAGAAAGTGTTCAACACCATGTATGATATCCAAGTGTTGATATTGTTTTTCTATTCCATTTAACTTATGTTTTAATATGTTCTGATCTCTTGCCATTTTTTTTTCCAGACGATCTGCATTGATAGCTGTTGCTGTTTTGATGCTTGTAATTTCCCTACTGGGTTTAGGTATGTGTTGAATTCTTTCATTGTGAACCTTTTCTGTTTGCTGAGGCAAAGGGAAAGAAAAGGAACCAACAAAATGATAAACAAATTGTCCAACCTTAATAGTTTCTTCAATTTGTGTTACTGATGCTATAATGTATTCTGCAGTCCTTTCTGTACTCGGGTATCAACATGCAATCTACGTGTAAGCTTTCCCTCTTTTCTCCAGAAACTGTTTCGTTTGTATCTGATGCATATTATTACAAGCATGTCCCTGGTTTTCATGTCAATTTAGTATTCTCACAACTTGGCTTACTTGTACAGATTTGTTCTCAGTGGATGGTTGCTTGTGGCAGTTACTTTCATTCTTTGTGGAGTATTTGTTATCCTGAACAAGTAAGCATTAACTTTCGATCTAGTGTTCCATTCTCAGGAGTTCTTTCTATTTGTTTTTCACCTCAACATTGTTGGAACGAAATATGCTTTTATACCTGTTCTACAACATCATACATAGGACTGTTTTGAGTAAAATGTTTTCTTGAATGTGCTTGTATTTCAGCAGTTCCAAGTTACAGATATTTTTGTCAGACATTTGATAATTGCGGTGAGACTAAAGGTAAATGATTTTGTGTTTCAGTGCAATCGCAGACACCTGTATGGCAATGGACGAATGGGTTGATAACCCTCACGCAGAAACTGCACTAAGTAATATCCTTCCTTGTGTTGACCAGTCAACCACAAACCAGACTCTATGGAAGAGTAAACAAGTTGTCGATGATATTGTAAATATAGTCAACAGATTTGTAGACTCGTATGCTAACCGAAATCGTAGACATCGACATACGACTTATTATAATCAGTCAGGGCCACTGGTGCCCCATCTTTGTCATCCATATGATTCCCTTCTGCAATATCGTAATTGCTCAGATCAAGAGGTTTCTATGGCAAATGCTTCTGCGGTAAGTTGTGTTAAAATGATCATTTATCTCATGCACTTAAATTGAAGTCACGTGTTTTGTAAGTTTGTAATCTAGTGGGGAACGAATGATGAATAAGACGAGGTCTAAAAGAGTAGTACGTTGCATTTGCTAGTAGGAGAAACATAGTTGACTTCACTTAGATGCTTATTAAGTTAAATGCATAAAACTCTCATGATTTTTTCTGGGAATTTTTTTTGAAAATCACCCTTTCTGTTTCCTTTCAGTCTATCTCATCCTCTGCATTATTACAGCCTTTGAGGCTGTTTTAGGTTTATGCACTGAACAAATTGTTTACTTCTGATCAGGTTTGGCAAAATTATACTTGCAACGTGTCACCTGAAGGGCTGTGCACCAGTCCTGGGAGGTTGACACCGGAGATGTATATGCAAATGGTAGCCGCTGTTAACATCAGTTACGCTCTCGATCACTATACTCCACCTTTGCTGAGTTTCCAGAACTGTAACTTTGTTCGTGATACATTCCGCAACATCACCCTGAATTACTGCCCCCCGTTGGAGCACTACCTTGGAGTTGTAAATGCAGGACTAGCTATGATCTCTGTAGGAGTGATGCTCAGTCTCGCGCTGTGGATTCTCTATGCAAACCGCCCCCAAAGGGAGGAAGTGTTTGCGAAGTTTAGTTTACGGATTAAAAGTAGCTGCAATGGTAAGAAAAGCTGCAGGAATAACGTCGTCGATTCCTCGCCTAGAAACCCTAATCCAGGAGATGTTCAGATTAGAGTAGAATAAGGTTCAACAATAGTAACACGATAGGAGAAAGATCTACATCTAATTTAGAAGAGATTAGATTTTGTCCTTTCACATCTGCCAAGCTCAAGATGAGGCGAAGCAACACTTGAGTTGTGGGCTGCTTTTTTTTTTTTTGGGGGGTATCAAAATGTGTTAAGTTTACCATCTACTATAATAGTAGAAGTGTTAAGTTCTTCACATGTTGCTTCAATAATTGTTCCAATGTATTTTCACAAAAAAAAAAAAAAAATGTTCAAATTTAACCCTAGGGAGGACCGATTAGCAAATCTACTTTGAATATTAAAAGTTGATTTGTGTAGGTAATTTCATAATAATTTTACAGAAAAATGATAATAACACGGTTTCAAAAGATAAAACAAAATCCAAATCCCAAAACATAGAGGCTATTTCAGTGGTAGTACTACCAGAAATCACCCCGACAAAAAGTTACAGATTCAGCGCAATAATAACCACTGTCAATTTTGATTCCATTACTAGCTGTAGGATTACAAAATAGTACTTTTTCTAACTCTTTTGTTGCAACCAACTGCTCAACTCAACGAATTTTAGGTCCCAACACCCAACCCAACTATACTGTCGAATCACCCAATTGAGTTGTGTTATTTATCTCTAACAGCAATGCCATAACACCAAAATTCATTCCATATTATACCTTTCGTCCCAAAATAACGATAGTGCTATCACTTTAAGTTTAACAAATAAACCTTTTTGCTTTTAGACAAAGAGAATAATAGAGGATCAAATGGCAAACTTAAAATAATACTATTATTACTACAAAAATTGAATGCCGAAAATGCGTTTTTCTTTTTCTTTCTTTCTTTTTTTTGGTCAAATTAATGTAATCTGATTGGACTCTACAACGTCAAATGTCAAAACAGCTACATATCCACGTCAGATTAAAAGTACTCCCTAGCAACCCGCAAACAGTCATTGGTCTTCCTCTTCCTCTTCCTCGGCAAATCAATCAGTCGCCGCCGAATCGCCGATGCAACAAAACGTCAAACACAATCGCCGGAGCTGAATTCCAACCCCATAAAGCCTATAGTTTTCGAAATTTTCATATTTAGATATCCAATCTACATCATCATTCACATGTTTATGATTTACAGGTGAAATTTTTAAATTTTCGATTGAGGGGGGCTTTTGTTCTTGTCGATTCTCGAAATTTTTCGATGCCTTCTTCAATCATTTCTGTATTATTTTTGGCTCTATTTGTTGGGAGTTCGAATTCATCTCCTGCTCCAATCGGATCTTCTTCTTTTTCTCGGAGATCGATTCTCCGGGATATTAGCACGGATGAGATTAAAGGCGATTATGGCGTGGAATTGAACGTTACTAATTTCGATGAGGTTCTTAGAGAAACTCCGGCTACTTATGCGATCGTTGAGTTCTTCGCCCACTGGTAATCCCTTTTAATCACTTATATATATAGCACTAAAGATGTCATCTTTTTCTCTCTTTTTTTTTTCTTTTTCTTTTAATGTTTTGCGTGTATGTTAGGGTAGAAAATGAGTTTTTGTATGACTATAAACATGGCAATTAGAGGATTGCATAGGCACTAGGATCCCTAGGCCATAGATATGAAGTTTAAAGAACTCGTAATTTGTCAAAAAATGATAAAAAAAAGATTAAAACCAGATTTTTAGAATTTTGTTGTTCCTTCTCTTATTTCCTTTTTTTTTTAAAATGGTTTTAGATTCTATACCTTAATTTTGTGATACTGAATGCGCTACAATTTTTCCAGGTGTCCTGCCTGTAGAAATTACAAGGTACTTGTATACATCTTTCTTTGTTTAGTATGTAGTTGTCCTGGTTTAAAGAGTTTCTAATGCCTTGAGCAATAATTTTGCAGCATCATTATGAAAAAGTTGCCAGGCTTTTTAATGGAGCAGATGCTGTTCATCCGGGGCATGTATTGATGACAAGGGTTGACTGTGCTTTGAAGGTATTAAAGTCTCTGCATTCTCTTGTCTCGGTTTCTTGATGTTTGTCACTTGTCAGCCCTTATTGAATAGGTCCTCTAGCTATGGCAACAGTTGTTGATCCTTTTGCAATTATCATGCTGTAATTTAATAACGACCTGTCGACCAAATCTCTCTAACTGATTGTTTCATCAATTTCAATTGTTTGGCAGCACAGATAAACACAGAACTTTGCGATAAGTTTTCTGTATCACACTACCCTATGCTCTTTTGGGGCAAACCCTCAAAGTTTGTTGGTGGTAGCTGGTCACCTAATCAGGAAAATAGTGAAATTCGTCAAATTGATGACGGGAGGACAGCCGAACGCCTGCTAAATTGGATAAATAAGCAACTTGGGAGGTATTAATACTTATCTTGATTTACTATATCTTTCAGCAGCCTTTCTTGAGGGTCTTGTTCAAAACATCTGTGGCAGATTGGAACAACTTTGTTGTACTTTGTCATTTTAGACTCATACCAGCATCAAGAGGGGTGTACTTTTTGTCAATACAAACTTTTAGCATGTAATAAAATTTTATCATTGGAGAACCTATGTTCACATGCTGATAATGACTATATGATTCCTGACTCCTGGTTTTTCAATCATTCTTGGATATGTTAACAATGTTTTGATTTAGAAAAATCAAAGTAAAATGTAGCGTCTTCTATGTTCTGAAGAATTCTGGTACAGATGCTATTCGATGAAGATATGACAAAATCATAAATGTACGTGGATTGTTTGTATAATCCTTCTTTCCCACAGTGAAACACACTTTGTATTCTCATAGAAGAAAAAGTGCCCATTTTTTTATTTTTTTTTGAAGAAAGCCCTTATTTTCCCTGGAAGATCTTATAGAGGAGCATTTTTTACTCTCGCTTTGCAAATCGTTCAGTGGCTTATCCTTTGTCTTTGATTTCGTAAGAAATAGTATCACCGGTTATTTTCTTTTTCTTGTCTCTCTTGATCCTTGCAGTTCATATGGCTTGGACGACGAGAAGTTCGAAAATGAGAATATTCAAGCCAATGCATCAGACGCCGAACAGGTTTTCCAGAGCATTTCTCTGTTTTGAAGCCCTTGTATATCAATATTATGAGGAACATCCTAACTTGTTTACATTTGTGTTGGCAAAGATTGCACGGGCTATATATGATGTGGAGGAAGCAACATCCACAGCTTTTGAAATCATATTGGAGCACAAGGTGAAGTAATGAGTTCTTTAGTTGCATAGTTCTGACGTGCTTCCATCCATCCCACTTCTTTTATATATTTTTTTTTTCCTGGATGCTGATATACTTGGTTAAAGAGCAGATGATAAAATCAGAAACTCGGGCATCCTTGATTAAGTTTCTTCAGCTGATAGTCGCCCATCATCCATCTAGACGGTGAATATCATCATATATTTCTTTTAAGTGAGACTGTTTGTTCGTGATTTTTACATTTCTGAAACTCTTGGTATTATTAGGTGCCGAAAAGGAAGTGCAGAGTTGCTTGTGAACTTTGATGACTTCTACCCATCTGAGACATTGTCAAACAGTAAAGAACAACCTATTGTTTCTGGCAAAGAGAGTGTTCTTCATGATATCCATATTTGCGGAAAAGAGGTTCCTCGCGGATACTGGGTAGGTCTAAGGAACTGCTACTTAGGTTGCTGCAAAGTAATGGAAATTTGCTTATTTACCTTGTTGGTAATTTTCATATGATCGAAATGCACTTCAAAAGGGCCTGGGATCAATGTTTTTAAGTTGCAGATGATTTGCAATCTGTTCTCCTTGATGCATGATGGGGTTATTTTGTTATCACTATCACTGATGCTCTTAAATGTCAAAGTGCTTATTCTTAGTGTTGGCTGTGCATTTATACAAGAATAAGCCTTTATCCCACTATGAGGCGTCAGCTAGTTGGCTGTACAATTGTGCTAGGTTAAATGTCATAAATAATTTTGTTAAAATGTTATATTCTCGATTAGTTTTCAGAGATGTGCTTCCTAAGCCTACTAAATGGCAAGGGTTTACCTGAACCTTAACCTATTGTAGTCTGTGAGAAAACTCATGCAAATCTCTAGCAATAGTCAGTGCTTTACCTAGAGTTTTCCTCGCAATTTTTTCAGTTGTTTTGATGTTGCCATGGACTTTCCCTTGCAGATGTTTTGCCGCGGGAGCAGGAATGATACCCGGGGTTTTAGGTACTTCAGACTTTACCACTTTTCTATCTTGCGGTTGCTCTTGGTTTGGAGGTTTAGCACCTTGTTTCTTTTAAAAATATTAACACGGGCATGTTCACAATGACCTAGGCTGTGCTATTACCTTGAAGTACCATGTCTGCATATAACTCGGGGATCCGAGTTTTTCTGGTTTATAGAATAAGTGTTGGATTGTAAAGTGCAGTGGCATTTCAAGTTCTCTTCTGATTACTTTTTCTCACTCTTTGTTAATATTTCTCTCTTTGAAGATTGATCACTTTTCCGTATTTAAGTTATCATTATATGAACACAGAGGATCAGGGTAAAGATTTCAATCTGATGCGATATTTGTTTGAAGTTTTAACTGCTGTCATGGAATAGATGATGACTTGTAGAAAGAAGTGAAATATAGTGATTTTTACCGTTAATCTTGCTTATGTAATCATTTTGTATATAAACAGATTACAGCTAGCTGTTCTTAGACTTGTAATGCGATGGCTTGTTGATTCTTATTTGTTCAAATTTTTGCCCTTGTGTTGTTTTATTCTTGTTTCTGTGGCAGCCATATTTAGAGGAAGTGATCTGTTTGATTTTCTGTGACATGTCTAAGTTCCTGCAATTTGTTTCTTTCAGTCTGGAACCTGTATTCAGTGATGTGGATTTAGCTTAGATACTACTATAAAGCATTTTTTTTTAGGGAAATAAATTGCAGATATGCTGAAATTTTTGCCTCGGAGGTCTTAATTTGGCTGGCATTGTTTTGTTTCCTCTGCAGTTGTGGATTATGGGTTTTGTTACACTCACTTTCTGTGAGAGTTGACAGTGGGGAAAGCGAGATGGCATTTACAGCTACTTGCGACTTCATCCACAACTTCTTCGTCTGTGAAGATTGCCGGCAACACTTCTATGAAATGTGCTCAAGGTAACTTTTACTTTCATCTTGTCTAAACTTGCTCGTTAAGTTGCCGTAGTCTGAAGTAGTATGTTCTCATGCAGTGTTTCCAATCCTATTAAGAATACGAGGGACTTTGTTTTGTGGTTGTGGAACGCACATAACAAAGTCAATAAGAGGCTTATGAAAGATGAAGCATCTCTTGGAAGTGGTGATCCGAAATTTCCTAAAGCTGTATGGCCCTCGAAACAGCTCTGCCGTTCATGCTACCGTTCCCAAAAGACTGATGACGATGGACAGATTGATTGGGATGAGGACGAGATTTTCAAGTTCTTGGTCAGCTACTACGGAACTACCCTAGTTTCTCTGTCCAAGGATAAAGAAGAACTTCTCAATGATGTGAGTAACAAAGTTTTAGTGAAGGATGTGGTAGCGACAACAAATGCAATCGTTGTGCCCATTGGAGCTGCATTTGCAATTGCTGTCGCAAGCTGCGGATTTGGTGGACTCGCATGGTTCTGGCGGTCGCGGCAAAAGAATAGAAAGTATAAACATCATCCTTTGAAATCCATTTGATCATTGAGAATATCCAAGCGATTTAGAATTATAATCTTTAGCGAAAATGCAAGTAGCACTTACAATGAGGTGCAGGTTTTTGTTTTTTTGTTTTTTTTTTGTTTTTTTTTTTTAACAAAAAGAAATTAAAGCAATACATGAAGGGTGTTGGAAAAGAAACTGGAATGGGATCGGTTTGTAAATGTAGGGGGTTGATATTCTTACTGTTTCTCGCACACATTTCAGGCAAAGAAGAAGCTGGAATTAAGCTCATGCTCAGGGTAGATCTGCACATTGCTGTCAGGTTGCAACTGGTAAACAAGTGAATCACGAGATTTCAGCCAAGTTTACACATTTTAATAGTATAGCCTACTCAGTTTTACATGTATTTTGGATCTTTTTTTCGAGTGTATAGGTTTGAAAATTAGATGAAATTTGAATAGGAAGGTCGCATAATTGTCGGCCTTTTGTATTTTTTATGTGATATGGACAAATTTTGCCTGAAATGTGACCTTGTCCATTTGAACTAACTAAATATAGGTACTCCTGTACCAAAACAAGGGCTAGAATCGCCTCTTATTTTGGGTTGCGAGAAAGTTCTTGAGAATTGAAACACTTCCTTGTTAAAGTTCTCCGATGGTGTAGCTGTGATACAGAATGTCGGCTGTGCTCTAGAATATAAGGCAGTATCAAAGGAAATGTGCCAGTGTTCTGTAATTTATACGTTACAGCTACATTGATGAGCACGAATTCTGGCTGAAGATACTTCAGTTATCCATCTATGAGATTGACAGGTTCATTCAACATGACCTGGTCATGCTGGGCTTCAGCGACAACTTGATGAAGTATCACACCCTAAAAGGTTTGCGATAAAGTTTCGCCATACTGATTGATTGATCAATAACTTGTGTGGCGACGTGACTGTAGCATATGCTTTCATGTGACTTTGAACGTGAATCTTTTAACCTTGCAATTGGCCAACTAATCTTTCATAAAACTTGCATTTCCTTCTCCCGACCTTCAAGATAGGCGCAAATAATATACTGTACGTCATTCTGTTCATCCCATTTCCATAATCCAGTCACAGAGTGAACTATTCCATTACTGTGCTCACTAATTGAAAAATCTAACCAACCACATGAATAAAAAGATCTCTTTCATGGTTTGCCAGTAGATTTTCTGAGGTGATTTCTACTCTTCAACGGTGCTAATAGAGAGGAAAATTAAGATGATTTTTGTAAGTTCCGAGTGATTATGCCATCATTGAGCATGAACCCCTCGAGTTCTTGACCCTTCTCACTTCTCAGGAAAAAACCCAACATCTATAATTGGCTAATGCTGAAAGAAAAATGGGCAGAAAGCCATATGCTTTTCTCTTTCAAGCATAATTTGGAAATTTATATGTACACAGTTTTTTTTCGAAACGCTTTGATGTAAAAAAGAGGTGTGCTTATCTATTCCACACCTCAAAGCCTATATCCAGAAGAACCAAAATGGGCTGCTTTCTGGATATTCTTAACTATATATACTTTGGAACTTCTGAGAGGCAACGGCTCCATCATCAACTTTACCGCAACTATTTGAGACAAATATTTTCAATGTATATTCACTTTTATCCAGGAGGCGGGCACGATGGACCTCGCACTTGTCCTGGAATACCATAACAAAGTTGCAGGGGCAATTGAGTTAAAACTTTTTAAAGTCAAGCTTCACCACAAGTGGAAAACGGGACTGGTTACCGCAGCTCCAGAAACCATTCATTAAACAGGAATGGGGTCATTTTGGGGCTGCGTAGTTGTACTTGTGCCTGATTCCTCGTCTGGAGAACCAAGGGATAGATTGACCTGTTGGGTCATACAAATAAGACATTAGAAACACGTTTGCAGTGAAACATGGACAAAACTCTTCCAACTGATCTATGCTAAGGATCGTGGCCATGTGGTTACTAGACTCACCTGATTGTGTCGACGATGAAGAACCCCCATCACTGCTTTCATGATAATGTAGATTGGTAAGATAATACCAACTATTCTTAGAAGCAGTAGCTGTCATAGCAATTAAAAAAATGAGGAGTTAAGATTGTGCGTATATTATCGAATCTGCTATATCTCATGAGCTAGAATATCTTACCATGATCAATGGGAATGAATAGTCTCCAGCTCGGTTCACTATAACTGGGAGAGTGTGCCGCAAAACCAGAAGAATCATGAACTGCAGAAAAAAGCCAAAATGACTTAGCATACGTATCAAAATGATATCATGAACCTACCAGCTTCAACAGCTAATTAGGAACCAACAGTTCTTCAAAACTGAGAAGAAATCACGTCTAGATAAAGTTTGATACATATTGAATTAAAATCAGGCATATGATAAACTCTTAACACAGGGACCATTTCTCATCTTGACTTTGGAAGAAAGGACTTCAAACACTTCAAGACATGCACACTTTCTATGCCAGAGTATAACCATCCACTAGAAACAGAAGAAAGATACTTACAATGACGGCAACAGCGCGACAACACATCACGCTTCTGGAAGTGGCAACTGCAATCTCCTCATTGGTTGAATCAAGGTAACTTCGATCAGTGGAGACAACAGTAATAAGGCGGGGATTATTCACATCACGTCTTGCAATTTCCCAATTCCCTCTGATAGAACCACCAAAAATATCATCATGGGCACACGGTGGAGATTATTTCCAAACTTTGCCGTTTAGGGAAAGAAATTGAGCTCATCAAACAAAAAGGTTCAAGTACCTGAAGTTCATCGGTATATTCCCTAGTCGGAAAATGGGAGGGGGTGCTGTATAACCTGGCTTAAAATTCTGCAATAGTGAAAGTTCAAGATAGTTAAGTCACCTATCCAAGCCAACTTCTCAAAATAAAACCAATTTAGAAATTGTAGGCCAATGGAGAGTTGAGAACTTTGTAATAATCAAAATGCAAATTAGTGGCTTACCTGGTGGCAGATCTCACAAACCGTGTCACCCTTCTCATTACACCACCGTTGCACACATCTTCGATGAGCATACTGCATCAGAAGTCAAGATAAGACAACGACACTTGGATTTATGATCGTTTGCAGTTTATAACATCATATTATTCTACACCAGCATAAATGCATCCTAATTAAGATAAATATAAGATATAAAGGTGATTTATTTTCTACATTTTGTATTCGCCCTCTTTTGTCAGGGGGAGAACATCCTGCACTTCTTCGGCACATTGGAACGTATAACAAAAATAACCAAGCAAACTAATTGATGCCTGAAGAGGTGAAGAGAAAAAACACAATTGGGCGGGTTGGAATTTAGAAACAGATGAAGGAGCAAGTCATATTATTCTACCCCAGTATACATACATAAATGCACCCTAAATAAGAAGACAAGAATCAGACTGAAAAAAAAAAGGTCTGTTTTCTACATATATTCTTCCTCATCTAGCAGGGAAAGAAAATCCGATTATTCTCTGGTGCATTGGAATGTCAACCGCATCGAATAACAAAATGCTAAAAATAGCATCTGAAGCTACTAGAGATTTGATCGAGGGAAGCAATCAAATCTCGACTTGCAACACAATATACAAAAATCAATTACAAAAGCTTAAACTGCTAGAATGTGGACCTCATGAGCACAAGCAAACGTGAGTAATGGAAAGAAACCATTGCATTTAGACATATGAAACTAAGCCAACACAGATATCATTAAAGCAATTTAAAACTAGGACTAGCTCACTTTAACAAAAAACAACCATCCACTACCAACCTTTAGGCTGCCGCAACAAGAGCAAGGAGTTTCCATATTAGAATCCCAATCTTCATCCTGACATATCCTGCATTCTACCATCTTCCTTGGAGTCAAGTCATCTCCATAATCCTTCAACTTGAAATCACTTTCCAAATCATCAGTTTTCAAGCCTATCAATCGGTTGTGGCTTTCAAGTGCAGCCTCCAAAGTGGATTCAGTAAGCAAACGGTCAACCAATAAAACAAAATGATCCCCCATCCTCAGTAGCAAGTCTCTAACAATGGCTCAGAAACACAAAAACAAGCAGGTTCCCCTGATAGGAATTTGTTTAAAAAAATTTACATATGTTAGAAGAATGAGACCAAGTTTCTCCAGCGATATTTATGAATACAATACTAGGGAACAAACAAAAAATTTTCATTTCTTCCACAAAGGTTTGTAATTTGAATAAGTCAACCAACAACGTCTATATAATAGAAGTTAATCCAAAATAACAGATACGGCAGCTGAAGTATTCAAACAACACACGAATGGGCTCTCTCCGAACTAAATCAAAACCCACAAACAAAATGGACAACAAATGACTAAACAAACTAACAGTTTGTCCTATTTCCTCAAAGGGAAAAAAAAAAAAAAGAAGAAGAAGAAAAAAGTTTGTCCAAAAGGGGCGAAGACTTTTACCAAAAGTGTACGCTAAGATCCATAAAGGGAAGTAATTTTAGAATTGAAGAGCATTTAGTTAAAAAAAGAAATAAAATTTTTTGCCTACAATAGAGTCTGGTGTAGAAAGCAAAAAAGAACGGCTGCCCATGATCAAAGCCGTGTTTACCTTTTCCTATCCGTTTAAGATGAAGAAGGAAATTTTCCATACTAAACCATTCCAACCAAAGAGAATTTCAGACAGCCAAATTCCAATAAAAAAATTCATCTCAGGATAACATAACAAAATTTACAACAGCAAGAAAAGAGAAAGGAGCAAGAGCATCCAGAGGGAAGGAAGAACCAACAAAAAGCAAAATAATTTGAGGTAATGAAACGAATCCCAGATGGAAAAAAGTTATCTTTAGCAGCAACAGACGAGAACCAACAAGAGAAAGTGTCGAATTTAAGAGAATATGCAGAGAAAGAAAGAGGGGATACTTACAAGAAGGGGATCGGATAATCTTCAAGCTAAGAAAGCTTTTCTCTCCCTTTTCAATGGGGTTTTTCCCTCTGCAAACACTCAGAGGAAGAATCTCTGTTTTTGGGTCCTTTTGGAATGAAGCAAGAGATTGAGTGTGGTCTTTGTCAGCACATTCAAGGATTTAAATTCACGTTCATCTACTAATTCCCCGTATTGGGTTTCTACAAATACAAATATATAAAGGCTTCAAAAAGCTCAGGAAACTGTACACTTCCTCAATTCAAAAAATCTCAAGTAAATAAGAAAACATATTTTTAAGTGTTAAAAAAAAAAAAAGGTCTCCAAGAATAGAATAATGGTGGAACTGTGGGAAGTGGGGTAATCCTCAAAACTGAGGTTTTGAACATGTGTCTCTTTCTGGTCTGGTCATCCAGAGGTCGTCTACATTTCCCATTTCAAAATTGGAAACATCCAGCATTTTGGTTTCTTTTTAAACCCTTTGTTATCCATATCCAGAAAATGTGTTTCTTTTTAGCTCAGAACAAATATGAAATTTGAGGTAAAGATTGAAGAAGAAAAAGGGCTTTTCCTAATCATCTTTTCTATGAAATGAAATGATAATTTAATCCAAAAGAAAAAAAACAAAGAAAAGAGATTTAAGAAGAAGAGGAGAAGAAAAACTATTTTTAACCGCAAAGGGAATGGACAACCTCACGGAACTCCACATTTTACTACAACCTTAACATGGAAGATTATTAACCACCAAAAAGATTTTTTTTTTGTTATCCTAGTATTTATTAGTCAGCAGTAGATTTATTAGAGGGGAACAAGTATAATTAATAAAGCCATTACAATCTACTTGTCATGATCTTCTATGATAAATGCACAACCTGTTGATGAGTATCTTAAGGTCTAGTTTCATGTTTTTTTTTTACTGCTTTTTTCTTTGTGCCCTTGAGGATTTTATATTAAAAAAAGAAAGTTAATAATAGGGATAGGGTGTAATTTTTAGTTTTTGACGATATTAAATTTAATAATTGTATTTGAGAGATGTGTAATTTGATACACTTGATTTTAGGATCGTCTCTCAAAATAATTGTAATTGATGGATTTATTAGCGTATCTTTGCCGGTCCGTTCATTAACTTAACTAGTAGGAAAAGAAATTATTATATAGTAAAAAGATAACGAAGTAAAAACACTAAAACGTAACATCCAAATGCTCTATTGCTGTCAAATGTCAAGCAATTAACGTCTTAGTAAAAGTGATGTTTTTGATGTCATCATTAGATTACATGCGTACACGATAATGAGTGAAGGTTATCATTTTTTTTTTTTTTTCTGTAATAGAACGTGTGATGATGTATTTCCGAAGAGGAACATTATAACTATAATGTTCACAAGAATTTTGCATTTTCAATATCCGTAGAAAAAATGAAAAATATTGGTAACGCTCTTAATATTTATTCATTCTTTTATCCGAAAATATTCACTTTCCACGGCAGTGATTAATTTCTCTGGTTAATTTATTAAAATCGTTTACCGTAAAATAGGTTGGCTTCCACCCATGTTCACTTTGCTAAAGTAGTTATTATCGTTTGTTGTACATATAGGTGTCACAATCATTCATTTAATTGAAAGACAAACTCATAATTTTTAATTTTTTTTTTGTCATCGTGAGTACCATTTTTAATAATTTGAATGCTTCTTCTAAAATAATGAGAAACTATAAGGGAAGAATGAGAAGATCAAGGCTTGATGCCCCCAAAAAATGGATAGATGTTCGAGTATGGGTATACTTAAAACGTGTTACATTATCGATTATGTCTCAAAATGAGTACGTATTCTGTTTGTTATTTCATTGAATAATATTAACAAATATTAATACGACAAATTGAATTCCTTTTATAACCTGAATCTATCAAATAAAATGACAGAAATGGATTGGTCGAAACCTTTTAACAAGTTTTGGAACCAATTCATTGGCTAATTCCGACAATATTTGGTAGGCCAAAGTTTGTGCCAAATGGCATTAGCGTGCATGGTGAAGTATGTTTTAGAAATCGTTGAGTGGACGAAAATTTTGCATTTTTTATTCTCACAATTTATTAGTTTACCTTAAAATTACATATATTAAAAAAAAAACAAAACAAAAAACCAATGTCAACATCTAGGATCTCAAAATATGCATATGTTTTCAAAAGGAGTACGAAAAGGTTCGATTAATGGAAATAAAAGCCTAATATAGTTCTCCGAATAAAAGAAAAAATAGTAATGAAATGATTAAAGACTGAATCTTCATGATTTGGTATTATATTTATTTTATACTTTCCCTCCTGGTAGTTTTAAAACCGTTCTTGATCGAGAATAATGCAATTAGGATCGGACCATTTGTAATATATATATATATATATATATATATATATTGACATATTATTCTTCTTATTATTTTCACCTTCTAATCGCGGCAGGAGCCGTAAGGCAGTAATGAAATTCCATTTTCTATGAAACCCCAAACAATAAATAAAATTTAAGGAAGAGACCCAAAAAAAAGGAATATTGAAGCATACGAATCAGTAAAAATTAAGCAGCAATCGTTGGAATGGAGGGCTTTTGAGGAGTTGGTCAAAATGACCATTTTCTGGTCCAAATGGGTTCTAAAAATGAACGTGTTGCCATATTCTATACCTTGCATGAGACCAAGTAAAACTGCCAAATGTCATCAAAATAAGATGCAAATTGATACCCTCATTCCATATGAGGATGACTCATTCTATTTGAATGATCTATAATATTTTTGGGGCTTAAAATTCAACTCTTAGGTCATCTTCACAGTCTTCTTGTGAAACCCTAATCCATAAACACCTTTCAAAATGCAAATGAAGCTCATGCAAAACTGATTTAATTTGGTCAATGGTTTTACTATGAAAAAAAACACAAAGATAAAGGATAGACAACATGATATTTATTTTGAGAGAGATACTACAGACATATTTTTCGATGAGAAATTTCAAAATATGCGTACATGAGTCAACGATCTAAAAAATACTTCCTCTGTCCCAAAATTATTGTTCAGTTTGAGATTTCACTTTTAGTACAATTTGAACTAGAAATGAAAACTCAAACTGGACAATAATTATGAGACGGAGGGAGTACTTGATAAACTATTCATTCCTGTATTTTCTCACTTTGGGTTGGGTATGAGGAAAAGGGAAATACAATCCTCATTTCTTAATCATTTCGTGTTGAATATTTGTCAAATGGAGATCTTTGACTTGTGATCCTTAAGAAACCTTTATTTGTTGGCTAGGCTGCAACTGTTTATGGCTATGGATTAGTTAAAGTTTAATTTGATAGATCAGTTCGTTTACCATTTTGTGTGTGTTGTTGAAATGGTGATGTTGGCTTCCAAACCTTTAAATTTTCATTGGTTTGGTTGGTAAACTTCTCGAACCAATCTTATATGGAATCCTCCAATCTTTTAAAAGTCAAATATGTCACCTCCCCATTTGATTACTTCTGTTCGTCCCCCCAACCCAAACACCAAATTAATGAACCAGAAAAGCCTCCAAAAGTCCAAATTCCATTCTAAGCAAAATTATCAAACATATATATACTTTCCGTCTCATTTTAATAATACATTTTAGCTCGATAAATTGGATTATTAGATTAAAATTTTATTTTGATAAACTTACAGGTCTTTGCAACGCATTAAATCCCCATTCTTTCTAGATTTTTCTTCCTTTTTTCCTTTTTTCTGCTCTCAATATTTGCTAATTCAATTTTAATTTCAATGGTGACTCATGGCCACGGGATACAATTTCAGCTAATAAGAGCTCTTATCTGCTTCCTCTAGGCCTACAACGGTACAACCAAATAAGGGTAGCAAAAAAAAAAAAAAAAAAACATGGAGAATCAGAAGACTAGAGAGTATTTTAATTTATAAGTTGGAATTTTTTTCCAAATAATAATTAAATAGCTCCAATAACTAGTTAAACATTGGTACATATTTCTTATTACATGTCGCAAATATTGTATATTAATTAAGTGGAATAAACTAGTATGGTTGAACCACCAATTTAGAATTGCATGCATTATGAATGCAAGACAATAAGTTGGTTTGCAAAACGATTTTCAAATTGTTCAAAAAAAAGGGAGGAAAAAAGAGAACCAGATTCTTTGCTATGTGGCGAGAACTTAGAGGGTAGATGAAGATTCAAATTGGGTGGTTAATCATACAATTTTCTGGTGTTTGCCTTTTCTTTTTTTTTTTTTTTTCATTTTGCATATTTCTACATCTCCCACCCTCAACAATATTCATTAATACAGTTTGTCTTTTTTTGCTTCGTAAGCGTCTCAATAGGTAGAAACTAGTTTATCTAAATATGTATTCTATCTCCCGAAATTATTGTTCATTTTAGTTTGAATTTTTATTTTTAGTTTAATTTGTACTAAAATTAAAAATTCAAACTGAATGATAATTTTAGGACGGGAAATATTTTTTTTTTATTCAATTAGGGGGAAATAAAGTATTTCAAGATTGGATCCCATAGGCAAATTGTAATCCAATGCTTTAGGAGAAACAACTACCTAACAGAGTAATTATTAGAGATCAGGAGCTAATCTATGCTTTATGTCCCCATTTTATTAGTATGCCAATAAAACTTCTCCTAAATCACATTATAATTTTAAATTTTGGTCAAAAGAGTTGTTGATCAGATGGTTATGTTTGTAATCGAAAATTCAACCTACCAAAATTTATTTAATTAGTGTTTGTCTGGTGTAAATTACGAAAATCGTTATACGTAAAAGCACATCCTTCGCCACAATCAAGTGACAAATCATATAACATCGCACTTCTGTGACCTACTCCCTCCCTCCGTTGCTTATTATAAGACATTTTGACTTATCGTAAATTACATCTAGTACACATTTTTTATTGACAAAAAAACCTTAAAATATATATTTTCAAATTCGTTGTGTTCTCTTGATTATTACAAAATATTTTTTAAGTTTTTCTGTCAATTAAAAATATGTACTAGATTAAATTTAAGACAAATCAAAATGCTTTATCGTAAGGACTAGAGGGAGTATAATTTTCCGCAAAGTTTAGTTTGAGGGTGATGAAAGTTTTGGTCTGTTAACAGAAACAAGTAAAGAATAAAAACACATTTTAAAAATGAGAAATTCAGTCACATATGTATATCAAGATTTAGATAATCAGTAAACAAAAAGTGTGTTTTGAAATGTATTGAAGACCAGAATGGGGTTTTCCTCAGCATCTTATTATATTCGAGATATCTTATTGCTGGATACATTATACTGAAATTTTAAAAATGCGGGGAGAGAAAAAAGAAAAAAAAGGACTCTATGACTTCTTTCCATTTAGAAAATCAAATTAATTTTTAAAGAAATTTACATGTTGTTGACTAAATGATTTAGACAATGATTTATAATGCTTTTTAAATAGATGAAATGTGATCGAATAATTTGAATGATTAATTGAACTATTCAATTACGACAAAAAATTGAACTATACTGTCTTCATTTGCTCTAGTTATGCTGGGCTCTTTAATGTATGATCATTTTCAGGCCCATCTGACCCAAATTTAAAATGGTTGGATGTGAGCCCATAACCATAGAAGGCCTCAAGAACGTTATGGCGGAACTAAGAAAAAACAAACAGTCTCTGTTATGCCATAAGGAGATAAGGAAACTCACGAATTCATAAAATCTGTTGTAAAATTAGTTTGTTTGTGAACATGTTTACTCGTCAATTCTTGCTTAACAAATCACGAAAACCAATCTCAATCAATCTTTCCTTATGAGTTCAATCGTTTGGAATGTTCAAGTGGTTGTTTCGAACAAGTTGAATAGTGTTTTGAGCTATTCTTACGATAAGGCTATTTCTTGTTTACACATATGTGATGGAATTCGTTAAGAATATCCATCTTCAGAATGTATTTGTTATTTAGGCTTTAGCCAAAGCCTCCTTTATTGTACAAAAAAAAAAAAAACCCAAAAATCACGAAAACCAATTTTACTCATATATCTGAATTAATATAAATTATAGTATATTTCTTTACCTTCGCTCCCTAGTCCCTTATCCCTTTTAAGGTGTAATGGATTTGTACAAATTTTTTGTTTCATTTTTTTTTTGGGGGTGTTTAATATGACTCTCTCATTGGAATCTCATTGATAGAAGGATCAGGGTCTCAAGATGAATGAAAATTATGATTTAGTATCCTCATAATCCTTCCCAGATTATGTACACAATTGGACTCGTTTTGTTATTTTATTTTTTTCCTTAATACTCCCACCAATAAATTGGTGCATGTTCAGACTCTTTTCGTGTTTGTTAAGAGTTAAAAAATTACAGTTTATGGAATAACATCACCATCTTCTTGACATTAAAGATCCCATCACAAATTCATACTTATCATAGATTAGAGGTGACAGCTGCCATGGCTGCTGCGCTACTTACCCCACAATATTATCTTCATAGGATATCTAGATGTTTTTCTGATTTAGAATGGCCTATTCATTGAATTTGTCATATAGTTTTGCAAGTTGAATAGTGACCAAATGAGTGAGTAATCTGGATGTTTTTTGGTGGTGGTGGTGGGGGCTGCCGGTTTCCGCCGCCGCAGACTGGGGCTGCATTTGACAACAATGATGATTGTGAGCAGTCCATATTTGACCAGCTGAAGCTTTCTTACGATTTTGGCCTTTATGGGTATCTTTCTTTTCATATCCTCAATAATTTAACACCCATCACTTCCCACTTCCCACTCGTTATAAAACTTCATTCGCCTGGATCTTGATGCCTGACACAAGCTTTATCATCTTAACGCTGCCAAATTTGGTTCTAAGAGTATGAGTAGTTTTTACAGAGTTAATGGCTTCTGTTATTTATCTTTGTTATTACTCATTTCATCCCAATTGGTATTAGTACCGAAAGCAGAGGCAGAAGCTCAATCAGGACAAAGCAATGAAGTCTACATTGTGTACACAGGAGCAGCTTCTTTGGCTTCCTCAAATGGGTTCCACTCCGATCATATTATGAGCTCCTCATCCATTAAAAGGTAAGATTAGTCTTAATCTGGGAAAATGGAAGAATATTAATGCCTGAAAATTAATGTACATTTTGTTCATATCTTTGCCCAGTTGGAAAGACAGGATCATACACAAGTACAATCATGCATTTTCGGGATTTGCAGCCCGGTTGTCAGAAGAAGAGGCCAAATTAATAGCCCAAAGGCCTGAAGTTGTATCCGTTTTTCCTGATCGAATCCATCGTCTCCACACAACACGTTCATGGGACTTTTTGATGGAACAGAGTGCTGGATTCGCACCCGCCCGACAGAATATTCCCAAATCAAATGTTTCCTCTCTCTCTGATGAAGATGTCATAATAGGCATTTTTGATACAGGTTAATTATGTAGTAGTATATTCCTTCAAGGCAATCACATTAAAAGAGGAAAAAAAAAAACATTTCTTTGTCCTTGAAAGTTGAAATGCACTCTTGCTTGATCGCTAATGCTGTATATGAAGTTAATTTTCAGGGATTTGGCCGGAAGCAAAGAGTTTCAATGATGATGGTTTGGGTCCAATCCCCAAGAAATGGAAGGGACAATGCATAGGAGGACATGATTTTAAGCCCTTTAACTGTAACAGGTTTGTAGATATATCTTATACGCCAATTAAATTTATGTAATGCACGATGCATTTTGCGGAATCTGGGAATTGACATAAATCCCCTGTTTGTTTTACTTGTATCAGGAAATTGATTGGAGCAAGGAATTACGTCACTAATGGCAGTTCTACTTCACCGAGAGACCACAATGGTCACGGCACTCACGTTGCAGCAATCGCAGCCGGAAGGCCTGTCCCAGGCGCATCCTACCACGGCCTGGCTACTGGTGTCGCGCGGGGCGGAGCTCCCGGCGCAAGGATTGCGGCGTACCGTGTTTGTGATGATGATGATAATTGCATGAGTTCTATAGTTTTGAAAGCATTTGATGATGCAATAGCAGATGGGGTGGATATTATATCTATATCATTTGGTAGTTTGGAATTTATTGACTTCACCAGAGATCCAGTTTCCATTGGAGCATTCCATGCTGTTGAGAATGGAATTCTTGTAGTTGGCTCCGCCGGGGATAATGCCCTGGATGAAGAACCTCCATATGCAATAAATGTTGCTCCTTGGATTCTAACAGTTGGTGCCACCACCATTGATAGGTTTTTCGAATCCGATGTTGTACTGGGAGGCAAACAAGTGATCAAGGTAAACTAATTTGCTCCATTTCTCTTCAGAAATCATGAAAGAACTAGTGATAATTTATTTCATACATGTTAGAATATCAGACTAATTGTCGTGTTTTGTGATTGATGAATAACAATCAGGGCGGAGGTGTTCATTCTGCTAAACTCAAAGAAACTCCAATATACCCCTTGACCTATGGCAAATCAGCTGCAAAACCTGGAGCTAGTATTTCTGATGCATAGTAAGTATAGTATTGGAAAATGAGGAAAGACAAATTATGATACTTACTAAAAAAACTAGTTAGACATATCCCAAATTTAAAGAAGAAACGAAATTGAAACCTAGTTGAATCTCTGTTATTTGCAGTAATTGTATGATAGATGCATTAGATGGGAAAAAAGTGAAGGGAAAGATTGTTCTTTGTGAAGACAGCCGTGAAGAAACAACACCAGCCAAGCAGTTGGAAGTTATAAAACGTCTGGGAGGCACCGCACTGATATACAGGAAACGTTTCATACAACTAGCAGCATCGGTTTCTGATTCTATTCCGCGGATCCCAATCAGCTGGGACGACGGAGATCTGGTTGTATCTTATATCGACTCGAACAGGTAAAATTCCTGATCAAAAACATGCGCGATAGAATTAAAACAAGAGTTTTTGGAACTAATGAATGTCCATCTCAATGGAAAACTTGAAATTGCATCGTCAAGGAATCCTGTGGCGACAATTTTACCAACTGTAGTCGTACCAAACTACAAGCCAGCTCCAGAGGTAGCATTCTTCTCATCCCCAGGGGGAGGCGCTCTATATGGCTACAATTACTTCATCAAGGTAAACACCAATTTGGTGTACACCATAAAAAAAAAAAAAATCCATCAAGATACGCCATTTTCTAAAGTTAAAAACTAACGACATTAATGTTGCAGCCTGATATCGTAGCACCAGGAGTCGACATTCTATCAGCTTGGCCGTCTAACGAAACAAACGAAGCCTTCAACATTCTCTCGGGTACTTCAATGGCATGTCCACATGTAAGCGGCGTCGCAGCATTAGTCAAATCCCGATATCCCTCCTGGAGCCCTTCTGCTATCAAGTCAGCACTTATGACTTCAGGTTAGTACATTTTAGGAAACAAATTCTTATTTTGAATTTCTTGAGCATTCTGAAATCTGAATAAATGTAACTTGAACAATTTTGGCAGCGAATCCGACAAATAATTTGAAGAAACCAATAGCAACGTTTATAGGGGATGCAGGAGACCCAACCGAAATGGGGGCTGGACAAGTAACATTGACAGGTCCGTTACAACCCGGGTTAATTTACGAGACAGAAGCAGCCGATTATATATTATTCCTCTGCAACCAAGGCTACAACGTGTCGAGAATCAGACTCATCTCATCAAAGCTTCCCGCAAACTTTAGTTGCCCAAGTAACTCAAGTACCGAGGATTATTCGGCCAACATGAACTACCCATCGATAACCGTCACTAACTTCAATTCCTTGAAAGAGAAAACAGTTAAAAGGACGGTGACAAATGTTGGGGACGACGAAGAAGCTGCATACGTAGCTAGTGTGGAAATGGGTAGCACCAACAACGACGTGATAGCCCGAGTGAATCCTACTAAGTTGGTGTTTACGAAGAACCAGAAGAAGCTAGGTTATGAAATGACGTTCATACACAATTCTTCAGCAATCGTGAATGGATACGCATTTGGTTCAGTTACATGGAGGAATGGAAAGTATAGTGTTCGCACTCCTTTCCTTGTAAATGCCTAATAATTTTAATTAGTCCATCATCGGAATAAGCATTAACATGTGTTGATGCACCACCAAAATCATTTGGGATTTGAGTAAGATTATTACTTATCACAATAATGTATTCCCATCCCACCATAAGTTAAAATAATTAAAAAGAAAATTAATAAAAAAATACTTTGGGGATATCTGATTAGGCGTATGAAAACAATTCAACAATCATTTTAATCTTATTTTAAAATGTAGGAAGAATTTTTTTTGTCATTCAATTACGGGAACATTGTACGTTGTTTCAACAATAATCAATCATTAGACAGTCTAGCTAATTTATGCTTTATTCGTTCCGTCCCTCAATTTTGACCAATCGAGAAATGGTCCAAATTTGTTTATCGTGTTAAATTCCCAAACTAACCCTCCGCATCAAAATCAAGTGGATAAGGTTAAACACATCCTCCTGGCCATCTCTGATCCATACGATCATCGTCGGTACTGTTTATCGAAAAAAAAAAAAAAGGCGAAATTTCGCAATTTCAGATTCAAAAAATTCAATTACAACACCAGCTTAATTAAAAGCCCCAAATCCATTATTCGAATATTCCAAATTAGGGTTCTCTCATTCTCCGTCGTATTATATGAACTAATAATTACCTCGTGAAAGGAATTTTATTATTTTTAATAACAAAAGCATAATATATATATATATATATATATATATATATATATATTAAGAGACCCCCCAGTAGTTGAAAATCCGTTTTCTTCAAACTACCGTGTGAAATTTCCCTCTCTGCATCCCGGAGAAAAAAAAGGTACGCCTTCCTGCTTTTCTCTTCTTATTGTTGTTCAATTTTGAATGAATTGCGCCTTAGGGTGTTGAATTTCCACGGATCTGTTCTGTTGAGTTGTTGTTTTTGGTTTTTTTTTCTCTCTCTAAATCTTCTGATTGGTAATGCATGCAGTAAAATATTGTCTTGCATCTGAGTTTCTGAGCGCTTTTTGGTGCTATGTTTCGGTTTCAAATGTGGAATTTGTTGGTTCATTAACGATAATTATGAGTGTGATCTGTGCACAGGGCAATCTTCGTATTTCTAGCTAAATATTTTCAGGAATTAAGAGTCTCCTCTGCTTTGTGTTTGTTTTTTTTGTTGTCCTCTACGCCTGCTATCTGAATCGTTTTGATTGCGATTTATGATTTTTGCTTTTGATTTTGATTTTATATCCATGGACTTGTTGGGAATAGGGAGGAAGTATAATAAATTTGAAGAAACGAGTTAAGTTTATTGATGTTAGAGGTACCTTTACTCGTTTATCATTCAAGTTTGTGAGATGAGATAGACATTTTATCCTTTGTATCTATTTTGAGTTAAGTTATTAATTAAGGTAGGGTATTGTACTTTTAGTTAAACTGAAGATTATATTTTGATGAGTGACCTGAAACAAGGTTGTTAAGAGGTGATTGAGTTTGATGCTGAAATTTTATGTTAATGTAGTCCGATTGGGAGAAGTTGAGGACTTATTGTAACCTTGCACAGGTTTTATTTGCATGTATACAGTTTGGATTTATTGGGAACTATGGATCACTTGATTCTTCGAAAATGTTAATGGTAGCAAATGTCTGTTACATAACGATTTCTTATGGCTCGAATACTCATGTAAAAAATTAGTGGGATCTGTAAGTGACGCAGCACCAAACGTGGTGGTTAAGAAAATCGAGATGTAGGTTCATTTAAGAATAGTATGCAGCAGAAACTAAATGAATCTGGAGGGAACAATCTTATAAATCGCAGGAAACAAAGATCATCGGTAGGGAAAGAGAGGAAAACCTAAGAATCACTCTTAGGGCCCTTTGGCATCACACCAAGGGTTTAGTTGAGTCACACAACTACTGTTGAAAGCAAAAGCTCGCAGGAATTTTTATTCATCTGATAACTGTCTAAAATCCTCAAACGAGGTACATATATATAGGCCTAAAGCTTAACCTAAAACCAAAGACAACTAGGATTCACACCTAATTTCCTTTTTATTCCAGAAAATCCTGCAGCATAGCTAATATACTAAAATACCCTTTCCTAAAACTTATTACTGAAAATATTAAGCTAATTAAATTAATTGCTGTTTTCCTAACACTTTGGTTCCTTCCTTGGATCATGTTGATCCTGGGCATAAGAATGGAGTACCCTAAAGATAGAGTTCTTAGGCCCTTCTTTGTCTGCATTAGTAAGTTTGTGGTGCATTGAGCACCATTTATTGCCTTCTGAAGAGTTTGTTGTGTTGTTAAGTTTCCTTAGTGGCATGTACGCATGATCCGTGATGGAGTAACCCTGATTTTCTACTTTCCGTTATTATTATTTTTGTTGTTGTTGTTATTGTTATTAGTGGGCTGGTAGATGTAGGTTGGTCTACCTAGTTGTGGAAGATTTGATTCAAGTATGTTTTATTTGCCAGCTTGCGAATTTCATGTAGCACTTTTGAGTATATCCGCGACTTGTTTGAGTGGTCAAGGTTTTTAATGCCTGTTCTTTTGAATGGAAGAGTGTCACAAGTTAGAAACTCTATCTTCTGCCCGTGTTTCGGGGATGGAGGTTGAATGTTTGTTGCAGAGTTTTCTGTCTTCTTTTTCTTTCCCCCTTTGGCCCTTTCCCATCTTCCCATTTTTTGTGGCTTCCATAATCATTTCAAGTTTTTTTCTGCTAACTGCAGAATACTGGAAAAGCATCCTCTGGAAAATTGGTCATTCAGTATGAAGTACTTGGAATATACACCTCTTGATCGGTGAGTCTTCTTTGGTGGATGAAAATGGTCACTGTTTTTCCTGATTTTATATTTGTTAAGTGTCATAATTGTGCTAATGTTTTTTCATTTGCAGTTTGTGTTTGGTGTGCTCGGGATTTGCTTCCTTTTCCTTACTAACAATTATATTTTGCATGTGAATTTCCAGTATCAATGACTTTTTGAGTCAGGTGAATCTTGGAGAGCGGACTATAAAAGGATGTCTCGAGGCTTACTCTTGTGAGTGCAATTGTAAATATCTTGCTTCTTGAAATCTGTAGGTACAATAAGATCTTAAAATTGTTTCACTGTTCTTTTCAGGCAAACATACTGGAACTGATAAGAAGCTGTCACTCAGCTTGGAGAGTGAGGTAATGTGAATTGAATACCCTTGTGTATATATGGATTTACTCATAGAGTTAAGAGTCAAATGCGCTGTCTGACCAAAAGATTAACTCAAATTCTTCGATTTCATGCTTCCTTGTATCTGGTTAATGGTCTCTTGTGTCTTTTAAAGTTTACGAGAAATGTTTAATTTGGGGTCTATGGATACATTTTTTTGATTTTTGGGTAGTAAAGTAACAGGCAACAGGATTGCTAATACTAAAATGAGTAATTAAAGGCCACATTCGAGATGTGATGTGAGGGTGTGGGGAAATGGAAAAGGCGTGTGTTTTTTCTAATAATTTGGTTAGATCTAGTCTGAAACCAGTCATCACAATTCTTCTTCTAAACTTTACACTACGTTTCACATGATCATGAGCATTTCTTGGAAAATGATGACAAGCTGCATCTATAACAGCAAGTTCAGATGATACATTCATTGTTTTCTTGTTTGCTTATGATTGAATTGTCACTCAGCCTGCATTGTGATTTTGTGTTTAGTAAATGTTTAATTTTTTATTTTTATTTTTAATATGAATGATTCAGATTCTTGACTATCTTGGGAAATCGTCTGACACTGACTCTCCCTCGCCAGTTGAATATCTGCCTACATCCAGGTGCTAATTTGTTTTAATCATAAATGTATGTCTGATCAATCCCTGATTGTCTCCGTAGTTGTCGTAACCAATCTTTTGCAACTTTGATACCAGCCGAAGGACGCTGATATATCTGCTTCTTACTCTTTATCACATATATCCAGACTATGATTTCAGGTAACTCTGTAACTTTTGATTTATGACTTATTGACTTTGCTGATGGGGAGGTTTATGGGCAGTGCCATTGTCAGCTTTCCTGGCGACATGGCATCCCACTATATAGACCTCCCTTAAGCCTTGGGAGTGCTGTCAGAAGGTTTGACAAACAGTTTAGATAGCTGTTGCTCTTAGCGGAGCTGAGAGTTCAAGTCTCTCCATTTCCCAAAACCAAAACCACTGTGCTTGTTTTATTTGCTGTATTCCTACTGGTTTGTGCTCAGTGACACTCTGGTGGATTCTCTTGTTTGATTGTGGTGTAAGTTGCAAACATTGTGGTTTAACAGTGCAGTGAATGCTCACCAATTCTTTAATGAAGAAACCTGGGACAGCTTTAAGCAGATTTTTGATGTCTACATGTTTGAAGCATCAAAGGTAACCATGTCGTTGACCTTCGTAGCACTCTCATTTTTTAATTTTTTTATTTTTTGCTGAGGCCCACGTCTGGTATTTTATTGTGTCGCCGAACCTCTTTGCTGGTTGCAGCAATATCTTAAATTGTAGACCACTATTCTGTGACGGTTCGTAATTGAATGTTCATCTTTGGTTGGTATAATGAACAACCTGAGACTTGTTTTAGAATTCCAGTGTTTACTTTTGGAATGTTTTATACACTTGTTCCAGTAGAGAACTTAAGTTTTACATAACAGAAAACAAAGAAAAATGTTTGAAATGCATTTTTTTTTTGGCTTGAATTTTTAAATCATTAAACTGGAAAATGTTAGTAAAAAATCTAAGTGGCAGATGTAGCCAAGTGGATCAAGGCAGTGGATTGTGGATCCATCATGGGTGGGTTTATTCCCAATCGTTTTGTCCAAAAACAAAAAATGCTTACTCTTTTTTTCCCTTCTCCCTATTTACTACAATGAAGAATCACTTATCACAATATCTATTCCCTTTTCTACTTCTTCCTAGTGCAGGATAACCCCAAGGGTTGTGGGTTTATATTTCCTACCAATTGGGGGTCCTTGTTCCTTTTGTAGTATTTTGTTCTTTGTTACGTTGCTTAATGAAACTTACAAGATGTTTGGGATCTTTCTTTCTTTGTTCCAACTGGGTATCATAATCATGATATTCCTTGCAGGAATGGCTTGAGACAAATGAGGGCTGTACACTCTTGGAGATACTATACAAGGCTTTAGACGAGGTGGGCATTTAATTCATATTAGGACATAAATATCAGTTAGTGAAGAGGAAAGAAGTGAAACAATTTGTTATTATGTTATTGGTCCAGGTCGTGAAACTTGCAGAATGCGAAATCTATAGTTACAATGCCGAGGCTGATGCAGATCCCTCCCTTGAGAGAGGAGCCATGTAAACTCGTCTTATACATTTCCTTTTAACCTTTTTTCCTCTACTGTTGTACAACTGACATGACTTCTCTTTCTACAGATGGTCGTACCATTTCTTCTTCTACAATAGGAAATTAAAGCGAGTAGTAAGCTTCCGTTTCAGCTGTCTAAGGTGATCCCACTGCCATTTATATCCATGATGTTTTAGTTCAACTCTGCATATGGTTAATCTTGGTTTTTGTTCATGAATTATTATTATAGCAACTTGGCAGTTGAAAGTTTTCTGGCGGATGGAATGAGTTATGATGATGCAGATGATGAGATATTTGACGGCATGGACATCTGAGTAAAAAGCTGTTGTTAATATGTAGATTCTACCAGGATCAAACCTATCAACATCTCGTTGTGTAAATTTGTTTCTAGGGTCTCGGAACTGGAACTTCGATGTGTGTAATCTATCTGTAGAAATGGGGTTAAGTAGGAAGTTTGTTTCTTGTTTTGGAGGTGTGTCGTCATAACTCTTTTGATGAAATGCTTTGTTCGTTGGATGAGAAGGTCTCAAAATTCTCTAGTCAACCAGCAAAAGTTTTAAGTTCCCCTTTTGATCTTATATAATATAATAATGTCGTGTTTAGTTCATAATTAGTTTAATGTTTGTGTCCTACTGTACAAAGATTTGACTAAAAGTAACCATATTAGCATTATGTAATATGCGAAGAAAAGTTACTGTGATTTTGTAGTTGTCCTCATACCACTCGCGTCCTCTGTATGTTGTATGACAGCTCAATGGAATATTCATTTTGCTTTAGTAATGAAGTGACAAAAAGAACAATAATTCTTTTTTATTCATATGATCACATAAAAGTTAATCAGTGGATGGATCAATACTAGTAATTAGTGGACAAACTGCGTACATAAATATACTTAGAATACAGTTACGTGAATGTGTTTAAAAAAAGTAGCACTAACTAATATCCAAATCTCACTGTTTAGAGGTGGGGATGGACCTGATTGTATGCACTTGTAGATTTTCATAATAATAATGGTAAAAAAATTAGCTGCTGCTTATTGATACTCCCTCCATTTTTATTCGTCATAGGCAATTGGACATGTGTATTAGTCTTCTTCTAACCATCAAAGCCGATGAAATTGACTCTTACAATTATTAATTCACTTAATGCCGCGGTCCAACTAATCGCTACGACTTCCTAACTATGATCAAAGATGTATTTATAACGTATAAATAATGGTATATGGGATTTGGATCCACATCCTCATATTTTATTTACACTTATTTTTTAATAAAGGAGACATGTACCTAAATGGCTAGAATATTACAAAACGTCCTCAAGAAATAGAAACAATATCCTATTCTAAACATATCGGTTAGATTTAATCTGTTTCATTACTTACTTTGTGAAATAATGCAAGGTGGAAATTAATGGGCAGATAAGAGAATAAAAATGCGGGGTTTTTTTTTTTTTTTTTCTTGGTTTTAGGTGGTACAAGAATCCTAGCTCGGATATAATCAATTAAATACACACCATACTCATATTAATCATGTTTATATTTCATACTCCCTTCGTCCCATAATTATTGTCCAGTTTTACTAAAATAAAAGATTTTATTTTTGGTTAAACTTACCTATATTTTACTTTAAACAATCGGATATACGCTTACATAAGTAATTGTTTAACCACTAAGATTTTATGGATAATATTTTTTACTAAGGACAAATGTGTAACTTGATCCATAAAAAGTCAAATTGGACAATAATTTTGGGGCAAAATTTTTTGGGCAAAGTGGACAATAATTATGGGACGGATGGAGTACAAGTTTAAACTATTCACAAGTTTCATTCATCAGTTTATTATATCACCCCGGAACTGTTTTCAGGCACATATGAATAAGAGTACCTTTCCTTTTATATTTACTAGTGTCTCGCGAGTTAAATCATTCGGTCGAAAACTCTATCCTACGATATACATTGAATTAGTTATTTAGTTTGGTATTGTCAATTGTGGATTGAATTACACTGCAAGGCAAACTTGTTTCACATTGTGATTTTGAACCTTAATAATGTGATACGTAAGTTTATAACTTGATTTAGTTACATCTTAATATCTCTAACGATATCTGTGTCGCCTTCTTTATTCTGTCCGATGAAGAACTTTAATATATATGTATCTAGAATTACTGGAAAAAATAATATTTCCTCGATTTCTCCAAGATAAATGTGGAGACCTATAATTATGTCACACATTATGTTAATTAATCCTTGACCAAATCAACTTGCTAGGTACAGCCAATGACTTGAAACTTATTGAAGATGGTTAGATACGACCACAAAAATAAATGATATCCACTATGTTCCAAAAGATAGTTTATTTTGAATTTCGAGATTTATACTATTTTTAGTATAAATTTAAAAAGTTTAATATAAATTACTTATGTGACAGAAATAATATAAAGGTAAATGTTAGTAATACAAATCTAAACACTTCAACATCAAAACAATTTTTTTAAAACACAACCGACAATGTAACCAGTGAATTTCGTTAGGAGATATGAGATAAAATTCACCGAATTTATCATTCAAAATACTTGATCATTGACTATAGATCCTTCCCAACTAGATAATTTTAACACTCATATTATTTTTCAATTTTTTTTAACATACTCAAACATTTTTGGTTTGTTATAGAGTAGAACTTCCATAAATTAATAAAGTTGGGACCACCAAATTTTATTAATTTAGCGAATTATTAAATAATCAATAAATTATTAAATTATTAATTTAAAGATTTTTTTCTTTAAAAACCCTACTATAATACATAATTTTCTATCGTTTTTATAAAATCCAAAACAAGTAAGAAATGTAACTCTTTTTAATAATAAACTCAAACCTAATAAGATGAATGTCAATCAGTTGGTGGATCATTCAGATTAAAATAATGAATCTACAGAGGTCAAATTATTTGAGAATATTGTGGCTAGTGTCCTTGAAAATAATTCAATTGATGATGATTCAGTGCTTTTGACACCACTCACACGAAAAGAAGCATTCAAATCAGCAATAACTTTTCAGAATTTCTTATTGCAATTTGAGAATACGACACCAGAGCTCTCAAGGGCAATTAGATAAATCAAGGATGAAATTTTATTGGATTTGAATTTCAAGAAAAAACAAATATTAATAAGCTCATATTTTACAAATCTTCCTAGATATTAGTATTTTTTTTGCCATTTAAGATATTTATTAATTTACAGTATTGTTGGGACCTATAGATATATAGGAGATTTTTTGAAATATTATTATTTATCATTTTATCGATTTTGTCACTTTTTATACTGGACTCAAGTTGGAACCAGAAAAAATTATTAATTGCTAAAAATTATTAATTTATCGATTATTTATTTACCGACGTTCTACTGTACATATAATTCTCTCGGCTAATCCGAGCGGAATTGATGAATACCTTTACCACACCCGAACTAAATAAATTAATACTTGTTGGTTATGAATTAATACATAATATAGGCAGATTAAAACAGATTCCAGGTTTACGTACATATTCACAAATAACACTCAATTCTTAGGGTATCTTTAGGAGTGGTAAATAACATCTTACTAATTACATATTACACCACTATACAGAGTGTTAATAGTTTATAACTGTGTAAAATTTTTTATATTGTAGAATATTAAGGGCTTGTTTGGATAATGGTTTATTTTAGTTTTTAGTTTAGTTTTGTTTTGAGTTTGAGATGTGATTTAAAATGTGGTTTGAGATAAAATTTTAAAAGTTATTTGGGTGGTATTTTAAATAAAATAATAATATTTTTACATAACTACCGGACCACCTCCACTGCCGGTGCCGCCGCCGGTGGCCGGCCGGCCGAATTCCGGCCAACTCGCCGGAATCCGGCCGATTGGTCGCCATTCGATGGTAGTCCAGTAACGGACGGTGGCGGCGGCGCACGTTCCGGTAGTCGTGGATAAAAATTGTGTAAAAATAATATTTGATATAAATTTTAAAAAAAGTAAATTAAAAAATTGCTTAAGTAGTATTGGGTTTTATGTTTGAGTTGTGTTTTAAGAGGTAAAATTAGACAAAAGGCAAACCAAAAGGTTAGCCAAACAAGACCTAAATTTTGTGGGACAAATTTTCTTTTTATGTTTAACTTATTTAATTTTTTTGGCATAATAAAGAAGACACAAGTCTAAATTTAAAATAAAATAATGATCAAGTGTTCCAACTTACTACATCTTGTTCGAACAGCGACTCTGACATCTATAATGAAAAGTCTAACATTAGAACTTCCTTGGGAACATGGTTTACAGGACTTAATTTAATTTTTACTTAAATGTAGTTTGTGATAATCTAATAGTAATTCTATTATACTAATACTTTTGTATAGTATAAATCAATGCATGAAAAAGTATAAATAAAATTAATAAGTAATATTGAAGTCATAATTATATTCTATCCACGATTATATAAATCATTGTGAATGCTTTTAAGGAATCCTACCAACAAGAACTTTTTCTCCGTTCAAGAGTCATATTATTATGTTAATTATTGTCCTAGTCAGATATTAACATATTCATAACAGATTAAACTATTGAATACTTGTGGTGGAAAAGGCCTCATCAGATCCTAACAAAATAGACCAAATATCAAAGAAAACTGAACGAAATGGTTGGCTGCCACGTTCAAATACGTGACATGTTTTCTATATATATATAAAAGAGATACCATTACGAAACGGATCACAAAGGTTAGGTGCAGCTATTGCAGATTGAGTTAGAAAATAAAAATTATCTCTCATCAATAAAAAAACCATGAATTCCAATACTCGAACCTATTTCAACAAGATATTCACCCCATCATTACCATTCACAACACCTTATAAGATGCAGCCAAAGTACTCTCAACCGGTTATTAGATCCCAAAGGTTTCGTGATGAAGGTATGTGCTTCCATTTTTCCCATCAACTTTTTCGATCGTGCAGAGAAAATACAGAATATATGTTTTGATACCAAAAAAGTATGATGTTGTTATGAATGATTGATAGAAAAAGACATTATTTTCTTATTTCATGCATGGTTAATGGGATTTTTGATATTGGTGGAAGTGTTATCCTCTTGCTACATCTTCTTGAGGAACTTGTTTATTTATTCATTTAATTATTGTTTTTTGGCAGGAAAGCCAGCAAATAATAAAAATATAGTGGATGGAAACATGATTGTTTTGAGGAAAAGAATCGAGCATGAGAGAATGAAGGAGAAGTTGAACAAAACATGGTATGGATCTGATGGTTATCAAGAGATCAATGGATGGAAGTACAAGGCGGCGGGGTACGATGAAACCTACAAGAAGCGTGGTTTGGTCGAGGAATATGTTGAGCTTGCGGCTTTAGTCGGCCGTTCATTTGGCCTTGCCTTCCTCCTCGGGACAACTTTTGTCTTCCTTTACTCTCTTCTTATGCACATCCAAACCTAAGTAAACTCTAGACATCTTGAATGCCCTTACCAATTTACCACCACGTAGTTTTAAGGTTCGTTCTGTTAAATTTCTCTAATTTATAAATGAAATTTTCGTTACTTATATTTTTACTTTTTTGGTTCTCTTGAATTGGCAAAAGTGAAATTAAGTTTATTCAGTACGTGAAACTTTATTTATCTCATTTTTAGGTCATCTACTCGTCACAAAATAAATATCTTTATGAATTTTGTAAGTGGGGTGACCAAAACAACTTAAGATTCTTGGATCAATTGTTAACTTGGCCAAAAGTTTTTTCTCTACCTTTTCTTTTCTTTTGTGAGATGAGGTGAAAGTAATAGAAATGCCACCATCCCACTTTGCTTAATTTTCACTATACAGATAGCTGCTCCGATTTATGAGGTTACTTAATTGATGAACAAAGGGCTAGAATACTTGTTGCAAGTTGATATTACATATTTGTTGTGTTCTAAATGAAAAATATATCTCAATATCTAAAACGATTCAATAAATGTGATTTTTTTCTCTTAATTTTCAAATGGATAAAGTACAATCAACATTCAATATATATACCCTATTGAAAATAGAAATTCAAATGTAAACAAAGTGATGAAGTGTCACGCTCTCATGAAATATTTTCCCTCTAAAATAAAATAACATCGTTTTGGTTAAAAATAAATTTTTTTATTTTATTATGAAAACAACTTATATGCGAGAAAATGAAAGACAATGTAACTACAAATTTCTCTGCCTAAAACATATCAAGTTAATACTACGTAGCTTTAATTAAAAAAATTCTAACTAAATACATCAAAACTTAGTTTTTAGTAATATAATTGTTTGAGCAAAAAATTTTAATAATTTATTTGCACTTCCATGAGACCTCTTTTCACCATTAAAAGAAATGGCCACCCACCCACTGTTTATATTGGAAATGAATATTGAAACTTTACAGGTAAAATTATAAAATTTCAAAATAAAACCATTTTCTTATATTCAAATTTAGTGACTCTAATGTAATACTCTCTCTGTCCCAAAATTATTATTCAATTTGAGATTTCACTTTTAGTACAATTTGAACTAGAAATAAAAACTTATAATATTATATATACCCTATTAAAAATAGAAATTCAAATGTAAAAAAGTGATGAGGTGTCGCGCTCTCATGAAATATTTTCCTTCTAAATTAAAATTACGCCGTTTTGGTTAAAAATAAAAATCTTTATTTTATTATGAAAACAGCTTAAATGTGGCAAAATGAAAGATACATACCACAATATAACTAGCTTTTCTGCCTAAAACATATCAAATTAATACTACGTAGTTTTAATTAAAAAAATTCTAACTAAATACATAAAATATTAGTTTTTACTAAAATAATTGTTTGAGAATTTTTTTTAATAATTTATTTGCACGACACCCACCCACCGTTTATATTGGAAATGAATATTGAAACTTTACATGTAAAATTATAAAATTCTCAAAATAAAAAATTTCCTTATATTCAAATTTAGTGACTCTAATGTAATATTATTTAAACAACTATCAGTGAGAAAATAAAATCTGAGATGCAACGTAATTAATTTTTTATATCAAATTATTAACTTAATGTTATATTTTAACATTTTCTATGCAGCATACGGAGAAAAATTTAGCATCTTTTTGTTGTCTCAAAATAATTGTACAGTTTAGATTTTTACTTTTAATATCATTTGAACTAAATTAAAATAAAAATTTAAACCAATCATTTCGATAGGGAGAATATAACTTGAAAAGCTAAGACGTGAGTATATATCGAGTGTCTACTTATCATTGAGTTAGGATGTTGATCGCATTTTGTTCAAACAAACTCTAAGGGCTTATTTGGATGGCCTCTACTTTGTTTTTTTTTTCAATTTACCTCTTAAGTACAAAACCCAATGTACTATTTAAATAAATATTTTTTTCTGGTACTATGAAGGATTTAAAACTATCCAAACAACATCTTGACTTATCTTTTAAAAAATATTCAAAAAATTATTTTTACACAATTTTCGTCTACCACCACTAGACAACCTCCACCACCGCCCGCCACCACCAGACCGTTCAATGCCGCCGCCGGCCAACGACCGGCCGGCCAAATTCCGATGGGTTGGACGGAATTTTGCCGCAATCTGCCGGCGGATCGCGCGGCCGAAAGTGGTCCGGCGGCGGAGAAGGATGGTCCGGCAGCAGAAGTAGCTATCGGTGGTGGTAAAAATTAATATTATTTTAATTAAAAGTATTCAAATAATTTTTAAAATTTTTTCTAAAACCATATTTTAAATCACATATCAAATTCAAACCAAAAACTAAAATAAACCATCATTCAGAAGCCCTAACTATTTGTTCCTCATCATTATCTCAACAAGGTTGTATTTTTTTTAAAAAAAATAATTCTGTCAAATCACGTTGATTTATACGTGAGAGTGAGATGAGAGATGATTAGTGATGATAATGCACCGAATAGAGTTTTCCGGGCTTACCCGCTAACAACCATTTTCATGCGTTTCACTTTTTACGAAGCGTAAAAAATGGCGAGAATCGGGACGATATATAGTAATGGTGAATCAAATAAAACCACGGGAATCCGACGTATTTTCCGTGAGTTCGGGGACTTTGTGATCTACTTCGTCGGGAGTGTGGTGCGTGGAAATTAGACATTTTCTGTGAGTCTGAGTTTTGCAAAGAATTACTCTTTCCGTCTCAAAATTATTGTTCAGTTTAGATTTCAGAAAGTATTAGATATCATTAACATTTGACCTTTTCGGTGGAGGTACAGTGATTTATTAACTCACAGTCTAGAGTAAACAGTAGTTAGAGCATGACTTTGTTGAGATTTCCTATCAATCAAAACATTTAATTTAATGTGATGTTGCCATTTAATCTCTTTCTTTGTACCAAAAATAATAAAACTACGAATTTTAGAGCGGAAAAAATTTGATCGTGCAATATATCGAGCTGAATCTTTCCCAACAAAACCTATAAAGCAATTTTCTCCTAATATTTTTGTGTTGCATTAGAAAAACGTACGTGTACATAAATCTGCAAGCTTCGGGGGCCGAACAAGAACAAATAAAAATGATGCAAGATTTGGAGTTTCCCATCATCACATGGCCAGTGGTATATTCTCTCTATAGCCGGAGGGAAGAGGAATCCCATATGCCAAAACTTCAGGGTTTCGTCTTTCTGAGATTCTGATGTATGAACAATTCTCTAAATTCAGGTAAACGACTAAACAATATCCCCAACGAAACGAGGCCACAGGTCTCATGGAAAACTCTGCTTTTATTTTCTCCAAAATTTTTTTAATACTTTATATGTCCCATTTAGATTTTTGCTTTCGTATTATTAAGTATCAAAATTTAAATCAGATAATCATTTCAGTACGGAAAACAATGATGTTGCTATTGTATGATGCTATCACTATGTGATGCTATCGATATTAAAGAATAAACAACTTTACGGTGGGAATCCTAATTAAATTGCCTAACTATATTCAAAAGCCCACACATGATTTCACATGCCACACGCTTATTTGTCCATGGCTAATTAGACCTTAGGATTATCACTAATTAGTGCTTTAATTTACAACGACGACGTACCACACGTGTGCAAGAAGGTACAAGTGGGAAATCCTGATTCAAGAGTATGAATAATGGAGGCAGGTACAAAATATTAGACAGCTATTTACGATTAAAATTGATTGTTATTCTTAATTTCATATTGAGATCATCGCTTTCTTTCTTTTTGTTTACCCAAAGCAAAGGGAATCAAAGAGGAAGCAAATATAAAAAGTGAAAAGCAAGAATCAATATGGGACCTTCCCTCAAGATTGAGGGCCTCACTTCACCTTAACTTGGATAAACCCAACTAAACACATCATTAAAATTACACTATCTATCATCCAAGAGTTATTTCTTCCATCTTATAAAAGTTTTCAATCAATCACCTATTTGGAGTATATTTCTCCTGTGTAGAAAAGTAGTCTACATCGATTTTTAAGTTATTTGTATAATTTTCTGGACAAAATTCAAAACTCGATACTGAACATTTTTCAAGACACATACAGTATTTAATTTAATTAACATAATTTTTTTAATGCCGGTTTGATATAATGGAAGGATGGACCCTTAATTGATTCGTATGGGCCAGCAAAATAACCTATAGTATAAGGTCTCACATATGATATCAGGTTCGGAGATGTATGTATAGCGGTTTTCTTCTCGTTTTTTTATTTGGATTTTGAAAAAGATTTAAAATGTGTTTTGAGAGGAAATTTAAAAAATTTTATATACAGTATTTAAATAAAATAATATTATTTTTACACCACCATCGGATCACCTCCGCCACCGCCGCCACCACCGCTCGACGACCAACCGGCCGCTTTCTGGCCAACTCGAAGGATTTTTTGGCCAGCCGGCGGCGGTTCGGCGACAGCAGGGGGCGGTCCAGCAACGGAGAGCCGATGGTGGAAGTCGTCCGGTGGTAGTGGATGAAAATTGTGTAAAATAATATTTAAAATATTTTTTAAAAGTTAAATTAAAATGTTGTATAGATAATGTTTTATTTTACATTAGGTTTTATATGTAAGAGGAAAAATGAGACAAAAGGCAAAATGGGAGGGTGAACATACAAGCACTAGATATTCACCACCAAAGTGTCACATACAAAATATATATTGGAAAAGATAAAAATCCTCCTCAATTATGTCTCAAATACTAATATTACCTTAACATTTTCTATAAGGATAATTACTCCCTAATCCGCTTGTCAACGGCAAAATTGACAAAAATTATGTGTGTGAATATAAAAAAATACTATTTTTAGCTAAAAATAAATTTTTATGCACATTTACCTTCTTTTTTTTTCAATAACCTTTTTTTATTAACAAATTGCTGAACAATTTATTTACGGATAATGATACTTGGCGAATTTTGTTAAAAGTTTTTTTTTTTAAAAAAATTAATTCATTTAGGTTTGAATTTTATTTTTAAAATTTGATATAACTTATCCTAAAAAAGGCGTAATTTTAATTTCAAATTTGTCCATTGTTATTGAAAATTAAATATGAATATGGTAAAAATTATATCCTTTTTCTCAAACTAAAAATCGAACCATAAATAAATTAGTTTTTACTTCAATTATTTTATTAAAGAAGTAATTTCTTAAGAAAAATTGGTAAATGTCTTATCCCTAAATAAATTCTTCGGCGATTTGTTAAACAAAATAGGCCTTTAAAAAAGGTAAAATTTGTGCACGAAAAATCATTTTCAGCTAAAAAAAAAGTATTTTTGAATTTTCTTACATTTTTGGTAAATTATGCAATCAGATGTCCCATTTGCCGTTGACTGAAGTTTAAGAAGGATAATCTATAGTACTTCATTAAAATAACCTACAAGCTGCTGATGTGTAAGTATCACAATGAAAATTTTCTCACTAAAAGTCATTTTCAGTACAAAATCTTTTTTGACATGTTGCACTCTAACTATTCAAAAAAAAACTGGAATAAATAAACAAATAAATCTCTTAATTATAAATTCATACTAATCTCTTAATTATAGTTATATACTAATCCCTTAAAATAGAAAACTTGAGTTGATAAAATCAAATGTATAGAATTTCCTTAAATCACGTGAAACATTACTGCAAGTAACGCCTCCTCAATCTCTGTAAGTACAAAATGGTTAAATGAAAATTGGGTCCAACATATAATTAGTTCAATCAAATATATAATACCTCAATCAAATATTTTTATTCAATGTAATACAATTGGCTCAATGAAAATGAAAGCGATCCCCTTAATATTTTTGCTCCAAAGAAGACATCAACCCTTAAAATTAGACTTAAAACCTTGCAACGGGAAAATCAAGGAAATTCCATCATGCTATCACGGGAGATCAATACCGGGGAGCAAAAGATGATCAACTCTCCATTACGGCAATCCGGACATTGGCCCGGGGCATGCATCTAGTTATTTTTATAAAAAATGTCAAGATAATGTAGATTAGTCTTTAAAATATAACTTGGGCTGTTTGTCCTTTTTCCAATATCCTACTATATTGGAAACAAAAACCTCCCTTTTAAACACCTCATATGATTGCCACGTGGCATGTAGAAAGTACTAAATTGTCCTTTTGTCTAGCCATAACTAAATTACTAAATTTTCCTTTGCACTTTACGTGTCACGTTTTTTTTTTAATTTTATTTTTTCTTTATGTTTCATTCAACTAGAGTGGTTTTTTAAATTGAATTGATCAATTAGGTTTTTGTTACAAAGTGTCCTTTGTTTTAAGCATATACCCGTCGGATGAAGCTTATTACAAAACTATTAAAAATCACCACAACTAAGTATTGATTTGGTACGACCAATGGAGAACATCAATAAATCATCTTACTAATATTTAAATTTATTAGGATGCTTTTATATTTTATCTAACTTTTACTTCAACACATTTATTCGATTAAGGCTATTTATATTTAATAAGTGACACTTATAAAACATTTCTAAAACATACATGGCGAAATACAATTTCTTTCTGTTTTTTTGTGTGTGAAATACAAATATTTCTACGATCACACTTATAAAACATTTCTAAATCCTTCAAACATTTCTAAAATATATCGCTACAAATACAAAATTTTATTTTTTTCAAATATAAATATTTCTAAGATCTACAGATAGGCTGGGCCAGGGTCGCGCATTGCGCGACCAGACATCACTAGTATATATAGATCCTAAAATACAACTTGGCTGTTTGGCTATTTTGGATCCTAACCAAAAACAAAGAGCCCAAACAAACTCATTTATTCAATGGAAACTCAAAAAGTAACCAAATAGACTAAACATCATTTGTATTATTATGAGAAAAAAATACTCTCTCGAAATTATTGTCTACTTTAGATTTTTATTTTTAGTACAACAGTAAAAATACAAATCTCAAACTGGAGAATGATTTTGGGATGGAGAAAGTAGTATTTAATTTAATATATCGTACTAAAAATAAAAATTCTTAAATTAGACAATACTCTGGAGAGAGAGGGAGTGGTATTTATTTTAATAATCACTTTTTTTAAAAAAAAAAAAAATCAGTTTGATATAATGGAAGGACGGAGTACCCTTGGTTGATTCGTAGGGGCTGCCAAACGTACCCTCTAATATAAGGCCTCACAAATGATATAAGGCGTGGACCACCAAATGTTGGATTTAGCTAAATAAGTGAAAAGTCTCCCATACAAAAAATATATAGATAGTTCAGCTTAAAACCATTTTGGCCCATAACAAATCAAGAAAAACAAAAACAAAAAAAAAAAAATCCAAACAAACTCATTTATTCAATAAAAACTCAAAAGTAACCAAATAGACTTAACCATTTCACGAAACATTAATCACTGTGATCGACGGAAATGCTAATGAAAGGAAAAAAAAAAAAAAAAACTGCATCGATCACTTTTTGTTGCCGTAATTAAACCTTTGATACTTCTCTTCAACGGAATACTTGGTGTAGCTCCCACTGGATTTGTCACTAATACGGACACTGTGGCTAACCTTGTACTCATCCTTGTACCCAACTTCACCACTTGATCTGTTCACAACCCTTTCTCCGGTTGACACCCTCGATTTCTCTGTTGTGCTCACGTAAGTCCCGTTCCGATCGCCGGAATAATACCTGTTTGTTTCTTCATGATGCCTCGCCGCCGGTTCAACTTCTCCACCACCGTAGTAACGGTAAGGGCTAACCGCATAATGCACATTGTTATTGTTATCCGCCATGGATTAAATTAAGAGAGGAACTTTGTCGAAGAAAATTGTTTTTGCAATTGGTGAAGAAACTGTAGTAGCTTTGCACCTTAATTTATAGTAGTAATTATCAGTAGCCCTCACAATCAAATGTGTGATTTGATTAGGATTGCGGTTGATTGTGATTAGTATTATCATGAATTCATGATTCCGCAAAAATAAAGATACGAGATAATCAATGTTTGACATCCTCATTTAATTTAGAGATTGATTTCACATAGTGATTATTAATGATGATGAGGATGAATTGCGGGTTTCGTTTTTGGAAGTCATCATCATTTGAATTTACAGTATTTCACATTCTGTTAATTTTCGTAGTAAATTGTTACATTTTTCCTGTTGTGAAGCAATTCTGTTAGATTTCGTGAACAGTATCATGTTAGAGGGGAAACAAACCAAACACAGTGGGCTTTTGCTAATGATTTTTATTCGTTTTTTGCCCCCTAAAATATGTTTCTTTTTGTATTGCACAAAAAAATGTGATATGGCACAATCTTAAGCATTAAATTAACATATATTCTAGTTCCGATTTGATGTATTGTAGTTACGATTTGACAGAAGACGATTTCTTGAATTATTCACCCAATAAAAAAAAAACTCACAAAAATTGGCATGTCCATTTTACATCAATTATTTACGATGAACTTTTTCGTGGTCACTTTTAATATTCCTTCAGAAAAATTACCAATTTTGAGTGTTTTATTTTTGTTTTTATTTTCCTCTGTGTCTTTTCGTATTAATAAAAGTATTTCATTTTTTTCAAAAAAAAAAAAAAAAAAGAAATGGTCCTGTATTTTGGAGGGCATGTACGCAATCCGTCTGATGATCTAACAAGTCCTTACAAATTCAACGCCTTCACTTCTTCTCTGGACTAGCAGCATCCTGTTGAAACTCATGAAAGTCCCGGTCTATCCAACACTGTTTTGAATCAAATTCTTCAAACGCTGTCCATCTCAAGGTAACATACTGTATTTCACAACCAAACATAGCACATTTCACTCAAACATTTGTAAAGCATTCATTTCTTATCGGTCCGACAAACACACATTCTAATTAAGAGATGATTAACAGGCGAAAGAACAGATGATTAACAACTCTACATAAAATATCTAACCTCTCAAACCGGGGAAAAAAAAATCATATTTAGTGAATGAAAATAATGTCACAAGCAGAACTTTTTTATGTACAGTATAAATGATGATAGAGACTCATCTACTTTTGATTAATCTGATACTCTAATTCGTTTTTTTTTTTTTAAAAAAAAAAGAGACTGATTTTTTCTTTTTAATTAGTGTAGTCAATTAGGCGATGTAGGCGGTATTAACAAATTGTAATTTTGTATGAAGGGCTCCTCAATCTAAATCCATCAATTTGTCATTTCCGATTCTCATGTCTGTTCTGAAATTGCATTAATATATACTCCCTCCGGTCCTTAATATAAGTCATTTTGATTTGTCCTATGTATTTTTAATTGACGAAAAAACCTTAAAAATATTTCATAAGAATTAAGAGAATACAACGAATGTGAAAATATAGTTTTTAAGGTTTTTTGTCAATTAAAAATACATATTAGATGAAATTAGGACAAAATCAAAATGTCTTATAATAAGGACCGAAGGGAGTACGTCTCTTATTCAAGTACTTGATCCGATGCAAAAATGTGTTACTAGTAAGAATCGAACCTATACCACAATGTTCGCATGACTTGAACACTAAAGCCTTTGTTCCCGAGTTGTCATTATAAGACCAAACATCCTCTTTGTAATCCTGGGATGACTTCCTCTAGTTTCCCATTGGCGAAAAATTTTCAAATTTCCTTTTCAAAATTTACGTGTGGATCCGAATAACTTGCTTTTTTAATTTTGGAAAAAAGAAATCTGACCTAGTATATAATAACTAAGTAAAAGGGTTTTCTTAGAAGAAAGAAAGAAGAAGTACGACCCAGTTTGTTAAAACAGTTTTTTTTTTTTTTTTTGACAAAGTCAAGCTCCTCAATATGTACCCAACCAAAAGATAACAAAAACAGAAAAACAAATTCAAAAAAAAAAAAACACTACTAGTTGATTAATATATCTAGAAAAAGAAAAGAAAAAGAAATAAAAAGAAAATACAGATATTAATTCTACCGATCAACACGTTCAAATATGATGTATTTACAGTTTTAAAAAAAAAATTTCAATTTATCTGGAAAAGATCGGCTCCTCCGTGATTGTATCCAACAAAGGCTTCCTCGATTTGCATGATGACAACCTGAATCTGTATTCCATATCCTGGAACCCTTCAATCTCGTGACCCGAATTCAATCTCGACCGTTCGTTATTATTCCGATCACCACCGTCTTCCGCCTCCTCCTCCGCCGCCGCCGCCGCCGGCGCTAAAGCCACCACCACCTCCGGCTTCACCTTCCCACCAGCGATCCGCCGCGAAGCCGTGTTCGCCGCCATCAGGACCACCGCCATGTCGGCGGCGGTGACGACGGAATTCACCCTCCTCATCGGGAACATAATGTAAACATTCCCGAACTCCAAGTCTTCGTCGGCGGAAAGGGCTGAGAATCTCCTCCCCATTTTTAAAGAGCTGGAGTTGACCAAGAAGCTGTTGGGTGATTCCAGCATGAGCTCCGCCGCCTTCACTGGCTGCCGGAACTGCCGTACTTCGCCGCTGGGGAGGATTACCCTGGCGGCCTTGGCGGCTTTCATCAGGGGAGCTGGAAGATTACTGCATGACACCAAATTTCCCATGTTGAGTTTGAAAGAAGAACCAAATGTAAGCTGCGGTTAATTGGAATTTTAGAAATGTTTGTGTGTGTGTGTGTGTGAAAATTGTGAGAAAGGGTGCTTTATATAAAGGGCTTTGCGAATTTATTTAAAATTATTTTGAAGTACTGATAAAATGCATAAGTTTTGCGTGTGGATGAAAGAATCAATGTAATAATTACGTGTGCGGTGTAACCAAAATATATATATATATATATATATATATATCATAGGTAACAAAATGGATAAAGAAATCTAATTTAAAATATTTCTAGGAATAACAACCAAAATTTTTAGTACTATATTCATTATACGAAATTTAATGTAATGAATAGGATTCCCTTATCCTAAAAAGTAACAAATAGACATTTTTTTTTTCTTTCCAGAAACAGATATCCAGAAGTATATAAAAATGGAAATACTATAATAAATAGTATTTAAATTTGAAAATCTTGAATAAGATGTAGGGATTTAAAACTTGGATTTATATTCTTCTAGATATAAAGAGTAATTAAGTTTTTACTCAAAATGCCCATTTATCATTTTTCTACTTATCTTGTTTCCAAAACTTAAAAAGAGGACATTTTGAGTTGTATGGCAGAAATCACAAACTAAAAAAGGTAGCTAGTCTGATATTCAAAAGAATTATCCGAATTGAAACATGTTTTGTGGTATCCTTTTTTTTTTAATAAAAAAATCAATATAATAAACCAATTAGATTACTAATTAACCTGTAGACTACTATTTCGATGGTGAAAATTTGATAATAAGAAGGTTCCTTAAAATTTGAGTATTTAACTAGGATTGCACGGAGAGTTCGTTAAGAAGATTCAAATTGAAAAGAAAAATAAAATAAACTAACAACATGTTTGGTATACATGTGGAAGAAAAGAAATAGAGTTGAGTTGTGTGTGCATAGTTTGACCATAGGTCTGCTAGTAATTTAGGCGAAATTTATGCAAAAAGACGAATATAGAAAAATTGGACTGAGAAGTCTCTTCTCTATTATTTAAACAAAAAGGCCTTTCGGAGAAGATTAGTAAGGGTCTCTGTCAAATGAGCATTCTAGCGGTATTCCGTGTCCGTGTGGGGGCTTCGAATTGTAGCCCGTGATGACATATTGATCGATATCGAAGGTTTGTTTATGACTTGTGAACTATCTATTGTTCAAAATTACAGTCTCGACTAATCTCGATTCGTGTTAAATAGATTTTTTTAAGAAAATAAAATATTTTTAATTTTTTAATTATTACGTATTTATAGTCAAAATCTAATTATGCAGTTAAATCGGTTCGGTATCTTTTACCACATGAACTAAAAGAGCTAGTTGATCACTTTCTTTCTTATACTTTTGTTGTGGATGTTACCGATTTTAAGTCCCCAAATGGATTGATTGTGTTGGGATGTGCTCACAGCTATGTGGGTCAAAGCCCAAGTAATTAAGTAAGTTTAGCCCAACTTGTGTTATGTCATCAGTCCAAGGTTTGAGTCCACTAAGAGATAGTAAAATGCAGTCAAAATTAGAATGAGGAGTGTGTGCCATTTACGGGAACAAGAACCAAAAAGAGCGAGAGGGATTTGAAAATTTCTAGCAAGGGGTTCCACTATAGCAGCATCTGAATTCTTCAAGTTTGGAGGGGCAATTTTTGTCCTTTGGTCCTGAAATATTTGGACTGGAGTTACAAGACTCATCAATCTTCATTTCCACCAAAGGGTTTTGGTTTTCGTCCCCTGGATTGTGAGTATTGTACTTTTGAAGTTGATGCTGGTTTTGTGGATGTTTAGTTGATCTTTTGATCTTATATTGATATTCTAGTGCCTTTGTAGCTTGGTTTAGCTTGGGTGAGGACTAGATATCCTTGTTGTATTGTTGGATTGGTATACTCCTACTCTTATTTAGTGATAGTGGATTGATAGGCCTTTTGGTCTCGTGGTTTTTACTCCTTCACACCGAAGAGGGTTTTCCATATAAATTGGTGTTGTGTGTTACTTTTGCTTTCTTTTGTTTCATTGGTAGCTTTACTTCCACTTGGTGTAGTTGGTATTTTCGCTCCTACTAAATTCTTGCAAATTGGGGAGGTATTGGTTTGTTTCCGCTGTGCTTAAACTAGCTTGTGTTGAGTAGCTAGTGTGTTTGATTTGCTTATTTGGTCTTCACCTCCCAACAGAGTGGTATCAGAGCCACAGGTTGGTAGCTTTGAGTTGATTTGCTTGAATTTTAGAGGTTAAAACCATGGATGTTACTCGTAGTAAGATGGTATCTTTGACTGGTATGAATTATCACTCGTGGAAGGGTAAAATGCAAGATTTGTTGTTTGTTAAAAGTATGCATCTACCTGTGTTTGGTTCGGGTAAACCGGATTCTAAAAAATGAAGAATGGAAGTTTGAGTATCAGCAAGTATATGGCTTCATCAGAATGTGGGTAGATGACAACGTCAGGAATCTTGTGGCAAATGAAACAAATGCAAAAGAACTCTAGTTGACACTTGAGAAGATGTATGCTTCTAAGACAGGTAATAACAAGTTGTATCTCATGAAGCAGTTGACCAATTTGAAGTATACCAAGGGTACACCTATCTTTAACCATGTGAATGAGTTTCAAGATGTGTTGGATCAATTGTCTAATGTTGGTGTTACATTTGAAGATGAGATACTTGGTTTATGGTTGCAGAATACTTTGACAGACTCTAGGGAGACTTTTAGGGTCTCACATACAAATTCTGCTCATGAACATCTTTTGATTATGCCAAAAGTGGAATCCTCAATGAGGAGATTAGAAGAAGAACTCAGGGGATGTCATCTCAGACTAAGGTCTTGGTTACAGAGCAGAGGGGGAGACAACAAAGTAGATGGCGTAGCAACAGGAAAAAGAGTAGAAGCAAGTCCAGAGGAAAACACAAAAATGTGGAGCGCTATTTTTGTAAAAAGTCTGGTCACATCAAGACATATTTTTTGATATAGAAGAGCAAAAAGGGGGTAGGGAGTTGCAATTCAGACAAGCCTGAAGAAAGTACTTCTGGTCGTGTTGTCACAGCTACCAGTGATGATCTTATCATTGTGTATGATGACTGTGATGTTAATTTGGTTGCTTCTGATTCTACTTGGATTAATGATTCAAGGGTTGCAGTCCATGTTACTTCCAGAAAGGAGTTTTTTAGCACTTACACTGAAGGTGATTTTGGTCACTTGAGGATGGGCAACAATGGTCTTGCCAAGGTTGTTGGCATTAGAAATGTTTATCTAAAGATGAACAATGGCTTTACAGTGCTACTTAAAGAGGTAAAGCATGCTCCAGAAGTTCGATTGAACTTGATCTCCATTGGAAGACTTGATGATTATGGTTATTGCAACAATTTTGCTAGTGGGATATGAAAAATCAGCAAGGGGTCCGTGATTTTAGCTAAGGGAACAAAATTAAAGGAAAACTTGTATGTGTTGCCAGCTTCAATTTTGGTTGACTCAGTTAATGTGGTGGATAAGACATGTTCACCAGAGTTGTGGCATAAAAGATTGAGTCACATAAGTGCCAAGGGACTTGATGTATTGGTGAGGAAGAATGTTCTTCCTGGAGCTAAGGATTCTAACTTTGATAAATGCTCACATTGTCTTGAAGGAAAGCAGACCAGAGTATCCTTCAAGACTCATCCTCCTCGTAGGTAGCAAAACTTGTTAGACTTAGTGCATTCAGATGTTTGTGGTCCTTTGAAGGTGAAGACACTTGGAGGTGCATCTTATTTTATGACTTTCATTGATGAGCATTCCAGGAAGCTCTGGGTCTATGCTTTGAAGACCAAAGATCGGGTGCTTGAGAAGTTCAAGGAATTTCAAGCTTTAGTTGAGAGACAGACTGGAAGAAAGTTGAAATGCATCCGGACAGACAATGATGGTGAATACCGTGGACCATTTGAGGAGTATTGTAGGCAAGAGGGGACCAGACATTAGAAAACACCACCCAAGACGCCACAATTGAATGGGTTGGTAGAGAGAATGAACAAAACATTGATGGATCGGGTTCAATGCATGTTGTTGGAGTCTAAGCTCCCTCAGTCATTTTGGGATGAGGCTTTATATACTATTGCTTATGTTATTAATTTGACTCCTACACTTACTTCGCAGGGTGATGTTCCACAAAATGTCTGGACAGGTAAAAACACTTCTTAAGATTATTTGAGGGTGTTTGGGTGCAAAGTTTATGTTCATGTTCCTAGAGATGAGAGGTCTAAGTTAGATACCGAGGCTAGGCAGTGCATCTTCTTTGGCTATGGCCAGGATGTGTTTGGTTTCAACTTGTATGATCCAGTTGAGAAAAAGGTCATACAGAGCCGTGATGTGGTGTTTTGTGAAGACCAAACCATTGTAGACATTGAGAAGGCAGAGAAGCCAGATTCTCATATTGATGATGACCTTACAGACATTGATCCAGAGCCAATACCACATTTGCCTACTACATCTGGTGGTTCTACAAGTGAGAATGAGTTGCAGCATGATGATTTTGCTGATGGTCAGTAAGATGAGAGTTTGCATAATCCTGAAAATGATGATCCACAAGAACTCAGAAGGTCTACCAGGGAGAGAATACCTTCTCCTAGGTATCCCCATAATGAGTATGTCCTCTTGACTGATGGGGGAGAACCTGAGTGCTTTGAAGAAGCCGCAGAAGGTGTAGACAAGCAAGAGTGGTTTCATGCAATGGAAGATGAAATGAAATCCTTACATGATAATCATACTTTTGAGTTGATGCCATTACCTAAGGGTAAGAGAGCTTTAAAGAATAGGTGGGTCTACAGACTGAAGCAAGAAGAGAATTCTTTCAAACAAAGGTACAAGGCCAGATTGGTTGTGAAGGGTTTCAGTCAGAAGAAGGGGGTTGATTTTGATGAGATTTTTTCACCTGTTGTGAGGATGTCTTGAATCCGGACTGTGTTGGGGTGCTGCAAGCCTTGACTTAGAGGTTGAGCAAATGGATGTGAGGACTGCATTTCTTCATGGTGACTTGCATGAAGAAATCTATATGGAGCAACCTGAAGGGTTCAAGGTGACATGCAAAGAGAATTATGTGTGCAAGTTGAAGAAGAGCTTGTATGGCTTGAAACAAGCTCCAAGACAATGGTACAAGAAGTTTGAGTCTATGATGAGGCAGCAGGGCTACAAGAAGGCTACTTGTGACCATTGTGTGTTTGTTCAAAAATTCTCCCATGATGACTTTATCATTTTATTGTTTTATGTTGATGATATGCTTATTGTTGGTCAGAATGCTTCTAGGATTGACAGGTTGAAGCAAGAGTTGAGCAAGTCCTTTGATATGAAGGATTTGGGGCCAGCAAAAAAGATCCTTGGAGTAAGCATTTCTAGAGATAGAAAAGCAAGAAAGTTGTGGCTATCACAAGAGAGGTACATTGAGAAAGTACTTGAGAGATTTCGAATGGAGAAGGCTAAGGCTATTAGCACTCCTTTGGCGACACATATGAAGTTGAGTGTTAACCAGAGTCCCTCTATTGATAAAGAAAAGGAAGAAATGAAGAATGTTCCTTAACTTCTGCCGTTGGTAGTTTGATGTACGTGATGGTGTGTACAAGACCTGATATTGCTCATGCAGTTGGTGTAGTGAGCATGTTTTTTTCCAAGTTTGGCAGAGAGCATTAGAATGCAATTAAGTAGATTTTGAGATATCTTCATGGCACCTAAAGTTTAAAGCTTTGTTTTAGATGTGGTGAATCAATTCTCATTGGTTACACTGATTTTGACTTGGCTGGAGATGTTGACACTAAAAGATCCACTTCAGGTTACTTGACTACTTTTGCAGGGGGAGCTGTTTCTTGGCAATCTAGGTTGCAGAAGTGTGTTGCTCTATCAACAACTGAAGCTGAGTTCATTGCAGCAACTGAAGCGTGCAAGGAGTTATTGTATTTGAAGAGGTTCTTGAAAAAACTTGGTTATTCTCAGAAAAGGTATGTTTTACTTTGTGATAGTCAAAGTGCAATTCATCTTGGTAAGCATCCTACTTTTCATTCTAAGTCTAAGCACATTGATGTGAGGTATCATTGTATACGTAATGTGTTGGATGGAAAGTTGATTAAACTTGAGAATGTTCACACGAATGATAATGAGGCTGATATAGTGACTAAGGTTTTACCAATGGGCAAGTTTGAAGTTTGTTGTGCCATTGCTAGGATTGCAGTTTCCTCCACATAGTCGGGAGGGGGGAGATTTATTGGGATGGGCTCCCAACTGTGTAGGTCAAAGCCCAAGTAATTAAGTAAGTTTGGCCCAACTTGTGTTATGTCATCAACCCAAGGTTTGAGTCCACAAAAGGGTAGTAAAATACAACCAAAATCAGGATGAGGAGTGTGTGCCATTTACGAGAACAAGAACCAAAAAGAGAGAGAGGGAGCTAAAAATTTTCAGCAAGGGTTCAACTATAGCAGCGTCTGAATTCTTCAAGTTTGGAGGGGCAATCTTTGTTCGTTGGTCCTGAAATTTAGATTGGAGTTACAAGACTCATCAATTTTTATTTCCACAAAAGGGTTTTGGTTTTCGTCCCCTGGATTGTGAGTATTGTACTTTTGAAATTGCTGCTGGTTTTGTGGATGTTTAGTTGATCTTTTAATCTTGTATTGATATTCTAGTGCCTTTGTAGCTTGATTTAGCTTGGGTGAGGACTAGATATCCTTGTTGTATTGTTGGATTGATGTAGTCCTACTCTTATTTAGTGATAGTAGATTTGATAGGCTTTTTGGTCTCTTAGTTTTTACTCCTTCACACTGAAGGGGGTTTTCCACATAAATTAGTGTTGTATGTTGCTTTTGCTTTCTTGTTATTTCATTGGTAGCTTTACTTCCACTTGATATAGTTGTTATTTTCGCTCCTATTAAATTCTTGCAAATTGGGGAGGCCTTGATTTGTTTCTGCTGTGTTGAAACTAGCTTGTGTTTAAGTAGTTAGTTTGGTTTGCCTATTTGATCTTTGCCTCCCAACGGATAGGAACACGCCATGCTAATTAATCGTACTTTTGAAGTGTTCATTCCACGGTTTAAACATTGAGATTACATCATAGAATGATTGAATTGTTCAAGTCTTAAATGTGCAGTGTAATCACTTGAAGCCACATATCATCTTCCTCTTATAATCACTAAACGACGCAATCACTATAATTTACATAGGCTCACTCAGCAAAGGAAAAGTCAGACAACATTTTTTTTTTTGTTTTTGTTTTGAATTTTGGATAGATATGGAAGTAAAAAGTTTTCAAAAGGACTAACGTAGTAGAATGTTTTCAAATTAAAACTTTTGTTTTTTGTTTTTGTTTTTTTTTTTTTTTGGGTTAAAAAAAATTAGATTTCTGTTCATACAAGATTCTAATTAAATTAATCCTGGTCGATCGAATTAAATTAACGACCTTTAATGTACAATTTCAAGTTTTTTTTTTTCGAATATATTATACACTCAGTGTCCTTAATTTATTAATCCAACTAATCCGAATTTGAGTCGGATTACAATTTCAAGTCTACTAGAACGCATAAAGAACACAGGTTTTGTATATGTCTTGAGGAGTACAAGCTATTACAAATTGCATACATGATATGCAGCGGCAACAGAATTCAAGATGATATGTTTGACACATTCTAGAGTAATACAGTAATACATCAACAATAGTGTATGTATATTCCTACTACTTTCATCATTGTTCTTATTACTTTTTTTTTTTTTTTACTGATATAAATTAATCAACTTGGATGCAGCAGAGATTAGGCTCCAAGAGTTAATCGTGGGGAGTTGCTGTCCAACTCCAGCAAGCAGCCACACCAATTAGGCAATTATTACCCATTTCTACCTTTTGGCCCGGCGTGACTTTGTGCTCAATTTTAGTGCTCATTTTTTTTTTTTTTTTTATGTTGCAGACAAAGATTGTTCTTCTAATCTTTCCTTGACACGTTACTGGATAATAAATTACTATATAAACTAACAGAAGAGTTTCGATTTAACTCAGCAGACACTCATCCATCCTTAATCAAATATGAAATGTTGAAATCATCGTTATAATATAAAGTAATTTTAAATTCGTTTGATCACCTGTTTCATTTATTTTGATACTTATACAATTCAATAAAATTACTATACTGTTGCTTAAAGTAGACAATAGATTGTTTCATAAAATAATGTTGTATAGTCTATAACGTATGGTTACTGAGCTTACCCTACAATAATTACTTGATCTCTTGACGTTAATCAACCAGTTTCTGATTAGCTCTTTCCGTAAACTTTTTATCTTTGGTTATCACATCAAATGAAACAGGTTGGTTCACTAACTTTTGTTACGGGTTCCTTTTCCCATCCCCGTTCTTCTTCTTCCTTTTTTTTTTTTATTTTTAATTTTCATGAATGACAGCATAAGCGAATCTTAGTGGTTTTCAAATAAGTAAACAAATAAAAATCGCAGCTTTTTTTAACCACCCCCAAAAAAAAAAAAACAGGAAAAAAGAACAGAACATTTGAGTCTTAAACTTCCATTTGTTTGTTAATGAAAGTATGAAACAACTAGGTGTTAGTGTGATCTAATAAAAGAATCGCTAATAATAGTATTAATGTGTTTATCATATATTAATAGTTGTTTCGAGACGGATGATGTATATAAAAAGCAATTAAAATCATATGCCATGCATGATGCATTTTAAAAACTGAAATTTAGTCTCTCGGTCTACATTATGATAAGAAGTTAGACAAAGGGACTAATATATGTAGATTGCATGTGATTTTTTGCACAAATACCATGTAATAATTTCTATCATCATTTATCATAAATAAATATATCCGGAGACAAGTGGAAGTCAAGAGCTTAGAGTCACACTTACAAGTGGAATATAATTTTTCTCAATAATTTCCGCAGACAATTAATTTTGATTGGTCTACTTACGTACTGCCACTGCTGATGACCTCTCTAGAATGCTCTTAAATACTAAGTTGTAGTACTAATCATCCACTTTAACTTAGCCACTACAGGCACTAAGATATGCGCCAATAATTAAGCGAAATTTGTTAGTCTTTAGAGAAGAAAAAAGTTTTCAGCCACTATTAATTAATCATTGAAGTATTTACATGTATGGCAGTCCTTTTTTGTTATAAACGGAAAAAGTTTACTAGCCTTTTTGCCAGAAAAGAAAAGATGAGAATTACACTTAAATTGTCTGCAGCCATAGAACTCCAAAACTCAATTCTTCAACCATAAGGAATTTTTACCTTTCTCTTAAGTAATAGTACTTCCTCCGAAAGAAAGTCCCACATTTCTTAGTGAATAAACCGAAAGTAAAGTGCAAATTTATGTTGATCGAACTATTTTTTGTTACAAAATTTTGCTTTTTTTTTTTTAATGATAGGAATAATGAAAATAGTCCCTTACAAGTTACAGCATGTTAACGAAGAAATTATTAGGAAAAAGGTTGCGACCATACTATGTTGCAAACATATTATGTTGATATTATATCCACTTAACCACAAAAAACACACACAATTGCACAAATCTCAAAGGTACGAAACAAGGGTTTAATTTTCTCTGAAACTTGGAAGAGTGAGAAAATGAACTGTGCTTATTTGAAGGTGGTGTTTTCCAATTTCTAGCTGCTGGAAGTAGTATTAGCCAGAGTCTTCACATTCATAGGTCGGATTTGGGCGGGGCCTCCACTCCACAAAGCCTTTGAAATGAGCTTATAAGTGCGCTCTGAGGGATGAAAATAATCCCAAAACAAATGTGTATCTGGCTTTGCGCACATTTTGTAACCTTCTTTCCCACATTGCACTAAACCTCCAAGCGTTCCAGAACCACAGCATGCGTTTGTCACATCAGTAAAACCTGCAGCCCCGCGGTTAAAAAATAAATAAAAATTTATTCATGCACATTTACTAATGCATTCAATAACTATAATGTGACATGTACTCTCTCTGTGTCGAAATTTTTTTTATTTTTAGTATAAATTAAATTAAAATTGAAAATCTAAACGAAATAATAATTTTAACCCTGAGTGATTATTATATAAAACACGATGCAATAAAAATTTACCATATTGGGTAGGATTAGCTCTGAAAATTTGGACGGTTCTATAAACCTCTCCATAAACAGCAATTGCTCCAGGATATTTAGTAGGAATCGCCTTAACAATATTTTCTAATCCCATGTTGTAATTCTTGACCATTTTATTCATCTTTCCGTAACATCGGTTAACCGGCGCGCCGGGCAAAAGGGCCCTGGCCGGAACACATCCGACAGGTCCAAGCGAAAACAAGGCGATTCGTCTAGCTCCGAGCTTGTAAATTTGGTCAACGAAGTTTGTAACTTGGGTCAACATGGCTTGTACGTAAGCATCCGGGGTAAGAGTTGGGGCCGGAAATGGGTAAAAATAGCTGAAGACGTCATTTGAGCCTGATTCCAAGAAGAAGAGCGACTCCTTCTCTAAATTCTTTTGAATCTGGTTTTGCTCAACAAGTGATTTGAATTGTTGCAATTGGATCCCTAATGGGGTAACATTCTGTAGCACAAATCGTACATTCGTTGTTATTAAATAACCCGAATATCTAACAGAAAAATAAATTGACAATGTGATTCGAAGAATCTTGTTACATATTTTCAATTGCTGGGGAAAAATGTTCTGAAGAAATTAGAGGCATACCATATCTTGGTTTGTTGCAGCTAAAACGCCACTTCCAGCACTAGCAAAGTTGATGCCGTTGGAAGGATAATTGGTTTGATTCCGCTTCATAATATCGAGCTGTGCCTCTAGGAATGGTTTTTGCAATGGTAGACCCATAAACTGAGCTGCAAAATGAAGTGAAAAAAAAAAAACATATGTTAAAATCATGAAATTAGGTTATATCAGCATATAATATAAGTATATATTACAAAAAGTAGGGATATAAATTAGATTTAGAAAATCTAGTATACACAGTAATTTGAGATTATTTTGGGACGGAACGAATAATTGATTCAAGTACTTACACAAAAAGTCAGCAACAGTTCTGCCATTGGTGAATCTCCCTGTGGGGTGGTGAAAGAAACTGGAACCATAAGGAGGGAAATCAGCTTGAGCAGTGCAATTCCTGTTGAAGTGATTGTTCCCAGCATCGAAAATCGAATCCCCAAACACATAAACCGCTGGTACTTTCCCACCAAACACTGGAACTGCAAAACCAGCATTGATGATCAAATGGAGAAATAACAAGATCTTGAAGAAGCTCATCTCCATCTGGCTCTATGTCTTTACAACTATTTTTGCATTATTTGTACAAAAGAAATGGGTATATATGAATACCAAAAAAAAAAAAAAAAATAGAGATGGAGAAAAAAACGAGGTGAATGATGAAAAATTGAAACGGAAAGACACACGAGGTACGTACGTCCCCGTCCCCATGGGGAAGAGGGTGGCTTAACCTCTTTTGATCGTCAGCATTGAAGAACCATAACGGATCACAATTTTGACAATTTAGCTAGGAATAGTGTGCAGCTGTAAAATATATTTTGTCAGCATGGCCACGTTATTGTATTTAATTTCTTGTCTTCTTCTAATTCTGGTAAGGAAATAAGAAAATTCAATTGTCAACATTTTTCACTTTAAGTGTATGTATTCTATAAGTAGGAGGAGCACCAGCTTGTTATTAATTAATCGATGAGTGTTCACTTTCCAACTGAGTTCAAGTCAGTTTTAGACATTTACTTCAACTTAGCTACTATAATCAAAGCTACTAAAGTGATAGATGGTAAGAGTCTGGTTGGTTTTATTATTTATTTGCACAAACAAATCTCTTAATTTAGGACTGAAGCAGTATTTAATTATAAGACTTATACGATGATTTTCCATCAGGGAGGGATTACTCTCAACACTACTGCAAGAAAAATATATTCTTGAAGAGAATGCGCAAAACAATCCATGAGTTGATATAATATTGATAAATTGCTTCAACTGTCATATAATATCTTTTTGTTAGTTATTTACCGGTAAATGCAATTCAAGTGTAATTCAAGTAAACAGTCTAACAGAAGAATACTTCGAAGACAATCGGTGCCAACTCATTCACGTTAAAACTATTAAAAGTGAAAGAACAATGGTACAAGTAATTTATGAAGCTCACTTGTGGTATATTTTAATTGTATCATTGATATTAGTCTTTTTCATGTTACATTTCGGCGGGAAAAAAAGATAGAGATACTAAAAATGGGGTGATATGGATATAGGAAAAAAGGATGGGGTGAAATCGAATGGACAAAATAATTCAGATTGTCTTTTCACAAGGACTACAAACTACAGGGATCAAAAGGTGACATGAGAAAAAATTATTACTACTAATTATTATAGATTACAGAGCGTAATTTAGTCGAGCATTTACTGAGCCCTCTTCACTCTTCAGCTTCCGTATCCAAACACAAAAACCAATTCCGATTTCATTTCTTCCCTCCAAAATCTTTGAAATTGAGCTGAGAATCACAAGCAAATGGAGGAGGATTTGTTTCAGAAGGCTGCAAGTGCGGCTGATGAACTTTACAGCATTCGAGATACTTATTTTCCTGTTGACCCAAATGAAAAAGTTGCCAAATTGCAGTCTGAATCTGATCTTGCTCTCCAACACCTCAATTCCATCCCTCCTGGTATGATTTTCTAGTCATAAGTGTTTTTTGTTTAAAGTTTAGGGAATCCTGGGTGAAGTTTCATTTCTTTATAATGTAGTTATTGTTGAGAATTCTTTTGTGATAAATGGGCAGAAAACAGGAAGACGCCTATGCAACGAGCAATGTATGAGTATTTGAGGGGCAAAGTGTTGGATGTCTTTGATGATTATAGAAAAGATGCAGAGGACCATCTCTCTAAAGCTGTGAGTTATATTTTTGTTGTTTTGTGAAGGGCTGTTCTAATTTATTGATTTGTTTCATTCTCCTGAGATTTCACTCATTGGATTTTTTGCGAATTTTAAGTGGCATTAAAACTTGTTTTACATCTTTATCTGGTAAAGGTTAAGTTGAATCCCTCTCTTGGAGATGCATGGCTAAGTTTAGGCAACTGCATATGGAAGAAGGGTGATTTGGCTAAGGCGAAAAATTGCTTTATGCTTGCTTTAAGCAAGGTAATTTACTAGTCGCAATGGTTCGGAATCTTTAATTATTCCTCTTAGTCAAATGCTAACTGTTATGCTGTGATGAGTGCAGGGTCCGAACAAAAGGATACTCTGTCAGCTGTCCATGCTCGAAAGGAAAATGGCCCAAGGCAAGTACATTTGATTTTGGTTGTTCTTATGGTATTCTGCCCTGTGACTAGATAGTTTATCGAAGTTATTGCAAGCCCTACGGTTAGAACTGATACAACAATTCTTCTTGCAGAGTAGCGTTTGTTGAAAATTTGATTTCTAGTTATCTCTCTTTATTTCTGGTGTAATATTTTACCCGTGTTTTTATGATATTTTATGGAAGAATTATTTAAACCATTATTCCGTCTTGGTTGATGACCTCATTTGCTATTCTGCTCATCACATTCATTATCCTTTTCAGGTGCTGAAAATGAGGCAGAAATAGTTGAAGAGAGCATCAAGCATGCAAAAGAAGCTATAACGCTTGATGTCCGGGATGGAAATTCCTGGTGTAAGGCACTAATTTTACTTAAGTATTTATTGGCACGTAGGAAATTCCATTTCTTCAATTTATAGAGGAACAGAACTATGTTTGCAAGGTTGAAGATGTTATTGATGTATATGCAGCTAATTCTTGTGATATCTTTAATTCTTATGTTTAAATGCACTATAGTGAATGAAACTGCAGGAAAGCCAAGTTCGTGGATTGTCCTTGTTGTTGCACTGCTGTAATTGTTATTGCTGAACTTGTCTACTTGCCTCAAAGTTAGATTAACTGTAGATCTTAGCTATTGCCATGCCGTAAAGCATTCCTCGTCATGGCCGTGCTGTGGCTTTTATCGTTGAACTTTTCTACACCCTCCAACTTAAATTAATTTTAAATCTCAGCTAATTTAGAAAACTCTTTGTTTAATTTAATGGTTAGTGAAATTTCCACAGAGTTTCATTGACCTTTTCATGAACTCAAATTTATGTTAAAATGACTTTAAACTTTTATCTGCCACCAGATAACCTGGGAAATGCGTGCCTTACCTCATTTTTTGTCACTGGAGCATGGGATCATGGTAAACTATTGCAATCTTTGAAAGCGTATCAAAATGCGGTGAGTATCAGATCACAATCTCTATTCCATACCTATTATTGGCATTGTACATTCGCTTTCTATAGTTTTCTAATTATTTCTGGTCCCGGAACTTATTCTACATATGTGATGCAAATCAGGAAAGAGATGAGAAAATGAACTCCAATCCAGATCTGTATTTTAATTGTGCAACTGTAAGTAGTTTCCACACTTCACTGTCTATTAAGTTTGTTTTGAATTATGATACTTCTAGCTTTTCTCTTGTGAAATATTTGTCGTTAGAGTCTACAATCTAGATCTCAAATTCTTCAGTAACACTTGCTGCAACTAGTTGGGATCCAAATTTTCTGAATCTCAGTTATTCAGGTGAACAAATACTTGGAAAACTACGAGAGAGCCCTTAGTGGATTCGAAGCAGCTGCAACCAAGGATCCTGGTCTCAGTGCAACTGAAGAGGTTCAGAAGATAGTACATCTTCTTGATAAATTGGAGAGCTTATTAAAGGTAAGTTTGTAAACTTGAAACTGTGCAATCATGTGGATCATTTCATGCTTCCCAAATAACCACCATAGTGCACAATCCTGTCTATCTAGTTGTTCTATACTGATAGATTTGTCTGCAAATTCATGTTTTCGAGATTGTTGTGGTTTGCCCAGAAAAGTGTAAGAACTGAAATGAAAACCTCCAAATTCTTCTCATGGTTCAAAATAGTTTCACCTCCAATGCAAAAATCTCCTCCAAGTCCTTTTCTTTCCTTGAAGTAACTTTTTCAGAGAAAATACTCCCAAACATAGGCTTCGCTTCCCACTGATGACATGGGTTTGATTCCACAAAACCCAATAAAAGTTGAGGAACTAAGGGAGTTGAGGAGAAATGCAAGCCTCTGAATTTGCTTCAAATTCTTCTTATTGATTTCAAATGATTTTCCCTCCAACACATTTTTCTTTTACCTCCAATTATAATTTCACAAAAATCTCTGTGCAGTCCTTCACTTTCTTTGAAGTAACTTCTCCGGAGAAAATGCTGCCAAAAATAGCCTTCCGTGAAGTTTTATCTTCTGAAAATATAGTGTTTGAATATTTAAATTAGTTACACAAGATCTCCATGTTCTTTTATTTGATAGTACAATGCGTCTCAAGAAGCAAGTGTTGTATTCTTGATAAATTTCAATAAGCATGATTCCTTAACTTACTACAACTATGTTGGACATTTTATGTTATTTCTTTGGTCAAACTGTTAATATATGTGCCATCTCGAATGCCATTTCCAGTCCTAACTAGATGTATACCACAGGGGCAGACTAGGGCCAAACGACTTGCTTCGCTGACATCATCACTGGCTAATGTGAATGGTAAGACAGAATACTGATTCTTTTGAATTTTTTGAAAGAGAGAACTTAGTTGAGCATATGAGCTTGATGACTGAGGTCAAGTTTGGACTTTTTGTTGATCTTGATGAAGACGCAACCCATAGTATTTCTCTTCTTTTCTCATTTAGCTAATTTCTTTTTCTTCTGGTTTGGTCATTTATCTCTTTGCAGCAAACCCTTCGTACAAAATAGCTACTGTAGATCATTTACTGGAAGGTCTGAATAAAGGGATTGCCGTGGTAGGAAAAGTTCTCTTTTTTGTTAAACACCAGAACATTTCCCCATTGTGAGTTCTCCATATATTACTTTTTCTGTGAAGATATGCATAACACTTGCACCAGAATTGTGAACTTTTTTCTTTTTCTAAATGAGCTATATTATTTCTCAGATACTATTTGCTGTGTGACGCCAGCCAAAGATGCTATGTGTTAACGGTCTACAGGATACGTGATGATGGGGTAAGTATTACTGGTTAAGAAGGTAGCAGCAAATAGGGAGGAATATTTAATTTGAGTTTTTACTCTACTTGGTTATAGGAGGCACTTTTAGCCAATCTCACATAGTTGAATGAAGGCTTGTTATTGTTGTGGTTCTAGGAGGCACTCTAACCGCATGA